GGGTGGTGAGAGGGAGGGGAGGGGATTGGGGTTGGAGGGGGGAATGGGGAAAAGGGGGGTGGAAGGATATCTTGTGTGTGTCATTTTGCATCAACATCTTTCCCTCTCGTCTCTCGCTCTCTCGCTCTCCTATTTCTCAGGGGGCATACTTCAAAGGCATAGAACAAGGCGGCGTTAAAAGAAGGAAACGGAGCAAGAGATTCAATCCATCATCAGGGGACCAATTCAAAAACCCAATTCAAAAACCCAAGGATTATAATTTCGATTCTCTCCCCCCTCCTTGGTGCAAGGTCACGAATCCTCCATTCCTGATCTCGAACTGCTTTCCTCGTTTCCAGCCCAGCCATTCCTCAAGGGCTTTCTCGCCGCCTTCGCCAGGGGCCAGCGGCGCGCCACGATAGCCTTCGCCTTCGACGCCGGGGCCTTGACCTGTGGATGCATCGCGGGAGGGGACACCTTTCGAGATCGCTAGGCTGGGGGTGGCACGCAGAGTTACCGCGGGTCGCTGATCGCCTTCTCTACTCGTGTTGTTCTCCAGCTCCGAGAAATCTAGGACGGGAGTACAACACGCATCCGTGCCATCGAAGACCGCCTCCCACTCGCTCCTCGTCTTCTCCCTGAACCTCTCCTCGAACAGCTTCTTCATGTGGGGCCACGTTCCGCGATCCTCCCTCGTCTCTTCGATCCCCCGCCCCGCCAATCCCAACCCTTTAATCAGCCTGGCGAAGAACTGCGGCTCCAGCGCTCCCACCGCCATGTATTTCCCGTCCCGCGTCTCATACGTATCGTAATACGGACAGCCCCCATCCAAGACATTCTCGCCCCTCGCCCGATCCCACATAGGCGTCTTCAAGGCCGTCCGCGGAAACGTCGCCAGGTACGCGCTCCCATCCACCATATTGGCCTCGACGACCTGACCGCGGCCGCTGCGCTGGCGCTCCAGCAACGCCAGCAGCAAGCCCTGGAACAGCACTGCGCCGCCGCCGGCGAAATCCCCCAGGATGTTCCCCGGCGCGTACGGCTTCTCGCCTTTCCGGCCCAGCAGCGCCAGCGCGCCCGACACGGCGAGGTAATTGATATCGTGGCCCGCCATGTCGCGATACTTGCCGTCGCGGCGGAAACCCGTCATGCGGCCGATGATCAGGCGCGGGTTGATGCGCAGCAGGACGTCGGGGCCGAGACCCAGCCGCTCGAGGACCCCCGGCCGGAACGGGTCGAGCAGGATGTCGGCGTGCGGGAGCAGACTCTTGAGGAACTGCAGACCAGAGGCCGATTTGAGATCGATGGCGACAGAGCATTTGTGCCGCGTGAGGAGATCGCTGGATGGGCTGTTGGGCCGGTCGATGCGGAGCACCGAGGCACCATTGTCGGCGAGGAGGAGCCCCGCGAAGGGGGCCGGTGCCAGACCGCCGAATTCGAGAACGTGGATCCCTGAGAGGACGGGGGCGGCCATGAGGAGTAGGATTCTTTGGGGGTTGGAGAGGGTAAAGGGATTGTGTATATATTTATATATGTATGTAGATGTAGATGTAGAAGAAGAGTGTTGAATGTGAAATGTGGGGTAGCTTTTACCCCGGACGAGGCGAGGCGTGGAGAGCCGGCTTGAACCGAGGTTCATCGACGCGAGGCGCGGCGCAGCCTCGAGGTACTGCAAGGCTGACACTTAATCTACAAACTGTATACATCCGGAACAGATTCTGAAAGGGAATTCTTTTAAATTACAAGCTCATTCATTAATCCTACAATTAGATCCTGACCAACGACGACGCTGCTTATACTTGCTCCATAATCAATACGAAAAAGAAATGCAATGCGATGCTCAGCATTCGTTACTGCCTATCCATCCCATCCTATCCTATCCTCCATGATACAGCCACTTTATTTCATTCTCCTTCCCATTTCCCATCTTGGTACCATATTTGAGCATCCATATCGTATGATCCCGAAGCAATTTTGATTCTCCTTTCCAGACACACACACATACCCTCTCTTTTAATGTCTTCCAGCCATCTACGGCTCCTCGCCTAGACGCACAGCGCCCTCGGTGCTGAGGCCATGAGACCAGAAGCCACCAATCGAGGTATATGGAGACTCGGCCGAAGCCTGTGCGCACAGCAGCCAGAAGCCGAAAGCCGACTTGGCGAGGATGTCAAGCACGGCGTAGGCGACGACGTCGGCGTCGACGGACCACTTGCGGGCGCCGGTGCCGATGGCTAGATGGGAGTGTTAGTTAAAAAGTAGGGAAGATGAAAGAGATGTTCAGGACTTACCCCAGACGACCGGGTACAGGGTCCAGATGACGAGGCTGGGGGCGCCGAGGGACACGTAGAGCGTCGCGGCCTTGCGGTCCTCACCCAAGACGGCGCGGCGGCCGACGACGATCAGCTGGTAGATGACGACGAGGTGGGCGACGCAGGCCATGGCGTACCAGCCCCAGCGCTGGCTGGTGTTCTCGCTGTATGCGAAGAAGAGGCCGGTAAGCATGGTGACGATGTTGGCGAACACGGCGACGAAGATGTTGGCGCCGTTGACGCCGGCGAGGAAGGCCAGGTCGAGGAGCAGCAGCGGAGTCGTCAATGCCCAGTCGACGTAGCGCACCCAGAAGACCTGTCGAAGAACGGGTTCGAAGGTATCTGGGATGCCGTGCTTGTGGTGCTCGCGGGCGAGGTGGTACGCATAGTATGTGCCGCTGCCGGTGGCCATGGCGAAGTAGGAGAGGGTGGCGATGACGACGGCGAAGGTGGTCAGGACATGGAAGAGCCGCTTTTGCTATCGAGGGGTTAGAGGAGCTTTCTGAGGTCTTGGCCGGAGCAACTTACGACTGGGACTCTGTAGGAAAGGGTGGCGAATGCAATCGTGGACACGAGCATTATGACAAAGGCAACCTGACGGGGTCAGCAATTCGACTCTCATGCCACCAGGTAGGATCTCTCTCTCACCCATAGCGTCTTGGTACCCGTCTCGCCCACCTTCTCGTAGTGAGGAGGGTTGGGGATGACGGTTGGGATGGGCGAAACGGAAGTAGTCGTCGGGACGAGCAACGACGAGGTTGTCGTCTTGAAAGCGTCGACCATCTGAGGATCAATCATGTTGAGTTCTGATTATATGCTGAGCTCCGAGTATCTTATATATAGAAAAGTTGTGAAGTAAGTTGTGTAGCAAGTGGAACGAAGAGAGAATTATAAAGAAGAGAGAGAAGAGGAAGAAGAAGAAGGATCAAGAGGCAAGACAAAAAGTGTCGTAAGTCAACAACAGGAGACACTCAGGAGAGCAGTATACTATCGTCATCGAGTTTCGCCTCCCCCTCTCCTCTCTCCTCTCCTCCTCGGCATCCATCTCCCATCTCCACATCCACCACCCATCTTGTAGCTCAACTGACACTACGCTCTAGACCTCACTTAAGGTCGATGGCGCGCAACTAAATGCGGGGGAAACCAAGGAAAGTCCGCCATTTTCTCTCACCTTCCGCGATAATTGGATCTCTACGAAGACCGGTGGCTTGGTTATGGCGGTCCCACTGCCTTTTGAGTGACGTTGTCGTCCTGTGCTACGGCGAGCTAGGGCCGCTTGAGGTGCAGTTGTATATATATATCTTCCTTCACTTCAGAGATATACCTAACCAGGAAAAGCAACACATAAAAACGACGAAACGACCAAAAAAATGTATAGATAAATCTAGAGCACAAATAACCCAAATAACAACACAAAATCCCCTGCCCCCTACAACAACAAGTTCTAGACGGAGTGAATCCCTCTCGACTCACCCGTTACACAAGGTCTTAGAATAATCTCCTCATTTCTGAATCTGGACTCCGGAAATGGAACAATTCAGAGAGTCGTACTGTACCGGCTCCATCCCGGGTAGAGAAGATTGAATAAGGACAATTAACTGCCAATAGTAGGTAGGTAGATATGTATGCCTTCTACAACGTGAGACTCACTTACCGTACGTATATACCTATCTATCTCTCCGCACTTCTTCTTTCACATCAAAGGAGTTCGGACCTTTTTTTTCCGTCGCTGATGCTGCGGTTGCATTGGGCCGGAGAGACTGTTAGAGTTTTATAGTTGGTTGAATATCTCAATACCAGATATACATGTGTATGTGTGCATTCCGGCTCTGAGACGCTTCCTTCCAGTAGATTGCAAAAATCCAAAATCAATTCAATCCAATGGTATCCTATGGTACAAGATGCAAGACTCCATGGCATGCTATTTTGAAACCCCCCGCTCCATGCAATGCAAATGCAGCCCATCCTTTTTTGCCTCCCGCCGATGCAAAATACGTATGAACATGAGAAGAGTGAGAGAGGACGCTTCGGGCGTCCGATGATGCGGCGTCTTCGTATCCCATCCATCGCTGGTAGCCTAGAGTGAAGTGAAGCCAGATGTCAGGTATTACTGTCACCACCCCGTTTCAATCAGTGGCGCCAGCGCTCGCAGCGCCATCTCGCTGCCCTCCGAGCTCAGGATCACGGCTCCCGCGCGCGCGGTCGAGAGGTACGACAGCTCGGAGCCGTGCGCGGCGCCCCGCTCGTTGAACCTCATCTCATCGACCAGCTTCCCGGCCACACCACAGACGATACCCGTGCTCTCAAGCGGCAGGTCGACGAGGTCGAGGAAGATGGGCACCAGATCGCCTTCGGTGTCGCCCGCGATGGAGTTCCCGAACAGCCAGAGCAGGGACTTGTCCACGAGCAGAGAGGGCGCGTCGTCCTGCGCTAGGGTCAGGGAGAGGAATTTCGGCTGTTGCACCAAGGCGGAGATCAGTCCAACGTAGAGCTTTGGGTCGATGCTGTCGAGCCAGCAGTTCTCGCTGTGGCCGTGCACTCCGATGCCGTTGGAGCCGGGGCGGGAGGAGTACCCATCGTCGTTGATCAGTTCTTTGCCTGAGCATTGCACGAGATGGAGACCGGGCTCGACGAACGGGACCACCTTTCTCTTCTTCAGCTGGGTGAAGGTGCGGGTCTGTAGCTCGGCGACGTTCGACGGTGGTGGTGTCGACGGTGGGTCGCTACTTGAGCTCGTGCCCCGCGAGTGAGAGACTGAGATAGGGGCTACGTATGCCGAATCATATTCAGAAAACTCGAAGCCTCGGGCCACGAGTGCCTGGCCAACGGTCTGACGATCTTTGCTGGGGACGAGTATGAAATCCGTATAGTACGTGGTAATGAAAAAGATTGGGATTCCCGCCATGGCGAGAGGCGCCGTCAGATCCATCACCCTCTGACCTGCTTCCATCCCCGCACTGCTAACGGAGAACACGATGTAGGTATCTTTTGATATGGAGACCTGTTCCGAAGATTCTTTTGGCAGACGTTTGATGACAGGTTCGAAGACGTTCTTAGCCCAGGATGTATGACAGACCACGGAACACTCGATTGGGGTTACGCTGATATTGAGGAAGCCGTGCTTCTTGTCGATTGAGAGCCCTTCCAGGAGCCCTTCGGGCTCATTGGGGCAGGCAGGGCTTGGACCGCCATGAGGGAGGAGGATGCGTAGGAGAGGGTGGAGGAAGGCGGGGTAGAGGGATAGAGGGATGTGGATGAGGCTGAATTGCCCCTCCTGTGTACCGTCAGTGTCGTCCACGACGATCGGTTTGATGGTGGTGTCTTCGGACATCAATGAGAGGTCCGTCCCAGCTCTCGAGAGGCCGTATGTGTATATATAGGGTATGAAAGATAGAAAGATAGCCCAGACATGCACAGTAAACGAACAGAGACATGGCCCATCCTTCAGACAGGGGACAGGAAGGCAACAATCAAGCAGTTCGCCATGCACATCGTCGAGTCTAGTTGATAGAGCCCGACGCCACATGGAGGTTGGAGCAGCAGAACAAGACTCGTGGGAGGAAGACGGCAAGATGAGTGAGGGCCAACTTGGCACACTGAGACAGGACCAAACACGACTTGACTTACAATGAAGGAGATCTGGGCATTCATATTCAGTTCGAGGAGCCCGAATCGCAAGCTTTCCGCGACCTATGACGAGGGGGTTATGCAGCCTGACATCCAAAGGGGGGGGAGTGCCTTGCAGCCAGCCGATTGGAACAAGGACGGCTTCCCCCAAATCAGACGACGTCGAAGTCGACGTCCAGTCAGCGCTCAGTCCTCGAGCGGCGGAGGGAGGTCGCCTGGAGCAGAGGGGAGGGGAGCGAGGAACGAGAAGACACGAGGGATGGCGGGGTGTTGGAGATGAGATGGGCCGTCGAGGAGAGATAACGGTGCAGAAGGCTGGCTCACCGGGGAGGGATAATGAGGTAAGCTTCGGGATTCAGCTGATCCACGCAAATGGCCATGCGAGAAAGACAAAAATCCCCACGCGCGCGACCAAGCCGAGAGGGATTGTCTCAAGTCAGCTACTGGAGAGCCAGGGGGGGCGGCAACAGAAGGGGGTTCGAGGGGCGAAGGGGAGGTTCACAAGAGCCTTTTTATGGTTGTGCTCGTCGTGATGGCCCACGGGATCCAGGGTCAACAGCGCGCCTTGCCAGAAGCTGTGCGCCGTGCATGAGCGACGATCGACCAGAGCGTGGGCGTGGGCGTGGGCGTGGGCGTGGGCGTGCCTCTCGAGCAAGTGACAGTCGTCTCTAACAGAGTATGGGTATGGGATGTAGTATCCCTTGGCCCTTGTGTGTGTGGGGGTGGTGTTCCCTGAGCGACGAACTTGCTTTTGATGGCGGGGTTGGTTGGAGGTGCAGCGTGCCTTACCGGTACGAGGTTGCGCTGTGAAGATAGAAAGAGAGAGCTCTGCTATGCTGTAGATTGGGCTAGGCTATTCTGCGACGGGATGGATAAAATCGATACTGGAGAGAGAGGGGGAGGGAAGGAAAAGAAGAGAGAGAGGAAAAAAGGGAGGAGGAGATAAGAGGAGGGGGAGTTGGGGGATTTGAAGAAGCGAGCCAAAGCGGAAATGCGGTGCCCCCCAAGGGAAGAGAAGGCCACTCTCGGTATCAAGCAAGACGTAGTAAGGAAGTAGTAAGAGTAAGGGAGCGTAGTAGTCTGTACCGTAATAACTCAAATCAATCAATCACTATCAATCCATCCATCCATGGGTCGAGCGGGTCTGCCCGAGAGCAACCCCCCGCCCTGCCCGTCACCAAGAGAGCGTGCACTGACGATGCACTGGAGTCTCTCTTGTCTCTGATTGCGTCTTGGAGAGAGGACGAGTGGGGCGTCCGGGGGGCAGGGGGGGACTCAGGAAGAAAAGGAGGAAGAAGGACAAGCTACAGCAAGCAGCAGAAGGAGAATCCAGCTTCCAGGAGTGGGATGGTGTTGAAGGCCGCGATGATGGTGACGGGTCCGGGACTTGGTGGGAGGCACTCGGGAGAAAGAAGGCTGATCTGGGGCTCGGCGAACAGACAAAGAACAGATCCCGAGAGGAGGAGCGGCGAATCAATGCAAGTGATCAATCAGTCGAAGGGAAGTGGCCTCTGGTATGATGGCATATCGCATATGCATATGTCTTGCTGTTGCTGCTGCTTCTCGTCAAGGGCTCTCTCTTCAAAGCTGTGGACAAGCCAAGCCCTTCTTCACGCCGATTGATTCCCGTGGAGATAAGATGTGGTTGAGCTCTCGCCATCCCGCAGCAAAGCAGAGATAGCAAAAGAGAGGGGAAAGTAAAAAAATCTTTCTCATTCCTTATCTCTCTGCCAGGGTTCGCCGGACGTACGGAGGACTTGCTGCCCCGGTACTAGTGACTGGAGGAGACGAGTTGACCCCTCCGGATCTGTACTGTACCAGCCACACCAAGCTCACAATCAGAGATGGAGCATGTATATAGTACATGGAGGCGGATGAGGTACCGTAAATGGGACATAAGCACTCGGTATATGTTACATAGAAAGGACTCCTGTAGCCTGTAGGGCAAAACTCACGATAGTAACACTTGACTGTATAACGGTTCCTATTACATGAGGGATACTGCTAAGGGATCCGACATATGACCGAGAATAATAATCGTATCATATCACACCATATTATCAGTCTCAATAACCAACAAATAACAATAACCACATAAAACCAACTTCTCAACTAAAGAAATACTGTAACGAAATCAACCACCACCACCCCCAAAGCCCCGCCTTGCCCGCCAATCGCTCAAGATTCCAATCCACCAACCTACCTACCTTACCTTACCTTACCTATCACTTCTCAAGATCTCTCTCTCTCTCTCCTTCTTACCCCTCTCATTATTACTATTACGCTTACCTTAATTCATCACCCCCTTATACATACATACATATAAAGCCCCCTCCCTCCTTTTTTTTCACCTCATAACCGCAGATAGCGACGATGCGATGCGATGCGAAAGACAAGCACTTACTATTACTCGAGTAACAAAAGATTAGGAATCCGCGGGAGATCATCGAACCCCCGGCACGAGGCCTGTTCGCAATGCGTCCCGATGCAGCTCCCTGCTTGAGAAACCCAACCCCTCCCTCTCGCACCTATCCAACTGCCAACTACCGAGGCATCATTGTTGGATTATTGTGAACAATTACTTATGGTAAGGTAAGGTATATTGATGTTATTACTATTGAGCAATCTACCTAAATTCCCGCTGAGATCTCAAGCCGCGGGTATACCGGGAGAGACGCTTGTATGGTGATGAGGATGGCTTCTCTTTTGTCTTGATTCTTGCTTTGTTGTATACCTTACAGATGTATTATTTGCTTTTTTTCGAAGCGGGGACCTATTGTAGGTACCTATCTGCCCTGAATCCCTGAGCGCTGGCCCTGACCCTGACCCTCCCTCTCCTGAACCCAGCCCGCTCTTCCCAATCACATACTCTGTACTCTGTACAACAATGCATACGCAGGACAGCTACGTATCTACAGGGTTCTCCGCTTCCTGCGGCACCGTGACGACGCGTGGGGGTCCATGGTCTTGCTGTCCCTCAGACGCAGGCGCACAGGGTTCGGGTTTTGGCCCGCGGCCATATGCACGTCGCTTGCTTTAACCTTCGCATGATTGTTGTAACTTGTTGGCAAGATGACGCGAGGGCTCAAGTATCGGCCTTCTATTGCGCGCCATCCGACTGTGTCCATAGCTTACACACATGACCAAGCATCGTCATGACCAACCCCTCCCCCTATAATTCCCCCTCCCTCCCCGATTGTTGTTCCATCCATTGTGGTATCCCCGGCCATTCCCGTGCTGCATTGGAGGCTGCCACCCTCCAGGTCCTGGCGGAGGCGGCGGCGGAAATCCGCCCTGAGGCTGCTGATGGAAGTTCCCGGGGCCAGGTGGTGGAGGAGGTGGCGGCCAAGCTGGATTGTGGAAAGGTGGTGGTGGTATTGGCCAGGATCCATATTGTGGTTGCCCCGAACCGTTGAAAGGGACATTAGGAGGTGGCGGAGGTGGCGGGTAGTGCGCGTTGTATCCGTTTTGAAAGGGCACCGGCGGTATAAAGGGCGCAGGAGGCTGTTGCGGGAATCCCTCACGAGGATCATGTGGTCGTTGCGAGGGCGCCGCCTCTGCTTGCCTTGGGGACCGTGGAGCAGATCTAGAATAAGACCTGTTCCTCGACCGTGAGCGAGAGCGGCCGCCTTTGAACGCTGGCCTGGCATCTGGTGAGGCTGAGCGGGAGGAGCTATAGGTGCGTCGAGGACGTGAAGCTCTGTAGCTTCCTGGACTCGACCCGTCTGAGTCGCTATGTCGCCGTCTCTTTCTACCTCGACTCGAGCTTCTACTTCGACTTGTACGGCCCCGACTTCCATCGCGACCGGGTATATCGAGACCCTTTCGGCGCCTCTTCATCTTCTCGCAGAAAGATCGTGACCAGCCATAATAACCCTCGCCCTCAATAACATCCCCAGTAATTTCATCTAGAACGATTGGCTGCCCGAGTTCATCTATGTCCCAGGCGACTTTTTCATCCTGGTCCTTTTCTCCTTCGAATATCTTCTGCACGTCGTCCAAAAGATTCTTAACTGCCAAAACAAGCGTCTCGTCTGCCGGTCCTGCCACAAACTGCAGAGGCTTTATCATGTCTGGATTGATCGGTCTTGTAGAGTTCGGTACTATGTGCGGCATGAGATTGCCAGCTGGTAAATCAAACCATGGCGTCGACGGATCTCCATGCATGGCCGGCATCACATATGGTGCAGAGCTGGCAAGTTTCACCGAAGAGCCTTGAGCCACATCTCCGGAGGGGGTAGCTGCTCCCTCCGCATAGCTCCCGGCCTCCGATGCATTCTTGACAGTTTCGCGCAGCTTGTCGATATACTCGTTTGAGTAGTATCCTTTCTCCTCCCATATGCTCAGTAGGTCCGCAATCTTGCGGTGGTGTTTCGGAGAGCTTGCGAATGAGGCCGCACTCCCCAACAAGTTCACCAGTATAGGCTGTAGCTTGCCGCCAATCGATGCATCGTTTATTCGGTACTTGGCATGATAGAGAATATCATTAACAAGGTATAGGAGATGGAGGCGCTTTCTCTTGATCGACGGTTCGCGCTTTGATGCTGAATCAAGACGGTCCCGGTTCTCAGTAAAGGATGCTGCTAACGCAGTTATGTATTTGCCCAGTGCTGTGAACCTTGCTGTAGATTGAATAATATTCTGTAATATCCATCGCTTGCAGTTCTATCCTCAGGGACGATTTAGCCATCGCGTCGACAGAGCCATGAAGAGTGTATGATCAAACCTGGACGTTTGCTGGAGTGCACTGTATGACGGCTGAATCCAGCAGAGAGTGGAAGTGCGCGATCTCTTCTCGTGATAGTGACGTTGGGTCGGGCCTGAGAAGGCCTGCGGAGAAGGACGCCTTCGCAATGGCGAGTTGATGAGACGTCATGATGTGTGGGCTCGCAATCGCAATCGCAAGTCGCCCTCGAAGATATCCCACCGCTGCCAACTAATGGCGAGAACTGGAGGAGCGTTGCCGTGGATGGAACGCGCGAGGTGAGCAATGGAAGCTACATGTAAGGTACTGTACGAGCATTACTCCGGACACGATGGGAAATTTTCAGCCTTGTCGGGTTCGGCAAACCAACCCCAATTGGACTATGTACCAGATTCGCAGATAATGGATATCAGAGGCAGCAAAGGTCATGGCCAGGCAATCACTTTGGATGAAGACCGTTTTGCCGTCTTCTGTTCTTCGACATTTTAAATCTTATCACTATAGGAGGAATGTTCACGATCCCTTCTGTCGCTACAGTGTTGCTCCAAATGAGACCCAGTTGAAGAATGAACACCATTGAACGCCATACAATGGAAGATTGATGATTGTACAAGGCCTTGGGCTGCCATTTATCTGCCTATTGATATCAAATCACCTCTGCTCCTAGAAACAATGCCACTACCATGGCCAGAACTTCAACTGAATCTATCCCCCTTCTTCGCCCGGTACGGTTCGGTCGGCTCGTATTTGCTCTTCTCGAACACCCTCTGATCTTCACTCTCGGGGGCATGCCGTGTCGGCGCTGGGTCTGATGTTGCTTCGTGACTCGGACTTGACGATGGAGATGGGCCAGAGTGTTCTAGGGAGTAGTGCATCTGTCTGCGTCTCTGGGCTTCCTCAAATCGAGCTGCTCGGTCGGCATTAATCGACTGCTTCGCAAAGTAGTATGCGCCGCCGCCGGCTAGAGAGCATGTCAGCGTCTGTCTGCCTGCGACCAAGTGAAGCTCTCTCAGAGCATACCAACACACAGCGAGCCCAGGCCAATCCTGAAACGACGATGTCAGCATAAGTTGTCTATTTCGTGCCGAGATCCCTGGGTTCGTACCAGAATGACTTGACCTATAAATGGGTGTGTCAGCAGTGAGGCGTGGAAGAAGGCTTAGGACTCCTACGGTGTTCATATTGAGACGGGATTTGAATGTCGAACTGCGGAGGAACTGAGAGGTAGTAGTTGATTGAGTCTCCAAGTACTCGGAAGCTGTAGAAATAATCAACAAGAAATAATATAGGCTCTAGCAACGACCTCGTACGATACTGGAGAGACTAGTGGAGTCGTGTATAATAATAAACCATCGAAAGCGTTCTGCGCTTTTACCGAACAAGTCCCGCGCGCCAAGACGAAATCCGCCGCAGACCCTGCACTCCCGTGTCCCGATGATCGCCCCGGTTCACTAGAAAGGCGAAGTGGCTTTGACATCGGCCACGCTGCAACGGTCAACGCTCAACCCTCCACGCTCGCTCCATACATCGTGAACTGCAAGGCACGGAACTGGGATCCTTGGTGAATCCACTGATTATGGATTGCGAATAACTCTCTTGTCGCGTCGGTCGCTCAGAGTTCCAGAAGCCTCTCACTGCACAGGCATTCCCCCCCCGTGCCAGCAATTCACCGATACAGACATTCTTTCACGCAATCGATACCCATACCCATACCCATATCGTTCACGAACCCCCCTCCCCACATGAACAATCGCCAGCTGCATCCGCGAACACCCCCCCGCCACTCTTTCAACCCGCTATCACTTTCTATGATTTCGTGGACGCGTCCCCAATGGGCACGTAACTTTTCGCAGCTGGGTCGCGTTCTTGTTAGTTTTCGCAATGGTGGAGGAATCTGGGGGAGAGAGCCTCGATGGCTCCTCCATTGTACGTTGCGCTCCATTTGATCCCTTCGATCTACTCGTCGGGATACTCTTTGCTAACCTCCTGCCAACAGAAACCGGTCTCTTCCCTTCGCTCTCATTTCGAACAGATGGCCAATTCCAAACCAAGTAGTCCTGCGCCGAGGCCGCTCTCACCAAACCCCGCAAACCGATTTGCTGGCGCTGGAGATCCTACCAAGACATTCGCCGCGCGAGAGGAGATGGTTACTGCTGTCGCAGATGGTCTTCGCGCCGCGAGGGGCAGGGACAGGGACGCGACAGACAGAACGCTTCTGCAACCTCAAAGAAATGATTCCGCGGATTTGTCTCCATCTCCAACGCGCTTTAGGCCACGACCACTCTCCGCAATGACCCCCGCAGTGACAATTCAACCGCCGCTATCTCCCGAAAAGACGATGACGTTGAACTTGGCCGTGTCCAACCCCTCTACTCTCCTTTCAGACAACCCAAAACCCTCTGGTCCAGGGACCTCTTCTCCGAGACACTTCAAGATTCCCAGCAGACCTCATACTCCCCTCCTAGAACCTGGGAGGAAATCGCCCACTTCATCTCAACCCCCTTCACCCCCACCGCCCAGAAGATCTGGGGAGCTAAAGCGCAATTCTTCTTTTAAAGGAACCCCTCCACCAGTCAACCGTGCTGAGAAGCCTAAGATCGCTAGCAAGCCTCTGTCTCTGAGGGTTGAAACTCCCCCTATTATCAATCCGCGTGATAGGACATCTCCATTCAGCACACCGCCAGGCAGTGACAGCAGTCCTGAATATGGGATGCTGGCTCCCGCGTTACCCCCAAATCGACCTCGGATGTCGGTTGACTTCTCCTCAACCGGTCCAAGAACGTTTGATCCGCCTCCAATCCATCATATGGTGGTCAGCAAACGCAGAGATCAGGAGTCGCATAGCTTAGGACGAGGTCTTATCTCCCCGCAGGTTACGGGCGATGGGAGGCCGGCATTGCCAAGTAGACCACAGTCAGTCATATTAAAGCCTCGACAGCCACCCCAAAATGCGATGTTACCACCGCCTCCTCCACGCCCATCGATGGATAGGGCACGGCCCACTCGTCCTCAAACGCCTCCAAAACGAGTGGTCTCGTCTCCTACGAATGCTCAATTACAGGCACCGCCGAAATCACATGGGCGATCGATGACCGTTGATAGAGCTATAGAGAGAATTCCAGGCGAATTTCGCACTCCGATTTCCTCCTCGATCTCTTATACAGAGTCAGGGAAATCCATGGATGCAGCGCCTTCCTCTACCTACATAAAGAATGCGCTAAGTCAACGCCCGGTGGAGTATCCTGATTCTTCTTATTCGAATCGCCGACCGCCTTGCTTCAAACAAGGTGCGCAAGAAATAGCAACCAAGTATGAGACGCGCATTCACGACGTGTGTGGTGAGTTCGTTTGCACATCCGGTCACATGACGAGGGTCTGGAGCTTGCTCGATGGCGAAATCATCATGAGTTTAGCCCACACTGAGGGTGTCAGAATTATGTCGGTGGCTTTCAAGCCTGCTTCTAGCATAAATGAAGAAGGCTCCCGGCTGTGGCTTGGGACCAATGTTGGTGATATTCTTGAAGTCGATGTTGCCGCACAGAGTATTGTAGCAACGAAAGCCAATGCTCACACTCGCCGAGATATCATCAAAATTCACAGACATAAGAATGAGATGTGGACATTGGATGACGGTGGAACATTGCACTTGTGGGCCCCTGATAGCACTGGCTCACCAAGTCTTAGCAATCCTTATCAGAGTTTCAGAGTGCCGAAAGGCCATACATTCTCGATGGTTGTTGGCGACAAACTGTGGCACGCCGCTGGCAAAGAGGTACGGGTCTTCGAACCCACTCTAGATGGAAGCGAACAGTTCCAGATACTCCAGCGACCTATGAGTCAACCAAACGCCGGGGAGGTGACTTCTGGTGCCACAATCAGCACTCAACCCGATCGAGTCTACTTTGGTCATGTCGATGGAAAGGTCAGCATCTACTCGAGCCAAGATTATTCATGTTTAGGGGTCGTCAGTATCAGCCAGTACAAGGTCACGTCTCTTACTGGTATTGGCGGTCATCTTTGGGCCGGATTCAGCAATGGGATGATATATGTTTATGACACTACTACTACCCCTTGGATCGTTAAAAAGGACTGGCGTGCTCATCACGATCCCCTCATCACCATGAGTGCGGATAGGAGTAGTTTTTGGTCACTCGATCGCGCGCACGTCATTTCACTAGGTCAGGATAACATGATACGAGTGTGGGATGGATTATTGCAAGAGGATTGGATAGGTATGGCAATTGGAGTCTCACGATTTTTCAGAGCTGACACTGGTACAGAAAATCAGATGCAGTCACAAGAGGCTGAGTTCTGCGAGCTCAGGCCGATAAAAGCATTGGTTATGACTTGGAATGCGGGTGCATCAACACCGTATCATCTGCAACACTCCAAGCAGGATTCTAGTTTTTTCAGGGACCTCATGCAAAACAGTGACTGCCCTGACCTCCTAGTATTTGGATTTCAGGAGCTTGTCGACCTCGAAGACAAGAAAACAACAGCTAGTATGTGTAACAGCGAATTCCACCTATGCAATGCTAACTTTTATCTAGAAAGCTTCTTCAAATCTAAGAAGAAGGACCCCTCGGAGCCGGAACACATGAGCCATCAGTATCGCGATTGGCGAGATTTTCTTACTCGTTGTTTGGACGACTATATGCCTGGGAATGAGCTATATCACCTGTTGCACACATCGAGTCTTGTTGGACTCTTTACTTGCATCTTTGTAAAAGCATCCTTGCGCGAACGAATAAAAAGTATCAGTGGAGCTGAAGTCAAGCGGGGAATGGGTGGCCTGCACGGGAACAAGGTTTGAAGTCACGAATATTTTTACATGGCAATACTGACTTTGCTAGGGTGCTTTGATCGTTCGATTTATCCTGGATGACACTTCTATGTGCTTCATCAACTGTCATCTTGCTGCAGGGCAGTCGCAGACTAGGGATCGCAACACAGATATATCGCTGATACTCGAGAGCACTGTACTACCCGCAGAAAGGGATATCAGCGTCCGTCAAGACAGCTTTATTGGAGGTGGTGATGGGACAATGATAATGGATCATGAAATATGTATCCTGAATGGAGATCTCAACTACCGCATTGATACGATGGGTAGAGATACAGTGGTCAATGCGATAAAGGCCAACAATCTCCCCAAGCTACTCGAAAGAGATCAGCTACTCGCATCGAGAAGGAAAAACCCCTGGTTCCGACTGCGCGCCTTCAATGAGCTCCCCATTACATTTGCGCCAACCTATAAATATGATGTCGGAACTGATAATTATGACACGAGCGAGAAGAAGCGGGCCCCAGCCTGGTGCGATAGGCTTTTATATCGTGGGCGCGATCGTGTTCGGCAGTTAAGCTACCAGCGACATGAGGTTCGAGTATCAGATCATAGGCCCGTGACCGGGCAATTTGATATAGTCATCAAGAGCGTCCAACCACAGAAACGAGCTATGAAATGGGAGGAGTGCCAGCGACAGCTTCTAGGGATGAAGGAGAAGTTGGCAATGGAATCAAAGTAAGCCCTCACTGTTCCGGCTTCGTCTGACGATACTGATAGTAGCAGGCTTGACTATCTCACAAACGTGCTCGGCTTTGACCCGGAATCTAGCAAGAAACTAATCCTTCAAAGGCAGAAGAAGGGTCGGTGAATAGGATTAGAACTGAGTACCATGATCGGACGTTTAACTGTCTAAAAACCGACTCGATGGCCGGCTGATTGGGGGAGAACGAAATGTTCCCCTGGCTAAAAGGCGATCATTACATGAGCTTGCCACCAATAGCCGACGATCCTCGACGTCACCTCGAATCACCTCGAATAGAGTCAAGGAGAAAGAGTTATCAAAGCGGACCAACTGTCTGTGGAAGCCACAATAGCCGCGCATTCAGCATTGTGAGAGTGGAAATCTGCGTCTTGACGAAAAGTGTATTTAGTACTATAGTCCAGTCCGCCTCTAGCACAGGAAGTTAAATATAATACACCAGCAATGCCCACCCCCTAAAATATTCATCCTATCAATTGTATGCAATTTGCATGACCTTTCCCTCGCTCTTATAAACTACTGATGTGGACAAGAAGATCTACCCTCCAATTCCGACTTCCTTTACAGCGCATCTCCCCCACACCAATCCTTCCCAGGATCAGAATCCAGCACAGACAATCCAAGACCCCGCATCTCAATATGCCAACGCCATGCCCCAAAGCAGATCAAACCACCCCCAATTCCTCCTCGTCGCACGAAACCTGGAAATCCCAACCGCCGTACAAATCCCACGCTTCTTTCCGCGCGCTGTACTCGGGCCGCTGTCACTGCGGCCTCGTGCAATATGAAATCAGCAGCGCTCAACCTCTCGACGCGAAATTCTGCCATTGTCGAACGTGTCAAGTTCTCCACGGTTTTTCCCTCCTTCCCCCCTTTTCCCCTCTCCCCCTCCCCCCTCTTTTCCCCCTCCCCCCCAAAAAATCAAAAATTAATTAGAAAACTCAAAACCAAGAAAAAGGTCCCAATCTAACCCCTACACAGGAGCCCCATTCCAATGGGCAGCCATCTTCCAAAAGCCAGACGTGAATTTTCCTCACGGCACGCAAAATCTCAAGTTTTACAACAGCGCGTTGCAGACCGAGACCCATGAGCTGCCGTGTAAGGTGTCGTGCGCGTATTGTCGAGCGCCCATCATGGACGAGGGGAGGAATATGATATTGCTGTTTCCGAGCTTGGTTAGGTTTGCGGGGGAGGAGGAGAGGAGGAGGTTTGGCGCTAGGTGGGTTTTTTTTTGATGTTTTCTTTTCTTTTTTGATGTTCTTTTATGGCTGTTTTTTCTGGGGGGGAATGGCGGGTTGGGAGAGGGTGCAGTGCTGATATGTGTGCGCTATTCATAGGTGCCATATGTTTTATGAGCAGAGAGTGGTGGATGTTCCGGATGGATTGCCAAAGTGGGCGGGCATGTCGGGGGCAAGTGAGTTGATTGCGGATAGTCCGCCTGAAGCGGTTGAGAAGCGGAGGAGGGAGGTAGAAGAAGAGAGGAAAAGGGATGAGAACGAGAGCGAAAGGACAAAGTAGGTGAGCGGGAACTTGAAGAGTATTGAGCTGCTGTTGAAGTAAATCAGATTATGAAGACGATAGTTTTAACCGTTGATTTTAAAGAGACGGCTTGATCCAGACAGCGTTCAAAAGCTATGAATGATTTATTGTGGGTAATAACGCTCTTGGTACACCTACTTATGTCCACTCTGCTGTCCACCTCCAACACTCGTATCGAAGGTAAAAATGAACGAGCCTTCCATGATACCGCTCAGATTAGGGGCACCCCCAAACCTCCCTCAAAGTAGCTCGTCCAACCATCAGCTACTCGTTTATAACCATATCAGCAACCTCCAGATGTTTTCAGGCTAAAAGCCATCCGAGCCACGATCAAATACCAATACTTCCTCCATGGAATGAAACTTTAGCTGCATCTATGCCCTCCGACTGAAAATCCAGGCTAAGCAATATCAGCATGAGACGCCCGTCCCTGCGTTGCAGCATCTCTGAACCACATCCTTCACATCGCGGCTCAATAATGACGATGCTTGAAGATAACCTCATGCAGCGTCCTCCATGTCGTGTAAGCCATTATTAGGAGAAGTGTCGCGCTTCCTACGTTGGACGCCGCGAATTGGGTACTGAATGGTATCGGTACCATTCTCAGCCAAACCCAGCCCACCAACTCTCCCCACGCCAACGCACTCCCAAAAGTAACCCACGGGAAGTTGACAAGCTCAAAGGTGTAGACCGGAAAGACCATGAGGATCAAGGGCACTGCACAAGGGATCGACCGGGCGCAGCTGAGGACTTGGCGGCCAAACCCAACACAAATTGTATAGGTAGCGAATCCTCCTAGCATCGAGAGAGTCCCCATTCCTTTCTGGCGGTATGGACACCATGAAAAGTTGCAGTCAATTTTGTTCATCCAGCTGGCGTACGTAACCATCTGCCTTGCATTGAAGAGAGCGAGAATCACACAGAAGGGAGCAACGGGCCCGACCGGTGATATGACAGTGAAGAATGCATAGAGCCAGCCGACGACAAAGGGAAAGTAGGTTGCTATGAAGCCAACGGGGATTTTGTCTTCCATAAGCGGGGCGTATATTCCACGAGCGGGCAGGAAGGGGGCAAGCCAGGCGGACTGAACTAGTCTTTCTGCCATGTTGCTGACGGTTGTAGTCTCGAATCAGCGTATTATATTGCAAGAACGAAAGCTGAGATGGGTTGATGCTGACGGATGTATGGGCTGAAGAAGTTGATGGAGAAAGAGGAATGTTCTGTTGTTTCTGTTGAGAGGGAGAGCTACTTCAAGTTCTCAAGATGGAGGAAGGAACTTACCTCGTGATATGGAGTCCCCCCGAAGTCTATCTACCATACCAGTCGAACCTTCTTTGCTCTCGAAATGTTTCTTCCAAGGTAATTAGAGCCGCTTGGTCATGTTACTTGGCGCCTTCTGAGATGTCATCCAGCTGCATTACATGTTGCAGCCGAACTTGTCTTTTGGAATCTGGTTCTGGAGAGATCGCCATGTTGTATACCCCAGAAACAGTCAATTAAGAGAAAGGTCAAAAGCAGTACTGTAAACATGTTTGTAGATCTGCACGAGGAGGAATACAAAAACAACTAATAAAGACGTCGTCTTGCCTTCGCACCTTGACTCTGTTCAAACATTCTCTGTTTTGATTCCATACCAAAGAATCACCAACAATCACCCGCTGGAGTCTTCGACACATAGGTACGTAGCCGCAGTTCGGCTTCAGGAGTTTGCCTGCCCTGGTAGAAAGAGCTCTTTCTAGTTGGCCATGGATAAAGAGAAGGAAGGTGAGGGGAGAGGAGAAAGCAAGGGAAGGAGACACTCGTGAGTCGTCGCCATAGCTCATTTGCTCACCAGCCTGGATGCAGATGCTGGAATCCGGGTCACGTGTCAGCATGGCGGGCACTCTTCTCTCACTCTCCCGTGCTCTGGTCAATACTCCTTGGAACATTGATTCGAGACCTTGATTCAATGACCATAATGCAATACGATTAGCGATTAGCGACTGAGGGGGCTATTTCAGGAACGGAATATCTATTATCCATCCTCTTTATGGCATGCCCTTGATTGCAAACGACAGCCCACAACGCATTGCGACAATGATAGCTTCCTTTTCCTTGAGGCTCTTCATCCCTAACACTAGGAGTATCAATAGGTGATTGGCAGTTCGGCCTTTACTGACTAAAGCTCCCAGGGGATTGCCCGTTCTTATAAAACAAAATATTTACGGTAAAGTAATCAAACGAATACGAGATTGAGGCCCTGTAGGTAACTCATCAGTCAAGAAGTCGGTAACTAGCTAATTCGACTAGGAAGTTCTCCATTTCAATACTGGCAGCGATAGGGCGTAGCGAGATACTCTGGGTAGAACTTAGAAGCCCCTGCAGAGCCTCGAATCAACGCTTACAAGTCTCTCGAAACAGCTGAATCCCCCAGTGACTTCATTTTGCTATAACATCAGTACATGATGCTAATTCCCCACATAGAGCCCGCTCTATCGTGGACATCATTTTCACATCCGGACCTCCACTTAGACAGCATCTTCGTTGATCCAGGCACGAGACGAATAACACGTATTATTGATTGGCAATCAGCATCAGTATTTGAGGCTTATTTTCAGCACTGCATCCCACGTATATTGGCTCCTGTTTGGCGCAATTCTAGCGAAACTGAGTCTGACATATCGACTCAACGACATCAAGCCAAGGAGAGAGAAATTGCCAGCCATTATCAACGTTTCAGCAAACTCAACAATCCGAACAGATGGGCGGCATCGAAACTTCCGTTGCGCTCACTTACCACAGAACCTACATCTGTACTCTGTGGGGCTTCGGACAAGGACGATGTATATTCCTTACAGACCGCCTTGATACATATAGCTGTACGGTGGGATGAAATTGGCTCGAAGCCTGGGCCCTGTCCAATCAGGTTTTTAGAGCGCGAATTGGAGTTTCACAGCAACGAAATGGATCTTGTGCAAGGTCTAGCGAATGTGTTACACGAGCTTCATGATAAGGGCCTAATACCATTAGGCGGCATGCTTTATCGAGAGAATTACGAGCGGGCTGCGCCTATTAACAAAGAACATATAGAAGAGTTTGTTAACACGATGGAAACGGAGGAGTAGAAACAGTCAGCATCACGGGTATGGCCTATCAGGACCGACCCTAATTGTACGATTGTCCGGCCTAAATGAACCTGGTATGTGTTGTAGAGGGGTTGGCCACTGGTGACTTTCTGGTTCTTAAGTTCTTTGGTAGCCTCTCTATCTATATTTCTGTCGTTCTTCAGTGAGTACTGACATATTCAAGCAGGATAAAACAGGATCTCCTTGCAGCACTTCGATATTCTCAAGATTTAGCAGATTCCTCATGTATTGAAGATGAAGATCCCCGAGGTAGTTTTCTTCTAAAGATCTATAACTAGGTATACGCAATAGGAAGTAAGTAAACTTACATCCTTATCGCGTATGTCTGGGTATGTAAGTGGTAAGTCAAGGGTATTTTTGACCTTATCGAAACAAGTAGGCGGCAGCAAGGTAGCGCCGACGAGGTACAGGCACAGTTTAAACCGACATTTGACAATTACTCCATACAGCTTAAGTATCGACTACTAAGTGGGGAGAATGGGGCACCGATAGATTACTTACGGGGGCGGCGTATCACTACTGTACCCCAAAGAGCCGGGGTCTTTTTTTATCCGAAAAGCCTTCTTTTCCAAACGGATGTTTACTTCCGTATTTGCCCTGTTTATCTTCGATTCCCCAGATTCACCTGTACAGTACACCCCGCTGTTCTACTTATTCATATGACTTGACGCAACTGACCAGTCACCATAGAATTCATTCCTACACTGCCAGAGAATCTTTCTGGAATATCGATTGGCCCGTGTGTTTGTCTCCTTTATCAGTCCTCGGCAATGCCAGAACCAGACCCAGTAAAATCGCCCTCGGACGACTCACGCCATTCGACACACAATGCCCTCGATCTTGAGAAACAAGACACAGCGTCGCAGTCTCTGTATAATGCTCCTCTGAATATAACTCCCTCAACCCGCCAACGGGTAACGCGCACTCAATCCCTCACCCGGCCCAATACCAATCGTGGCCGCTTTACTCACCCACTTTCGCATGTTAAGACGACAGAGGCAGAGATAGTGGATTTCGACGGCCCTGATGATCCTTACAGACCCATCAATTGGCCTTTTAGGAAGAAGGTCGTCACGACGTTATTGTATGGCTTGACTACCATGGGGTCAACATGGGCAAGTAGTGTTTACAGCCCGGCGGTCAACCAGATTTCCAGCCAATACCATGTTGGCACAGAAGTCAGTCTATTGGGTCTGACATTCCTATTGCTGGGATTTGGACTGGGTCCTCTGTTATGGGCGCCCTTGAGCGAAGTGTAGGTTTATCCTTTCCAACTTTGCAATTCTCTTGTACGTTGAGGTTGAAGCGCGTGTGCCAGTGGCAATAATGGCTTCAACTTGATTGTTCCTACCAATTGTTACTCTCATTTCTCTCCTATCGCTCTGCTAATTATTTCTGACATTCCATGTAGATATGGTAGGAAGCCAGCTGTTCTGGTGCCCTACTTCATTGCTGGTTGCTTTTCTTTTGCCACGGCTTGTTCAAAAGACATCCAAGCTATCCTCATTACAAGGTTTTTTGCTGGTATATTTGGATCAGCACCTGTCACCAATACTGGTGGCGTTCTTGGAGACATATGGTCCCCTCAGCAAAGAGGAACTGCAATTGTTGGATATGCGTTTGCTGTCGTTGGAGGTCCTACACTTGGGGTGAGCACGCCCTCAGACTTTTTCTCCAATGTTGGAAGAGATTTCAGATTTGGAGATGACTGCCTCCACATCTCGAATTCCCTTGAATTATTCAGGTTACTAATAGCTTTCTGTAGCCCATCGCAGGAGGTGCCATTGTATCAAGTTATCTGAGGTGGAGATGGACTGAATACTTGACTGGGATTATGATGATGTTCTTCCTCCTCCTCGACGTCCTGATCCTCGACGAGTCATACCCACCCGTTCTGCTTGTGGCGAAAGCCCGTCGCTTGCGGCATGAGACAGGAAACTGGGCTTTGCATGCCCGCCATGAGGAATGGGATGTGAGTATCAAAGAATTGGCAAACAAGTGGTTGATGAGGCCATTTCTGTTGTTGGCCACTCCAATATGCTTTTCCGTGGCGCTCTACGCCTCATTCTGCTACGGAATCTTATATCTGTGGGTGATTTCTTTCCATTGGCGATTCAATTGCTGACTCACACAAGGTGTTTGGCTGCGATCCCCATCCAGTTCGCGGAGGAGCGCCATTGGGGCCCCGTGACTTCTGAACTTCCCTTCCTTGCATTGTTGCTAGGAATATTCGGAGGCGGGGCAGCCAACGTTCTGTAAGTCAGCCATACGTCTCCGTCATACATTACTGACTGTCTCAGAAACAACAAATTCTATATCCAGAAGTTCGAAAAGAACGGCAACAAAGCCGTTCCAGAGGCTCGTCTCCCTCCCATGATGATTGGCTCTGTCTTCTTCGCAGCAGGGCTGTTTATTTTCGGCTGGACGTCCTATAGGCACGTCTTCTGGATCGCGCCATGCATTGGTCTTGTCTGCATGGGCTTCGGATTCTTCACCATCTTCCAGGCAGCGCTGAACTACCTCATCGACACATTCCAGAAATACTCTGCAAGTGCAGTTGCCGCCAACACCTTCCTACGCTCTATATTCGCCGCCGTGTTCCCGTTGTTTGTGAATCCAATGTTCCATAATATGGGTATCCCATGGGCGAGTAGTCTTCTAGGATTTATTGCCCTAGCCCTGATTCCGATCCCTTACTGCTTTTACATATAGTAAGCCCCCTGAACTGCTCTCACTGATTCACTTGCCTGATCTAGATTTGCTAACACCCTGACCTTCCAGTGGGCCGAGTATCAGGAAGAGAGGGAGGTTCACTGCTGAGGTCATGTAAATGGGATTGGACAAGTCTGTAAATAGAGCTTAGATACCCATAAATGCCTAATCATGATACCCTTGACGATTATAACAGCCAAAGAACCAGAGTTAATCGAATACAGAAAGATCAGGTTCTAAACACATGGACTTAACACTATAAGCCCACAGAGTTTACTATATAGCTATAGGCGTAAGGCAAGTCGTCTCGTAATATCAGTGTTTGTTTCTTACAAGTAGTAGTATTTGTCCCATAATGTTACTACGTAGAGGTTCTAACTTAGTATAGAGTACCAGGCGTATGAGGTTCCTAGAGATTACCTACTTCTTGGGTTACCTTGAAGCCCTTTCTTATTGGGCTCGCCAAATAATATCAGGTAAAGTGATATTTATTACACGGAGGTTGGGTTTGGCCGCCGTAGCAAGTTCTTATACATTCAAAACATCGACAAATCAAAGCCTCACAACAAACAACATGTCTTCAGTAAACCCACCACCAGTATTTAGCGCAGATGATGAATCGACCTGGAAAGTCTCAGGGCAGTATCCTCCTCGCGAAGTCGACGGGATGGATTGGCAGCGTTGCGCTCTGCTTCACAACAAGATCCTGAGACTCGGCTGGACAGCAAGATACGGGGAAGCCATCCCACTCCCTGCCCAAAGCTGGTGGGACCGATTCATCACTTCTCCTACCCTTGAACAAACATGGACTACTCGATTATCAGCCTCTCTAGTCCAATTTCTCAAATGTGCTCAGGTTACGCCGCAAGAAAACGAGCATGCCTTTCACTACTATTTCAGTGGCCTCGCGTATCCAGGGGGGTTCTATCAGAGCAAACAGGAAGGGGAATTTGAGATCTTGACGCTGTATCCGCTCAATAATCTAAATCTTGGAGGACATTTGGACGGTCTTAGGTATCATCTTCTCTATCTTTCACTTGCTGGTCATTGAAACTGACCAGCAAACGAGCTTCAACCAAGAAAACCATCTTGCCATTTTGCAGACGGATATCGACGACGCGAACGCTACGCTCAATGGTCGCACGGATTGGGATCCACTTGAGACGGTCTTATCTGCATGGCTAGATATGATCGAAGTCAGCAAGATCATTGCTCTTCCTGAGGGTGTCGAGATGCCATCCTCGGAGGGAAATCGTCCCAAGTATAATCCCTGGGTGCTTCTACCTCACAGTGCTGCGCAGCTGAAGAGCACCTTGGATGCATTTGCGCAGCTCGTTGTTCTGATTGAGATATTGATGGAGCCAAATGCTTCTGCAGATCAAGCTCTATTGCAATCTGAGCTGGAGAACCGACTTGCTCAATCATCTTCAGATGTGGATATTGGGCTCTGCTCAGAGCAGACTCTAAACGAGACTGGGATCCCACCTGGATTCCTCCGCGAGTTCCTCCTGAACGCACGGAAACCAAAATTCAAGTACGTGGCTCCTGGCCTCACACTTCCGAGCCCCGAAACTCTCCTCAGCACGCCTTTCAAAAACATGACCCTGCCTTTCCAGTTCGGAGATCACATGCTTCCAATCCCCCTCTTTCCATCTGACATTCATCGTACAACGCCGGCCAACGGTCCTCCCTTCGGTTTCCCATTCGATAAAGAAACGTATCTTCCGGCGGGACTCTGGCTCTCTCCCTGTGATCGCAATGGCGAGAATCCCTTCGAGGATTCTTGTCGACTAGTCCTTCCATTTGCGGTTGGCAGGAATGGATGGGCCGTGACGAGTGATGGCGATGCGTTGGGATCGAATCCGTATTCGAAGACTATGGAAGCACGAGACTGCGTGTCTGAGTTGTACCAGCAAGGCTACAATCACTTCATTCCAGCTCATGATGTTAGGTTGGAGGATGTATTGAGGAATTGGACTGCGATGGTAGGGGCGGGGGAGTGGAAAGTTGGGGCCGATGGGGTGCAGAGTGAGATTGAGATCTTTAGGGATGCGGATACGGAAGAAGGGTGGTTTAAATACCAAATTGAGGCAAACTGGTAGCGGGGCTAATGAAATCAAACCAGGCCTTTTCTCTCATGGAAGCATCCCATGCTCTGCTCGATTCATTATTCTTTTCCAAATTTTAATGGCAGAATTGAACCATGATGAATATGTTAACGTTAAATGAAGAAATTATATGTAAGATCAAACAAAGGAAGCATGGCCCGGTAATGAGCAAGATATACGTAAAACTTCCTTTCTTTGTGACCCGATAGGAAGATTTCGACACCTCTTCCCCCCTATCACGCCGCTGATCCCGTCTCGCGGGGAAGTGTCCTCTTCACCTCCGAACCCCCTTCCGTCAAGGCTTCTGTGCTTTTTAGTACCACTGCACTCGTAGTCGTGACAGTGACTTCCTCATTTGGCTTCTTCACATGTCTCCAGGCACGTCCACGAGGCCGGAATTCCTGTCCGTGTTTATCCACAATAACATCGCATGTACTGCAATCAACCTCAGATCCGTTATACGTAGCCTTATGACCTTCTAATTCTGCCAGCACATCTTGCTGTCTCTGATAGATTGCACTAGCGATGTTCTGTGGTAAAACAGCGTTTGCGTTTGGTGTGGGTGCGTACGCTTGGGCTGGCCATAAGTAGGGAGCTGAGAATATCCTGTTTGAGAGATCTGTTAGCAGATATGAGAGTGTGCTAAAGGGGATTGACAACTCACGGATCGTTACTAAGCACGCGGAAACCATGATCCAGAACAGTGGAGGTTACGGGTGCCCCGCTAGGGTCATTAAAAGAGGCAGTTGCCCAGCACTCTTTTCCAGCTGTTTGAGAATCGAACTATAACATACCGCATTAGCCACCAACGCCCCAATGCTTACGAGTTAGGACGAAGACATACCCCATAGTGCTGGATAAAGTGTTTTCCATTTACGTTGCCCGCAATTCGGGAGGCATCCATTCCATCGAATGCCCATGTGATAGGAGGATCTAGAAAGGGTTAAGTAAACTTAAACAGGATCATGAGCTGTTCAAACATACCTGCGTTAGCAGTTGAACACACCGCTGACTGATAAGCCCTGCAAGGCTCCCATGAAGCAATGATGAAATTCCCGAAGTCATTTCCTTGACGTCTGTTTGCAGGACCGTTTACGAGACGACAGACTTGAGGCCCAAGGCCTCTGGCTTCGACGAGAGAGCCCATGGGAAACTCATCACTTTGAGCAAATTAGCATCTCGTAAATGATTCATGATGAGGGAGGTGTGACATGCACTTGACATCTACTCTCCAAATTCCCGTTTTCATTGGGCGCACTGGCTTGTGCGAGAGCTTGCCAGCCCAGATGCTGTGGCCTCCAACTCTGCTGTTGATACTGAACTCCAGCTCTGGGGGCTATTTCACGAGTCAATCCTGTCTTGAATCTTCGCTCATGATCACCTTACCACTGGCATATGAATAAACGGTTTGACCTGTTCAACGTTAGCATCAATTTCTTGCTGGAGTGACGTGGGAGTATAGACCGTTCATGACCTTATCGATTCCCCAGCGCTGATTGTCGCACACCTGTATAAGAAAGAGAAATAGTCAGCCAGAAGAAATTCAATTTAATTGATTGGGGTCTGAAATACCTCATCCCACCCATTGGGCTGAATGCCATACTGACAGGTATAAGTGACCAGGCAACCGCAGGCGGAGGAATCACTCGAAGTAGGGTAAGTTTTAATGTCATATCTTCCTGCAGCAGTTTTGGAGCCTCCAGTTCCCCCAGTCTTCGGAGTTTTCGGTTTACCTTGAGATGGCCCGCCTGGAGGCGCTGACCTCTTGTTTCCGCTCCTGAGAGCCATGGCAAAAACACCGACGACTACAGTTCCGGCGGCACCAGCTTGACCGATGGAGGACTCGACGACTGCAACAGCAGCCAGTGCTGCGCAGACTGCGATATTGACAACTACTTCAGCGGCAAAGGCAACTTCACTAGCCCCGAAGGTAAAGAAAGCCAGCGCGGCGGCCGCGATTTCTTCGGCCGCAATGGCGGCAGCACTGAGACATCGGCCGACAGTACTCCCAACTGGTCCAATTCCTCGTTTTGTGACGCCATTTTGACCGACAAGCTGGAGGTTGCTGGGGTTGGTTTGTGTAGAGGCAACGAAGCCAGAGCAACAGTACGCTTGATAACCACCATTGCACGTCTGATCCTCGATGACTCCGCCATTCGAATCGCTGACATAAAGTTAGGAAGCAGATATAGACAATCAAAGAATGAGAATACCTATAATAATGATTCGCTATTTCATGTTAACTTGAATTTGCATATAGTGGGATGGATCACTTACTATTCTCCGCGATAATAATGGCGTTTTCATCGGTACAAATCGGAGAACAAGGCATTCCCACACCATTCCATCCCTCCCACTGACAAGTTCCAAGTGTTGTCCCTGGAGCACAGCAAAGCTGTTGAACATCTGTACCTGTACAGACGGTGTTTCTGGAAACATCCGCGTTATTGTTGGCATCTTCCCCTTTTGCTTGCGTTACCGGAAAATATGCGTTCTGGCAAGACTGCCCGCAGAAGGTCCAGTAGCAAGAATTCTGAACCTGCGCTCCTTGGGTTACATCAACCATCTTTGATTTTATTTCGGCGGCTTCGACTGAGGAGCGGCCATTAGTGGGTCCGATACCTAAAAGATCAGAGGTGCTGTCCCCATTTGTGTTGTCTTGGTCAACAGCTGAGAGTCATTAGTAGGTTTAAAGCGTACTAAATGACCTCTCCAAACTTACACCAGATCATGATCCCTCCCAAACACTTATAAGTTAGCCCATGTTACGATGATTCCGGAAATAGAACTCACGAGATCATTTGCCTTTTGAAGTTTCGCCTGCATACTTTCGCCATCATCATAGCTTACCCACTGGTCATCATTCCAAGAAATCCAGTTGACAGCTGCGACATCGTCATAAGTCTTGACCAAGTCGTTGTCTTGTATGATCCGGAAAATTTCTGTGTAGAGGTGTCAGTCTGGCAGGAGGTTTTCCTATCAAGTCTCTACACTCACCTGCGTTTGAGAGAGTACCAGCGGAATTGGTACATTCTCCTGGAGTGCCACCCGCCGCAAACATACAAACACCATTTGGCGTCGTACAAGTCGTGTCGGAGAGTGTGAATGATCTACCATACCAGCCCAGGCCTAAAGTGACTTTCTGAGGGTCAATTCCAGCTCTCCAAAGTAGCTCAAGCCCTTGCTCGATCTCGGTCAAATTCGTATGGGGTCGAATCTAGCCGGAGTTAGAAGTTTCTCAATCAAGTTCGCGAGTCATCTTACATATGGTCCGGTGAACTTGCTCGTTGAATCCCAAGTTCCTGCATAATCAATGACTGATAATTTTCAATTCAAAATAGAGACACTAACCATGAATATCATACTAAGAATAAGTTAACCATGCGCTCTAATCAATCAGGGGATTTCAAAAACAGTTGGAGTCGCTTACTGTCATAACGTTGAACCAATCTAGATACGAGGCCATACCAACGACATCGAATCCCTGAAGATACCAGAAAGACGACGGCAGAGTGGCAGAAATACCTAAACAGGCTTAGAAGAGAGACATGAAGAGGGTTGACTCATGGACACGGATTTACCTTTGCTGGACCCAAATGCATTGCGAAGGTCCTTTACCAAGCTGACAAAGTTAGCAGCATCTGCTTTGACACCACCTCTATCACCTGCTGATGGATACTGGAAGAACTATCAGTTACTATTTGCATTATATCTAGAGGATTGACTCGGACCTCCCAATCAATATCAATCCCATCAAAACCGTAGGTATTGAAGAATTTAGTTAGAGATTTGATAAATGCAGCCCGATTGGCTGATGTACTTGCCATGTCACTGAAAGCTGTTCGAGTACTCGGAGAATTATCATCGTCCTATTCCAAACATCATTAAATTTTCAACAGAACATAAGAGAGGGTTCGAGGGATCCCGCATACATTAAATGTCCATCCTCCGACAGAAATCCAAGTTTTGAGACCTCTTAATTCATGTTAAAATGCATTTGCGAATACTGTGGTGTGTAGATACTTACGGATTTGCAGACTTGATATTGGTAAAGTCGGAGTACAGAGACTGTGCATTAGCATCCATAGGTGCCAATTCGAAGGATGTAGGGTCGAAGAAGGCAAAAGCTGGTTTGTCAGCGAGTTGCAAGGATGCGAGACTTTAGAATCTCACCAAAGTTCATGTGTGTGAATCCGGTAAGATCAAGGTCTTTTGGAGCTCTCTTATCGCAAGGGCGAGTATTGGACCTGAAATTCAGTCAGTCCGAGCCTGGAAGTCATGGCATTGTGTGAGATACCAAGACTCATAGTATCCAATCGTTCTTCCAGAAATGCTACTTCCACCGGTACACGAAGGTGTATTTGCCGGACCACAGGTGCCGTATCCCTCTTGGCAAGGCGTATCACTGGTGGTGTCATTTTCTGTACTGCAAAATTGCTGTTCAATATCAGAATTTGGATTACCAACAAGCAGCTGTCAACAAATCCCAGAGGGACTTAATGGTAAACTTACATCTGTGGTTCCGCAGAATCCAAAATAAGAACAGCAAACATTCAGGGGGCAGTGAGCTGAGTCTGGCAGAGCATACTGATAGCAAGTCAGTCAAAAACGGCATTCTCCAATGGAAATCTACACGTACTTGACCACATTCTGCCGTCGCATTGCAGTTCGAGAGACAGGTGGAGGTTCCACACTCAAGTGGCGAGTAGCCACAGAGTCCATTCATTCCACAGCACGCTCCATTGACACACGGAGTACCTGGTGCGCTATATTTCTATTAGAAAGGAGCTTCTTAGTGACTGAGGAAGGGAAGATACCAGGTGCCTGTTGGAAGGTCTCTTTTCTCTAAGAAATCTCGAGTGTGGAGAGCTTTGATCAGAGGATTGACTGATTTGCCGCTAGTATTAAGGAATACTGGCGTGGAGTGGGAATGTTTGGCGTAGAGGGGAGTATACAGAGTAACGTTTGCAGCGAGAATGAGGTGAAAAAATGCAAATACCAAGGCCAACTTCAATGAAATTGTGACCATCTTGCAATGCCCTCTTGAAAACAAGAGGTTCGAACTTCACTCAAACTTTACAGAGAAAAGACGCGGTCACTCAACTTACAACTTTCATGAAGACGAGGTCAGAGAAATCCGAGCCAAGACAGTGGATTTACCTGGTCATCCCTTTCGGGAACAAGGGACCAAGAATGATACCCCACATTAGAAGCTTCACCGCTCAGAAAAGCATCAGTGTCACCTTCACAATATCGGATACTGCACGATGAATACAGTCAGCAGTCAGCAGTCAGCAATCCAGACCCTACCTTAAAGTCAGCAGGTCAATTGCACCCCCTTGACTAGTAGGGCTGAAAAGATATTCCTCAAATAATATGGCACGTCTAGATGTCTATAGGTTTTGGAGTTGCCGTTTTGAGAGAAGGGTAACATCAAACAATATTTGCGGCGGCGCGTGGTTGAATTTCCCTGCAGATGAAGAAAGCGGAACGAGGCTCGAAAAACGAGGCTCTGACTTAGCCGGTTAGCTAGTATGTAATAAAGTTATCAAAGTTATCTAAGTTCGGCGCTCTTCAGGGATTCAAGCATTGATCTACACTGTGAGAGGTGCGGGATACGAGAGTGGATGAGACGGCAGAGGAACCATTGGTGGAGATCCATCGTAGAGAATGCGACGCTATCGCGGGGCAGAAAAGCTGCCCAAATAGATGCATAGGGAATTGGTGGTGTGAAAGTCATGGAATCCTTGCCCGTAAGCTCAATGGAAAGTGTTCGTGAGATGTTGAAGTTCCGAACTGCTCTCTTACTTCGAGAGTTGGAAATCGAGCCATTGCAGCAGACCTCGAGGTAATTGAAGAATCAAGATGATGAATTTCAAAGCTTTTCTCGTCTGCTTGGCGGTTTTTAGGATCGTCGGGGCATCTTTCAGCGTCTATCAGTACTATGATCCTGCGACAATGGAAGACTATTATGGAATTTCTTCCGAATGCATGGCCGCGGTGTGAGTTGTGCAAATCAAATACAGCTCTTTCAGAAGCAATACTGACCAGAATTTAGAAATATGACACTCGATTGCGACGTCACGAATGCCAATCGAGCTGCAAATGGAGTTGATGTGGACTGTAAGTTTCCTTACACGCCCAGAATTCTATCCGAATAACCACTTATGGTTTTTCAGATTGGTATCAAGATAACATCACCACTCTGTGTACCGACGCATGTGCTACTTCCATGACCAACTGGTTGAGTGCAGTAGAGGCGCAATGTGGATCAGAAGACATGACATTTGAGGCGGCGATCGTTGATCCGAGGATTGTGCCTTTGACTTATACAGAAGGTTTTGATATGGCTTGTTTGCAAGACAGGTACTCAAAACACGACCTCCCGCATGCCACATTTCTACTAACTGAGCAAACAGCGATTCAAACTGGTGTTTCTTCGAGTCCCAATCCTGGCAGGGGAGTGACTACATTAGATGGAACGAAGGTTTGCGATAACTTGATGAACCCGTAGTCCATGGAAAATGAGCAGCTGACAGATGCAGACACTTGCTACAGTGATGACCCGCCTGTAGAATGCGAGGATCCAACATTCTCGGTTTATGATATTTCCGGGAACATGTCAGCAGTGACAAATCTGTACGATAAGTCTCTGGTAAGTGCCTTCTTCCCAGGAAAAGGATAACAATTGATAGTCGTTCAAGTATTGCTCAGAATGCTTCCTCAAAGTCTGGCGGCAGCGACTTCTTGCTCCAAAGCTAGCAGCAAGTGAGTTCACCAACTACCTAATCTCACAATTCGACGACCTGCAAGGAAACTGTTCCACAACATTACCATACACAACTTCAGCTGCAACTTTGTACCGAGGCACAGCAACCAGCACTGCTGCTGCTTCTACGACCTCACAGTCCAGTCCAACGACGACCTGTAGCGGGCAGCTCTTGGATGTTGTGAGTCCGCCGCTGGGCTGCAATGAGATTTCCGATACGTATAATGTGACGACTGGAGCTATTCGTGCAGTGACGAATGACTTCTTCTGCACGATTACAAGTCCGGTTTGCTTGCCATTGCCATGTGATATTGAAACAATTTGGGGTGGAGTATGGTGCGCATTCAAATGTGCTCCCCTTGAACGATCACGCGTTAATGGCAACTAGCACTGAGATCGCAGGGAACTTGTCTACTTCTATAACCTCTTTCTTGACCTGGAACTCCAATATCCAGGGCAGTTGCGACAACTTGGCAGCAGGTCAGAGGATTTGCACATCGTAAGTCTCTGAATTTCCAAACTGGGATCCACCGAGTAAAGTGTGACATCGCTGAGCATTTGTAGTGTCCCTGGTGGAAAGTATGTTTCTAGCGGAACGATATTTGCTCCGACTTCAGTTGGCCAATATTATACTACTGCCACACCGGCAGTGCCAACGCAATCCGGCTCGATTGACGATTGCGGAAATTATTACGATGTTGTTGCAGGAGACACTGTGAGTGAAGAAGAACATGAACTCTCGGAAGTGCTGGCTGACCTCTCAAGTGTAACCAAATAGCGCTGGTAAAGTATGAACGATCGCTGCGGACGAAAGAAAGACCCAGACATTGACCTCTTTGTAGTGGAATCACGTTTGCAGACCTCCAACTTTGGAACACATACGTGAGCTAGAACTTCTCAGTGCAACCACAACATTTCCTGACATAAGGATCTAGTTAAACAGCGGTTGCACCAATCTCTGGCTCAACTACGCTGTCTGTGTTGCGAAAATGACACAGCCAGCCATCTCAGCCGACGGGACTTGCGGCCCCGACAACAACTATACAACCTGTGTTGGCTCAAACTTCGGCAGGTCGGTGATCACACCCCTTCTCTCCTGTCGCATGCTAACACATTCAACAGCTGCTGCTCAATGAGCGGGTTCTGCGGAAGCACACCAGCATACTGCGGAGCCGGGGAATGCTACTCCGGGGCCTGCAACGGTACCTCATCCGGCGTGACGACTGACGGCACTTGCGGACCCAACACGGGCGGCTTGCTGTGCCAAAACCCGCTCTTTGGACCTTGTTGCTCGACTTCGGGGTACTGTGGGAACGGCACCGATTATTGCGGCGCTGGAAACTGCTATTCTGGCAGCTGTGATACTGATATCGGTGGTCTGAGCACGACGGGAGAGTGTGGACCGCTGTTCGCAGGTAATAAGACGTGCACTGGCACGCAGTTTGGGACGTGTTGTTCGACTGATGGGTATTGTGGTAATGGGACGGATTATTGCTCGAGTGGGCATTGCTATAGTGGGGCTTGCGAGGCCAGCACTACGACGTCCATCACGCCTCCGGGCCCAACGCAGACGGGAATCGCGGCAAATTGCAACGCATATTACTTGACACCATCAACGGGTAAGCATCGTTCTTCAACATTTGTTCTGTGCTGATTTGGTTTCAAAGGCTCATCTTGCGCTTCCATCGAGGCCTTGTACAACATAACCTTCGCGCAATTCTATGCCTGGAATCCTGCTGTTGGAAGCAATTGTGGCAGTCTATGGCTCGAGGAGGCGTATTGTGTTGGAGTATCTGGTTAGATGGTGGTCACGATTCCCACGACTTGTTCGTCGATGTAGCCTGAAATAACGAACGCCATGGGTGTTGTCCCTTGGTATTAGTATTACTATATTATGTTTTAGTAGTAGTGGCTTAATTAAGATAACATCACCTTACCTATTTTCAACTTTTCACAGATAACGTCGACTTCGAATCAGCCTCTTCCTAAGGTATAGGTACCTTAGTAGGTAGGTGGGTATCTCAGCCTCGCGCAGCAAAGCCTCATCGGGAAATCTTCGGCAAAACGTCGGGCGTCGAGAAAATTTAAGGATATTATCCAACCTCACGCACAGCTCAGGATCTCTTTCCGCTCACCAACAATCCTCCGCGCAACGATGAACGGGCCAGTATTTCATCCGCCAGGGGGCGGCGCCGACATGGGCGATGCGCAGGCCATGGCTGCTGTCAAGAGCGTATGTGTTTTCTCGAATGCCTTTCCCTATTGCCACACATGAGGGATCTTCCTCATCTCGAGGACTATCTATCGATCTCTATCCACCGCGGAAGATGATTCACGAGGAAACAAATAGCTGACTGGTTGAGATTCGCAGATGCAAGCACTGATGGAATCCTGTCCCGGGAAAACCGCAGTTTCAGGCGTAATGGGATTCGCACTCGGCGGAGCCTTCGGGCTCTTCATGGCCTCTGTATGCCCCCCCCCCCCCCCCCCCCACCTCCCCCCCCCCTCCTTTCTCCCACTCGATTCTCAACTCATCCTAACCCTCCCAATAGATGCAATACGACACGCCCCTCTCCAGCGGGCCCAACGGGACGAACATCACCTCCCTCCCACTGCGCGAGCAGCTGCGACGCGGGTTCCGCGACATGGGCTCGCGGTCCTACTCCTCGGCCAAGAACTTCGGCAAGGTGGGCGCCATCTTCGCAGGGACCGAGTGCTGTATCGAGGGCTTCCGCGCGAAGAATGATCTCGCGAACGGGGTCATGGCCGGGTGTATTACGGGAGGCGCGCTGGCGGCGCCGGCGGGGCCGCAGGCCGCGGCGTTGGGGTGTGCGGGCTTCGCGGCGTTTAGTTTGGCTATTGATGCGTATATGCGGAGACCGAGTGAGGATGATTAGATTAGGAGGGCCGTTTGCGGGCGCGGGTGGAAAGAGGGGGTTGTTGTATGAGTAGTAGGTTGGGTGATGATGATTGATTGACTGTCTGCTGCGGCATGGCTTGGAGTTTGGGGTCTTAGAGTGTATTATTTACTGTATAGGCATGGCTTGTATATTTCTGGTTGATAGAGGGAGGCGCGGGACTATGTCTGGTCTATATATAATCAAATCTCAACTGCGTATGATAGACAGACTTTCTGGCATCAGGGGCAAAGGGACCGGGAACTATCTTCGCAGTTCACTAGGTACATGGTCGAATACAAATAGATCTCAGAGCCTCAAAAGTAGAGTCGTTTGGCGGAAATTCCACATCTAACATTATCACTAGGTAGTCGTATAACATGATCCATCTACTAATCTAACCGTAGAGAGTCCTCAATTTCCCTAAACGCCGTTCTGTCCTAGTATACCTCCCCTCATAATCAAACACCAACCCCTACACCTCAGCTAACTGAACCGTCCATAACCCTAATTCATACCCCTACGATACCATCCCCGCGTCAATTCAAGTAGCTTTATACACAGAGAATGTACCAAACTCCCAATACGCATCAGCGAAAGCCGTATTGTTGTTCGCCACATAGTCTGTGCAGATCCCTGGGCCTATGCGTCTTGTTAGCCTCGCCTTTCGTAGAGAAACTGAGAAAGTGATATATGTATATATAGAGAGGGGGAGAGAGAAGAGACTTACAACTCTCGCCATAGATCTTCGGCGTTCCCGCCCAGCTTCCACACAGATCGATATTAGCGATAATGCTCTGGTTCCGGAAATGGTTCCCAACATTGCAATCCGTGCCTGGGAAATCGGCCGTGGCTACGCCCCATGAGCTGGGATCGGGGCTGCCGCTCTTGATGTCGGCCGGGAGGCCCGCGCGCGCGAATTGCCACATGCGGATGCCCTCGCTGCGCAGCTCCATAGCGACAACGCCGCCGCCCTGAGAGTTGAACGCGGAGCCGAAGGTAGAGGGCCCGGCGTGCACGCCGCATCCTGCATTGGCATCCGTGGTGTTCACGCAGCTATTCGAAAGCGACTTGCCGGTTTCCTTGCGCTTGACGCTCATGCTGCACCCGGGAGAGGTGTGCAGGGTCATCTGGTTCTCCGTGTTGGCGGCGACGACGTTCACAGCTTCCATGACGTCGATTTCGCCGTTCTGTGGCCAGTTCGCTGGGTCGCTGAGCCATAGCGCGGGCCAGGTGCCGCAGCCGGTGGGCGTGTGGATGACATCGAAGATGAAGAGCCCGTCCGAATACTGCTTCTTGGATTCAATACGGACGGAGAAGCGACCGGTGGAGGCGTTGGGCACTGTGTCTGCGTTGACGCTGGTATCTACTTTAAGGACGGCGGATGTGGAAGATGCATATGTGAGGTTGTATTGCGGAGAGTCTGCTTGGGCCGCAGGGACATAATGAACAAAGCCTTGAGCTGGATCATATCCGGTAAAGTAGTCAAAATTATCGAAGAAGCCGGTGCCAGAATCTGCTCTCCGTTATCAGCATGGGCAGAGGAACGGGATATGAAAAAGGGGGGGCGCACATGTATCGGTAAGAGCGTAATTCAGCTTCGAATAGTCCGGATACTTGTTGTTCTTCGTCACCTCCACGATAATGACGATCAGAACCACAATCGCGATGGCCAGGCCTGCAGCTACCAAGGCCAACTTCTTCTTCGACCAGGCGCGCACATCCCACCACCGCGGCGCCAGCGTGTCGTCTCTATCAACCTTATAGGGGGGTGGAGGTTCCATATTCGGTCCATCATAACTCGAGATCATGTGGACGTTCTCCGAATACTGATTCTGCCCTATCCCGACCATCTCTGCAACTTTAAGGAGCAAAACTTCTCCCTCGGGGTGGGCTGTTTGTATTCTTGCGCCCCAGACTTGCGCTGCCTCTCTTTCTGTTGCTGCTCCTCAAACGAATGTGATGGAGAAACGAATGATGAAACGAATGCTTTGAATATCGACGACTTCCGATATTCAATCTTTAATGCTGCAATCCTCGAGAGAGCGATAAGAAACAGAGAGTGACTGTAGGAAGGTTGAGTGCTCTGGCAGGGCAGGGAATCAGGGCAGCGGCACACGACGTACACACACACACATACGCACTCGCGTTGACGAATCGCCCGCTCCAGCCCACGCCACTGATTACGCAGGACACAGCCTACAAAAACAAAGCCCTGAACCAGACTTCGTAATGATTGACCATGGGCGACCTGGGACTGCATTGGGCGACTGCCCAACCACACATCCTCACTCAGTGACGACTCTACGAAGTGAAACCCGCGGTTTGGTCATGGAAAACTGGAGCTCGTCAATCACTGACTTATACCGTAATATGTCCTCCCTAGTCCTGCTTCAGTTACCACAGTTACCCCCTGCCGCGCACCGTGGTGGGGCTCCCGGATTGCGCTATACGGTATTTGCCTGACGGAGTATGGGGTAAGGTCGCGTCTGTATTACCGAATATTACCGTATTATTCTCCATCTCCAATCCTTTGATATCTGATCCCCAGGAACATCCGATATAAGGTAAATAGCAGCGTCCACACTGAGTCCTGATGTCCTCTGATTGGATGCTACAATTCTGTCACATTTACCTCCATATATCAGACCCAGATCCTACTGGACTCACGCTTGCCCCTATTCTTATCATTATCTTTATCATTATCATGATAAGAGCCCGACAGAGGTACAGTACTAACCCCCTCCCCCGCCAACCGTCCTCTTCTCGTAAACAGCAGCCAGATAACTGCTCGTGATTCCGAGGTCGACGTCCTTATGGTTGAGCGCTGTCATTGGATTTGTTGTCGTTACTGTGCTATGATAATATGATAATACTACTGTGTGATAACACTGCATTCTCATCAATCCCTGGCCCTGATGCCACTGATTATTGATTGACTCCTCGTATTTCAATGCTGTGTTACATACAGGATCCTAATATCGCAGTCCTGTACTCCTCATTCAACAAGAGACGGGAAAGCGCCGCGCCGGCTCGTCCTCGTTGATGTGCATCCCGTTTTGCCCGCTCTTCCGCGATGCAGCTTGTAAACCCTTCCTGTACTGTACAATGGCACTGCGCTCAACGGTTTAGATGCGCGTTGTAGTTTGGTCGAGCTTTGTACATTCCTGCTCGATGTTCCTCCCCAGACTGGATCTTCTTTGAAGGCCCGTTGATGCCCCTAACGAGACGGAGTGCTTGCCCCATCTCCTCCCTAATCCTCGTCCTCATCAATCCTCGCGCGCTTTGTCGATCGCTCCTCTCCTTCCTGGAGGCCGTATTCTCTCTTACTCGAACTCTCCCCCACCTTGTTCAGGAACTCATCCACATTGAAAACATCCCCCGTATCCTTCTCGAACTGAACCGGTCCCTCCCTCGCCTGCGTTCTCGGATTAGCATTGCCTTTGGTCTCCAGGAAGCCAGAAGAACTCACCTCGACATCAGCAGAACCCTTGAAAGTCCCTTTCCCAAGCGCCTCCGCAAACCTGCTACTCTTTTGAATCCTGCCCATTTCCGCCTCGGCAGCCTCGTCATCGTCGCCATCGTCCATATTGTGTCGAGGTCTATAGATGCTATTAACTGCGTCTTGAGCTGCAAATAGAGGCTTATCATATGCCTGATCCTCGTTGAAGCCCGAGTCGAATCCACTCGTGCGGTTGAACAGTCGTGAATCAAACATGCCTTCCGTGGACTGCGTAGGCTTCGCAAGACCTAGAGCCATCTTCTCCGAGATATCACGCCCCTGTTCTCGACTCAACATCTGCAGTTTCCTTTCAGTGCCCATTCGCGATTGTCGGAATTTTCGTTCCTCCTCTCGCATCCTCTCCCTACGCAGCTTCTCTCTCTCCCTGACTTCCTCGTCATCGCTCTCAGAACGATCCGATTCTGATTCGCTATAGCTTCCAGAACGTGATCTTGAAGATCTTGAGACCCGTCTTCCAGCTCCAGCCCTCTCTTCTCGGGCCTTTTGGGCAAGCATACGAAGATGTTCTTCCTTTTGCGCCTTCTCCTTCTCCGCTAACCGTTGCTGCATAAGCGCTCTCTGCTTGACTTCTTCTCTAGCATGTCTGTCGGCTGTAAAGAGCGCCTCGGCAAACTGCGCAAACTTGTCGTTGATAGTGACATCTTGTAAACCTCGTCCATCCGCAGCCAATCTCTTGTCTAGCGGAACAGTATAACCCTTCGGATTCTTCCAGTTCGAGACGGGTGGTGGGATCTTCCAAGCCTCCTGATCCTCTGCTGTCAATTTCCGTGGTGGCGAGTGCATGACAGGAGGCGGGGGACTAGGTGGACCTCTCGGAATCTTCTTGTGTTTAAACTTCGGAGGCTCCATGGGATCAACCTGTCTTTCCACAATCTTCATAATGCGGTCATTCTTCTTGCTTGTGTCGCCCATTTGGTTCGCCGGAGTATATCTAACATATGTCGGTTCCTTCCGCGGTCCGACGTTCACGTTCTTAGGCTTTTGTGCCGCCACCGCGCCGCTCACCAGTGCTGCGAGAGCATTCTGTGTCCGTTCCTTCGTAGCAGCTACCTCCTCCTCACTCGGTCGATCCAGGTTGATTTCCCCTGCATCAGCACGCTGTCGGAGTGGTATAAGATCCTTGAACGAGGCGTGAACGATCCGCTTATCATTGTGTCCTCGTCGCGCAATAGCATCGTATTTGACCTTCCCCTCTGCATCCACTTGAATTGCCAGCGCGTTACTGGAAGACTGTGATTTCCGCCCCATGTCCAGCGGGTATTGCGCGACTGGGATCTCGGGAAAGGCGCCTCCATCTCCAAAATCTTCCTGTCCTCTCGGTCGCCACCCCGCTCTGTTGCCATACGGTGGAGGGCCAGATTTCTTCACGAGTACGTTAGTAGAATGCAGAGACAGCGGCTGGGAGGTTTGACTGACCTTCAATACTATTTGGGTGTCATCGAGGGTTCCAGCTCCAAGGATGCGAGGTCCTCGTTGCTGCGCGTGGTGTGGTATCTCCTCTTCTTCGCCTGTATACTTGGGCTTCGGTAGAGCCCGTGACAAAGAAGCTGCTATTGATGTCATGATGAAGGTGGGGTCTGGGGAGGGAAGAGGAGAGAGGTCTGATATGTATCTTCGAGATGGAATCAAATTATCAGGTCGCGGTTCATCGCATCCTTGATAACACGCTAGCCGAAACAAGCATAGCACGGTACCGGTAGGTTATCTGGCACGAATGATCGATGTGAAGTTCACATCCAACGATAGACTTAAACGTAGTATTGAGCAGTGATACACATCTGAATATGATGTGGATTCGCTCGCTGTTTGTGAGCATATGGGGAATTATAAATGACGCTATTTATTCCCTTGATCCTCGGGGTCATAAGTTAAAAGTACACATAAAGTTTCGACTCCCCCAATGCCAAAGAATGCCCAATGTCCACTCCAAACCGATAACTCACACGTAACCCTTCCTTGCGCCCTATAAATCACAATCAGCATGATTGCCTGGCGCATTGCAGGGAGGTAACGTACCTGGAAGAAGAACCGAACAATGAACACCTGCAACCCAGCCATGCATACCATCATCAAGCTCTCAATCACGCTGAAGTTGAAAATGCGCCTCTCGGTACTCCTCACCGTGCTGAAATTCCGGTTCTCTCTGGTGCGGAAATACTTCTGGTTCCTTGTGATTGTCGAAAGCTGGCCTGAGAGCTTGAAGATAGACTCTTCCAATGCGGAGGTTTGCTCGGGTGAGGTGCCTTGTTTGGCTGGTAGAGAAGCGCGCTGTTCATTCTCGACCTACGTATTAAGAGCACGAAGTCAGCAATGACAATCCCTAGGGGAAGCGGGGTTGCGAAGCGCGAGTGGAACATACAGCAATTTCGAAATCCACAAACTTCTCAGCGAAGGTACTCATCTCGTTGTTGAAGCAGAATCTGTACTCGCCCGTCTCGCCAGCCGTGAAGACAAAATCGCCCTGTCGCTCCTTTTGACCATCTAAGATGACCTTGTCCTGCGGGCCCACAACCTCATAGTCGATATCGAAGGAACCTCCTGATTGAACCTATCCATGCCAATCTATTAGCACTTCCTGTAGTCTTGTAGATGCTGGGAGACAGAGGTATCTTACAGCGAAGTAGAAAGCGACCTTTGCACCCTTGTTCTCAACCCAAGAATAGAAACATGCTTTTTCGTTCGCCCCAAGCTTATACGTGAGAGCCGTCGCAGACACCAGTGGGGAAATGCAGGCCAAAAGGCCACAGGAGAGTGTTGACAATTTCATTGTGCTTGGTGCTTGTAGTGGGCTTCGATGATAGCACGACTCGATCGCGTTGTGGATTATCTGGCGGCGTGGCGCCGAAGTTCAGAATCGAGAATTCCCAAAACAGATGCCTAAGCGAGACGGTCAGGGGTTCCTATGGGATAACTCTTTCCCCCTTTTAGAATTTTGACTGGTGGGCTTATATGGGACCTTGAAATTTGCTACTCAGCTCCAGGTTCATCGTTTTGGACACTCATGGTGCATCTGGGCGGTTTTGAGATTCCAGCGTATCCTCTTGGCGGTGATAGGGGGAGAAGTGAAAGAAAAGAGAACAAGCCATATCCCAAGGATACCTGCTTCGAAGCTGCATAGATCAGGCCTAGCCCTTCTAACAGTGTGACTCTGTTCCAGATTCGATCAATAGCCTAGTGTGGATATAGTCTGCTGCCGACGATGCAAAGGACCAGAGCTTCTGCCGGGTTTCAACTCGTGCCATTGGCGAGCTAAGATTTCACTTCTCAATCACAATTGCAATTAATTACGTAGTTACTCCTCACTTTCTTCGAGGATTATTTCGAGAAGTGGATGTTATATACTGTTATTCTTTTCAAAGCATCGACATAATCTGCTATAATGCAACAGTCTACCACGCGGCCCGTGAAGCCTCATTAAGAGTCCCCAAACCATGGCTTGTTTTACCGCCAACCAAAGCGCCGTAGAGATGAACCTCTCCCTAAAATGCCCATATCTACTTCAAGAACAAGTCCCCAGCACCATTGCGTACGACTCGCGTCCTATCAACGTGGTCCAAACCAAGGGAATCGTCATCTTGAGTCGCAATATTCCAAAGTTCATCATCTATTAATGTCAGTCAGTGCTTCCGAGAATTAGAGTTGAGGGCCATACCATCAGTAAGATATGTTGGTTTCGTATATGTGCTTCTCTTCACCACAGCAAACTTGATCTTCTCGAAATTCTTGCCCTTTATGCCTGTTCGCTTTTCCAGTCGCTTTTTCGTGTCCGAAAATCTCTCCCCCTACGCACAGTCAGAACCAGGGGGAAATTTCCAAATCAGATTTTGACTTACATCAATCATACGGAACTTGAAAGGGATTCCGTGCGTTTTGTTGGGCTCATTGTGAAACTGGAATGCTTGAATGAACATGCTAGGGTCGACCTCCAAATCATCTTCCGGGATCCTTTCGGCGACTAATTGATTGTAATCTGAGATGCTGAGGACATGATGCTCACGAGGAAGCTCCTTGTGGATCTTGTTGTTGTGGACCTCATAGACCCGGATAGGGCCGGCCTTTGTCTCGTCATCAACTTGAGCTTTCTTAATTATAGCGGCAACGAGATCGTCGACATTTCCATTCTTTGGAACAAGGACTTCAAGCATCTCCTGAGACATTGTCAGCAAGGCCATAGTCTGCTAAACGGCAGATTTACCTCTTTAGTTATCCCCTCGCTCAGCCAGACAACTTTCATCACTTTCTTTGTGTCCAATTCTGAGAGACTAATGTCCAAAACCTCAAAGTAAAGAGAATCAGCTCTTTGGTTGTTGTTGCTAAAAGTGCTGTACGGAGGATTAAGGATGTTCTGCAGGTTCTGGCTCTGTCCACGCTTGACTGTAGCTTTCGGGTTGCCGGTTGTAACATTCACCGTCCAGAATCTGAGATGGGTAGGATCGATGTTCAGCTTCTCTCCAACTTTCGTAGCAAATTGGTCATAGGTATGCTTGGAGCTAAGAGCGAGCGTGAAAGACTCTTGTTCTGGAGTAGCCGTTCTCGGATGGGGGTAAAACTTGACAACCCGTCTATGGAGCAGGAAATCATAGAACACCCGCGCATCCTCGATGCGGTCTAACTGAGAATGTGATATCTTTGATGATATACTTCTGTCGTCGGCGTCAGTAAGCGTTAACTGGTGATGCATGAGGTGTGAGATTGACTCCCGGTCGGCTTCCGTGGATCTGGGTTCCGAGCCTCTTCCTTCCGAGCCTCGTTGGAAGCACACAATATCGCCATCTTGAAGTTCAGCCGTTTTCAGGGTTTGTTTGGCCTTCATAGGTTCGATCATAGAGGGTTTTATTTCCTATACGAGTGAGCCAGAAGCATTCATAACAAATGGAAACTGCATACCTCAAAGAGCCTCAATTGCAGCCTTTCTCCACTGGGTGTTTTCTCTGACCAGTGCATCTTCCTTAGGATTACTGGCACAAGATCTTCGACCTTCTTCTCTCTGCTGATGTAGACGTGTCCAGCGCCGGTTAGCATCTGTTTCTCAACATCGAACCACTTCAAAAAGAGTACTATAAGATCCGTCTTCGCAATCACCCCATTTGGAAGATAGGTGTGAGTCGGCGAGTTCGGATCACCTTCGAAATTGACATCTTCAATCAGCTCGGCCCAAACGCGTAAATCTGGTGATTTTGTCCCAGCCAATTTCTGGTAAGCTTCTTCGATCGTCATTTGCAACTCCATGACAGGTATATCAGGTCGTACTGTCTTGTTCTGACGGTTGACCATACACCAAATTCGCATTCGCTTGGGGTCGCTGTTGGTATCCTGCGCAACCTTTTCGATCAACTCTTGTATCGTAGTCTTTCGAAGTAAACGATATGATCTGGCTGCAGATGGATCGACTTCATATTTTGAGTCCCAATTAGTCAGATCCGTGCCAGTGTATGCACGGAAAGTGTCATCAGTAATCACCCGAACGTTAAGGTACAGGTGAGACTCCTCACGCTCTTTTCGGCGTGCCTCACGTTCAGCTGCTTCCTCCTCAAGTCGCTTCTCTGAACTCGTGTTAGCAAAGTCCCTAAAACTTGATCGTCTAACTTACGCAGATGTGGAGGGGTGTCTTCTTTAGTGACGGGGCAGAGGACCTTGTCAAGTCTACTCTGGCGGATATAAACCAACATATATGCGCTATTTTGACGCATCAGAGGTGTGCCTTTCTGAAGTGCTGGGACATGTCCGTTTGGAGGTAGGTATTCCCCTCCGTAATTATCCTCCAAGACTTCCCGCATAGTTGCTTTGGTGACCTTGTCATCATCGTACTTGTAAAACCATCCATCCTTACTGGGCTTTATGAAGGCGTAATAATGACCGGCATTCAAATCCCCGCTGTGCACTAGGACACTATGTAGTTGATAAATATAAGGTTCCGACTTGTCTGCTTCTTCAGATAAGTACGGCGATGCGTCAAATGTCTCCGGAAATTCATATCTATCGTTAATCTTCATCATAGCATCCCGTTCGACATCGTACTGGAAGCGCTTGAGCTGTAGGTTCAGCACATCCGGGAAACTCTCGAAAATGACACCTTTCTTTGCGTCCTGCAACTTAAACTCATCACCAGCAAAATACTGATTCTCGCCATCCATCGTCTCAACCTGAATGTAATCCTTGAAACTTTCAATGATGTCTTTGTTCCCGATGACGTTCAGTTGAATGTCCCAAAAATCTTCAACCCGGCGGGATTCGTAGTCGACGTTTATACACGAAATATACGTCCGGACCTTCCCAGAAAATAATTCGGGTAGCACATTTTCAGCGTCGGTTCCTTTCATCTTCTCCTCCATACGCTCCATTAGTTTGCGGGAGAGCTCCTGCACATCCTGCTGTTCGAAGATGTGTCTTGTCTCCCATCCAAAGGACTTGGTGAGTTCGTTCGTGCCTACAGCGTTATTCGATGTTTGGAGTTGGTAGAAGAGGCGTTGGAGGGTATATGCGCTATTTGTAAGGGTCTCTTCATCTTCTGTTGGGATTGAATAAACAGCCTATAATCCATGAGCGAATTGTTCCTTGCTTCCAAAATGAAGGAATCAGAACATCAGATAGAGGGAGAGGCTAACCTTTCGAAAAGCATTCGTGAAATATAACGATTGAATGAGCGAGTTCAAATAGCAAGTGGCTCCCTGATTCTTGAGTCCCACATAGCCAGTCTCTTTCTTTGAATCGTAATTGTGGAAATTGTGCCATAAGACACCGGTCTCATCCTTGACCACTCTGACGTATGCTGTCATCCTGGCTTCTTCATTCTCGACCAAAGGGCGACGACTGTCTTCCCACGGGATACTCCAGAGGCGCCGTAATTCTACGAACCGTGTAAAGCCCCAATCTCCCTCGTCCTTTGTAAACCGATGGTGGGCAGTGTGGTGCGCATACAGCGTGGGGTCATTTGCGTTCCAGAGTACAAGTCCAAATTGGACGCAGCAGACGAAATCATCCGGAGGTTTCCCATCTGGATAGCCGTGCTCAAGGTAGAAAGAAACATGATCAACATTATTGCCGGTAGGAAACATGAGCACGCGCCTTCGCTGGTCAGCATATAGAAATCAAGATGTCCAAGGGTTGTAGCCTCACCATGGAAACCCTCCAGATTCAAAAATTGGGCCATGCTCCCTCCGTGGTAAGCTCCGCCAGTTTTCTATGTGCCAGGTATGTACAGTCTCGTCGATTATCGGGGGTTGTTCTGCCAGGGGTGGCAGGACAATTTCTTTCATGGCCTCATCTGCCAACTTGGTCAGCGTTGCCTTCATGGAGCGAGGGGGCGGAAGGGGTCGACACACAGTCATCCGCACGAGGCTTATCCGGCATCTCGATATCGCTGTCGAGCGTGTCTGGATTAATGATGGCAACATCATCCTTCTCGTTCTCAGTCTGTTCGGTCACGTATTCGTCTGGGTCGACCAGCATGTCATTGGGCGACTCCATCTCTGCATCATAGGCCTGGAAAAGAAGCGAAGAATTCTCAGCATCGGCTGCGTCCATGTAAGGCATCTTGGGTAAAAGAAGAAGGGGAGGAGGGGGGCGAGGGAATAGGGGAACAGGAGGTGTCTTCCTTACGGGATCCATGATTGCGGATTGCAAGAATAGGTTCGCAAGCGCAAGCAAAGCAAAGCCGGATAACAAGAAACGAAGACAGAGCAGGCACCGGGACGCGGGGTGTAGCTTCTGGATAAGGGAGGGTTTGCGGTCACGGTGGTTGATGGCAGTAGCAGACAGCCGTCAATCAGCATGCAGAAGACACGCAAAGTTGGGATCCAAGGTCCCGTTGACAAAGGCAAAGGTAGAGAGAGGTAGGTAGAACTGGTGATAGACTCGACTTGGCTTTGCAGAGTTGCTTTCTCTCGCTTGTGGCGGCGGGACGCAATGACGCTGATAGACCGCGCTTAGTGGGAGGAGCTGCGGGGGGGTGTGCGCGTATTCATTCCTTTACGCCCTCATTTTCGGTGTGGAGGGACATGTATACACATAGGTATGGTGGATTATGTATTTTCTTTGTTGTTTTACGGGAGAGTACGGTGCCGTTTGCCTGGCAGGAGCTAAACCAGCTAATGGAGGCCAGAAAACGTCAAGGTGCGACAGCCCCTTCACAAGCCTGGGAATCATGCCTAAGTCCGGATCATGACTGAGGTATGATGGAGCCAGGATGCAAAGGGCAAGGCTGACAAATTCCGATACCTCCTAGCCGGCACAAGGCAGGCCATCGGCAGTGATGTTAACAATGTTCATGAGCACTACGCCCTCACTCACGCGAAGCGCTGCTGTTCAGTAGTCGGTATTAATAAGGTATACATTAACTGGCATTCGAGTGAAGGGGGGATATCCGCTATAACAATGACAAAACCACGCGCAATTACCCGCGCTCCCTTTTCCCAAGACAAAGAGCACACAAGGACACAGCTGTCATGACGCGGTCAGCAAACGCAATACCCTACTGCCCTTCAGCAGCATCTGCAGCAGCATATTTCACCGTCATTCCATCCTTTACATCTTTGCCCTTTCCACCGTAGACAGCAGGGAGCTCCTGTCCAAAGCTCTTGAGCTCTCCAGCCAAGTTGCTGCCATAACTAAGCGGATGGAACTTCTTGACCGTCTCGGGACTGAGGAAGATCTTCATGGCGGAGAAGACCCAGCCCATAACCAACGGCACATTCACAAAGAACTTCTCCTTCAGAAGCTCGGGATATGCCATGCTGAAGATCTGGATGGTCTCTTTTGATGCTGCGCGGATTGTTGGATCCATGCGGAGGAAGGACACGTTCAGGTAATCATGCACTTGAATCATCCGGTACGGGTCGGGCCCATTCTCTGGGATCTTCTCTGTTGCGGATGTAAGATCAAGCTCTTTGACTGATAATTCCATGAGCGCGGCACGCCATTTTACAAACCTGGATACATCATCAGACTTAATTTACCAATGGGAATTGACTAGAAATCTTACTCTTCGACATTTCCGAATGTTGCTTTGTTATCCTTGACTGCTCCATAGATGTTCCACGTAACGATTTCCTTGCTGTGGGTGTCTGACTTGGGGTATATTGTGACATATCCCAAGCCTCCAAACTTGGCCGGGTCAAACTCAGCCTCAAGAAGTTGAATGGGTTGGACGCGCTTCCGCCACTTTAGAGCTTCAAGCAGCTGAGCTTTTGCTTTAACTACGTCTTTGTTGTTGGCACGTAGGAACTTCTCGAGAATGATGGCTGATGGGACGTGGGTATCATCAGTGAGGTCTACGCCCCACATCTCTCGATAGTCAGCCTCCTTAATGATGGAGGGTAATTCGGCAAAGAGCTTGGACAATGGTGTTGTCGCCGATGGCTCGACACTCTTCTCGGGTTTGGCAGGAGCAGCGGCTTCTGATGGTACCTCAGCTGCTGTCGGCTGAGGTTCTTCGACAGCTGGGGCTGGGGCTGGAGCAGGAGTAGATTCTGCTGGAACTTGAGCCGTTGTTGCAGGCTTCGATTCTTCGACAACTGGAGCAGGAGCTGGTGCAGATTCTGCTGCAGCTTCAGCCGTCTTCGTCGCCTCCGATTCTTCGACAACTGGAGCAGGAGCTGGTGCAGATTCTGCTGCAGCTTCGGCCGTTTTTGTCGCCTCCGATTCTTCGACAGCAGGAGCAGGAGCTGCTTCTGCCGAAACTTCAGCCGTTGTTGTCGCCTTCGACTCTTCAACAGCTGGAGCTGGAACAGGCTCTGCTGGAATTTCAGCCGTTGTTGTAGGTTTCGGTTCTTCGACAACGGGGGCTGGAGCAGATTCTACTGGAGCCTCAGCCATTGTTGTAGATTTGGATTCTTCAGCAGCAGGAGCTGGAGATGGTTCAGTGGCTTCGGCCAATGCTTGTTCAGGTTTTGCGCTCATCTTTAATGGAAGTATAGGTGGAAATGAGTCGAGGATGGAACACGTGAGGATGAAGCTATTCTGAAACGCAGTGTGTTTATTAAGCTCAGCTGTAGATTTATCCTGTACGACAATATCTGCACTTCGCCTTAACCAACCGTTGAGGGTCGAAGGAGATAAATATCATGAATGGTGGTGGGTATAGATGCCAGCACACAGTCGCAGATCCTTGAACCGAAATCATACACTCGCATCCAAGCTCTAGGACGGGGGCGAGCATCATCCTCCCCCACCTCAAGGAACGAACACCCCTCTCCGCGATCTTTAGGGCACCTCTGCAAACAATCCTCCAAGGAACCTCAATTCCATTTTTGAATTTCGTATGGAATCGTCGGCATGCTGCGGTCGCTCTCGAAGAATGTCCCGAAGACCTCCAGGTTGACAAGAAGAGCTGGCAATCAAGCTGCCACGCATGTGCGAGCAATCCACAGTGCACCACCATGGAGACCAGCTTCTACATTAGACGAGTGAGCTTCCGCGAGTATAGAATAACGGCTATTTGCTGACACTGCTAGATGGGTTGCGAAGGAAGCCAGACCGATCAGTCTCAGACAGCTCATGTTCTTCAGCCGTTCCTTGACGGAAGCGCGATTGCTGAGCTCTGCAAATTATGTACGAACAGAGCTTCCTACGAGGTTAGTACTTGCGGACGTCGCCCGAGATGGTTCACACTGACTGACAGATCACAGGCTGGCCCACCGGATCAGAGACATGCAAACGCTCCCCTACGTGGTTGTCACGAACCCCTATATAAGTCAGGTATACGAAATGTACTACAAGGCGTTTGAGAGTTTCAGGCGGGTACGTGAGATCAAGACTTTGGAGGACAATGAGGCCTTCTGCAAAAAGATGAACCAGAAACTCCAGGAGCATCTGACGGTCATTCCAAAACTGGCCATGGGTGTTCTCGAGTGTAGAGACCTCATGAATCCAGAGCATATGGACAAGTTCATGAACACAATGCTACGTTCGGTATATATGGCTCCTCCTTAGCGACCTTGCATTGCAGTTCTGGTCAGCTTACATTACATGCAGAGAATCTCCAGGAGGGTGATCAGTGAGCAACATATTGCACTGCACGAAATCTTCAAGTCTTCTAAACACGTCCCCGATTCTAAATCCCCCGAGACCGAGTTTATAGGAGACGTCTTCCTGAAATGCAATGCCAAAGAAGTTGTAACCCGCTGCGGCGAGGAAGTCCGAGCCCTCGCAGCCGCTGCCTATGGACCCTCCACAATGCTCCCTGAAATTAAAGTCGTGGGGCATCTCGAAGCCACATTTCCCTACATCCTCAGCCATCTCGAATACATCATTGGCGAGCTGTTGCGGAACTCCGTCCAAGCTATTGTTGAAAAGCAAAAGCAATGCCCGAGTCCACCGTCCACCCCTCCGCCCATCGAAGTCACCATCTGCGAATCCCCGCAGCATGTCATCATCCGCATATCGGATCAGGGAGGCGGAATACCGAGAGATATCCTACCATATATATGGTCGTTCAGCAAAGGGCCACGGAGACACCAGCGCCTAGAGAATCTACACCAGGTGCCCAAGATGGCGGCTACGCTGCAGGAACTGCGGGTGGATGAGGCCTCACATGGAGGGCACACCACACATCATGGCTCTAGACATGTCACTTCGTTATCTTCGTTATCTAACAGACCACCAAACCTACGGCTGGGGATGGGTTTGCCATCAAGTCGCGTGTATGCGGAGTATTGGGCTGGGAGCTTGGAATTGCATAGTTTGGAAGGCTATGGCGTCGATGCCTTCTTGCAAATCTCGAAACTGGGAAACAAGAACGAGCAACTGACAACGCGGGCAAGCATGGATGCGGTCTAACGAAATCACAAACGCCATGAATGTATACGTATAATAAAATCAAAATTTCACAGGCTGGAATATCGTGAGAAGCATGAATTACATCGTGGCTAAAGCTAGAGTGAAGAAGCTGGGGGAAGCCAGCTATAAATTAGGCAGCTTCCTGAACATACTGCAGCAGAAAAAAAAAGGAAATGCGTTGCCAATGACCTGCTTGCAACCTCGACCCGCTTTTGCTCCCTAATCACAGTCCACAAACTTTGCGCCTTCAGACAGATAACTTAACGACGACCGTGGCTGCGGATAGCGCTGCCCTGCATCTGCTCAAGTTCCTGCTCCAAGGCCTTGATAGCAGCGTGTGTGCTCTCCAAGTCCTTGTTCAAGCGATCACGCTCACTGATGAGCTTCTGCTCCCATTGTCTGAATCGGTGTTCCTCAATCTTGACCTGCTCTGTGAATCGCTTCCTCAAGCTCTCCTCCTCTTCCTTGAACTTGGGGTTATCGAGCTTTCTTGGCCTGGCTTCACCGAACTTTCGCGTCTCCATCTGCGCCGCACGGTAAGCTTCGTAGTGTTGCTCTTCGGTGGTGTGGATCAAATCGAGCATGTGTGTTCGGATCAAGATGGAGCGAAGCTTCTTGAAATCGCAGTGATCCTCGTTCTCGACTTCCGCGACACCCCAGGAATATTGGCGGCCCTTGACAATGCGACCGTCGCTAGTCTTAACGTCCTTCTCGGAGCCAATGACCGCGAATGGCATCGCAGCCATCAGGCTTCGTGCATGCTGGGCGGCAGCCTCGTCGTCTTCCTCAATGGGCGGTGTGTAGATCTTGATACCTTGGGCTTCAATAACAGCCCGAATCTATAAATATCGTTAGTATTCATGATCAGATTGCTTTCTCGGGGCGGCCTACTCTTTGCTTGTAGCGAGCCAAGTCAGCTGGGCTGAGAGTATCAGCCTTCGCAACAACGGGAATCAAGTTGACTCTGGAGCTCAGTCTCTTCATGACCTCGATGTCCAAAGGCTTCAGGGTGTGTCCGGTGGGTCTGATAAAGTACAAGCAGGCGTGAACACGGAGGTCGATCTTGTCAACACGACGGGGTTGCTGCTCTTGCAACATGTAAGACTCATGCTGATCATCCAGGAATTCGATGATTGGCATCCATGAATCACGGTTGTTGACATAGTCTCCGAAACCAGGTGTGTCGATAACGGTCAAGCGGACTGTAGAACTGTCAGTAACTGCCAAGTCGAACAATCAGGTTATGAGCCTGTACCCTTGAAAAACTTCTCTTCCAGTTCGGCCTTTGTGATCTCGATCTCGACAGTCTTGTCAACCTGCTTTGCGTGTCTGCGCTTGTGGTCTGCGTAGTTCTTGATAGTGGTGGAGAAGAGAGTGTTGATAAAGGTCGTCTTTCCCAGTCCAGACTCACCAGCAACCTATAATACAAGATCAGTGCGCGCTCTGCGAGATGAACTCAAATATCGGGGGTGCTCACCATGATAGTGAAGGCTGCTCCTCTCTTTGCGACAATCTTGTGTCGCTGGTTTGGTAAATTCGCAATCCCAATAGGGGACGCGCTTTCTGCGGTAGCTGGAGCCATTGTGGGATTGTTTGATTCTTGTATGGCGCTGCGTGTGATGGTTCAAGACGATGCTTGACTCTAGGTAGAGAAGGGTAGACGATGAAAGGGAGAGGTGTGAAGAATCGACCTCGTTCAGGAGACTCGAGTTGGCAGAAATTCGAAGTCGGACCTCTGCCCCTGGATATTACTCTCGCTTGGAAGTTGGACCCCATACACACAAAAGGAGCTACGCTAAATTAGTCCGCATTCGTCCCGCCGTTCAGTTCTGGCCGTCGGATTAATAGACGGCCCGTGTTCTGGAAAATCGACGTAGGACCCAGAAAAAAAGAGTTCGCCCTCAAAACCTCAATGAAGATGCCAATCCAACGGTGACAATGAAGACGGAGTTCAAGGTAAGGAGCCCCTCGGTGCCCTTGTATTACTTGACATATACTCAAACTGCGCATAGTTCTCCAACCTTTTAGGGACGGTCTACAGTCAGGGGGACCTGCTTTTCAGCCCTGATGGGACCTGTCTGTTCTCTCCAGTAGGAAATCGAGTCACGGTTTTCGATCTGGTGAAGTGAGTCCTTGCAACATTCTCCTGGCTAGCTGGATCTGCATCTAACAAATCGCAGCAATAAGTCGCATACTCTCCCTTTTGCGCATCGAAAAAATATCACAAGACTTGCCCTTACACCGCGGGGTAACCTCCTCTTGTCGATCGACGAAGATGGCCGTGCGATATTGACCAATGTTCCGCGAAGGATCGCCCTTCACCATTTTACCTTCAGATCTCCTGTTTCGGCGCTTGCCTTCTCTCCTTCTGGGCGTCATTTTGTTGTGGGAGTTGGCCGGCATATCGAAGTATGGCATACCCCTTCCACTCCAGATCAAAACGTGGACGGGGAGTTAGAGTTCGCTCCTTTCGTACGGCATCGAGTATACACAGGCCATTATGACATTGTTCAGAGACTTGAGTGGTCCAGCGATTCACGCTTCTTTTTAAGTGCGGCCAAGGATTTGACGGCTCGAATATGGAGTTTGGATCCCGAGGAGGGATTTGTACCAACAACACTGGCGGGGCACCGGGAAGGCGTTCTGGGAGCATACTTCTCCAAAGATCAGGAGACCATATACACGATCAGTAAGGATGGAGCTGTATTCGAATGGGCGTATTTACCAGACCCAAATGCGCCAGAGCCAACAGAAGACGAAGAGATGCGAGATATTGACGATGATACCCACACAAGATGGAGGATTGCGGAGCGACACTACTTCATGCAAAACAACGCAAAAGTAAATTGTGTGGCTTATCATGCGGAGACCAATTTACTAGTGGCAGGGTTTTCGAATGGTGTTTTTGGCCTTTACGAGATGCCAGAGTTTAATATGATACATACGCTCAGTATCTCGCAAAACAACATCGACTTTGTCACCATCAACAAGACCGGCGAATGGTTGGCATTTGGCGCGTCAAAGCTGGGCCAACTTTTAGTTTGGGAGTGGCAGTCCGAGTCATATATCTTGAAACAGCAAGGACATTTTGACTCGATGAATGCCTTGGTCTACTCCCCTGATGGTCAAAAGATTATTACAACTGCCGACGATGGCAAGATCAAGGTATGGGACGTCAAGTCTGGCTTCTGTATCGTGACCTTTACAGAGCACACGAGCGGAGTTACAGCTTGCGAGTTTGCCAAACAGGGCAATGTGCTCTTCACCTCGAGTCTTGACGGTTCCATTCGAGCCTGGGACTTGATTAGATACCGAAATTTCCGGACCTTCACAGCACCAACACGCTTGTCATTTTCCTGTTTAGCTGTTGATCCCAGCGGTGATGTGGTCTGCGCCGGTTCCATTGACTCTTTTGATATTCACATCTGGTCCGTCCAGACAGGTCAACTGCTTGACCGCCTAGCGGGTCATGAAGGACCGGTTTCTTCACTAGCTTTTGCTCCTGATGGTAGTGTTGTCGTCAGCGGGAGCTGGGATCACACTGTTCGAATATGGACAGTCTTTGATCGAACACAGACAAGTGAGCCTCTTCAGCTACAAGCAGATGTCCTCGATGTCGCCTTCCGACCCGACTCAAAGCAGCTGGCCGTGTCAACATTAGATGGTCAGCTGACTTTTTGGTCGGTCTCGGAAGCGCAGCAGCAATCAGGAGTGGATGGACGAAGAGATGTTTCTGGTGGTCGCAAGATTACTGATCGGCGGACCGCCGCAAATGCTGCCGGTACAAAGAGTTTCAGCACCATCAGATATAGTGCAGATGGTACTTGTGTACTCGCAGCCGGGAACAGCAAGTACATCTGCTTGTACTCCGTCTCCTCGCTCGTTCTCTTGAAGAAATTTACAGTCAGTGTCAATCTGTCATTATCAGGAACGCAGGAATTCCTTAACAGCAAGCTATTGACCGAAGCGGGGCCAGAGGGTCTCATTGACGACCAAGGCGAGGCATCAGACTTGGAAGATCGTCTCGATAAATCGCTTCCCGGGTCCAAACGTGGTGGCGATCCTTCTGTTCGGAAACGCATGCCAGAAGTTCGAGTGACGGGTGTGGCATTCTCTCCTGCAGGAAGATCATTCTGTGCTGCATCAACCGAAGGATTACTGATATATAGCTTGGACACTATGCCGCTATTCGATCCCATCGATCTGGATCTGACTGTGACTCCGGCATCAACATTACATGTTTTAGAAAAAGAGAAGGATTATCTGAAGGCCCTGGTCATGGCATTCCGGCTCAACGAAGCGCCCTTGTTACGGAAGGTCTTCGAAGGCATCCCGCATAATAGCATCGGCCTAGTGGTTGAAGAATTGCCTACGGTATATCTGCAACGGCTCCTCCGCTTCGTAGCCATCCAAGCCGAAGAATCACCTCACCTCGAATTCTGCCTTTTATGGATCCAAGCGATACTGGTGTCGCATGGTCGATGGGTTGGCGAAAACCGGGGTACGGTCGAAGCCGAATTAAGGACGGTCAGTCGAGCAGTGGCCAAAATCAAAGATGAGTTGAGAAGACTGGCAGACGAGAACGTCTTTACGGTCGACTATCTTCTAAGCCAGCCCCTTGCTAAGGAGGGCGCCACAAATGGGACGACCGATATCCTGAAGAGCATCACAAATGGAGAAACCCACATGGTAGACGTGGATGAGGAAGAGGATGATGACGATGAGGCGGAGTGGATAGGTTTAGATTAGGAAGATACCAATCGGAAAGGGTTCAAAAGCATCTTCCCATCTCTCGATTCCAGAAAACTTTTGAGTGAAGGATCTTGTGTCACCAAGTGCCTGACGCCCATCCTAACCCGTCAGGAGGGGAAGTAGTTCCACAGTAACTCTCCCTACCTGGCGAGACGGCCACACTATCTATCATCTGGCATGTAGCAGATTCGAACTCGGTTCCATTTTTGATCTTGGAGAAAATGATTTCATCAGTGCAAGTGCTTCACATGCAGATGCCACGCGTCAAAGCTGTGATTGTGTTCCTTTAAGCAAAGACGTCTTTTAATTTTCGAAGCGGAAACTAGATGTGCCAATTCCCTGGGTAAAATATGACCGTGTCCAATCCTCGGATTCCGCTCCATCCCAACCTCACTCATCCAGTATGTCGAACGTCCGTCCGGCTCCTTCATCCGTATGAAATTACATAGGTATCTAACCATCATAGGTATCCAACCATCGTTCAATGAAAGCCATGCACAGAACCCCATACCCGTCTTGATACCCAACTCCCCCTATCCCTATCCCTATCCCTCGCCATCCCCCCTCCCCCCCCTTTTTTTAACAAAAAAAAACCCCTCTCAACCCCTCTTCCATTCATCAATTCAATTCATCTAACACGCACCTTCCCCGGCCTCTCCATCCTCTCCATCCCGCCCTCCAGCTCCAGCTCCCATATCTGTATCTTCATCTCCCTCTTCTCCTCTTCCCCATCCTCCTCCTCCTTCCCATCCCTCTCTACCTCACTCTCCCCATCCCCCTTCCGTCCCCATCCTCCACATACTCTCCTCCGAAACACAAACAACAAGATGAACACAAGCACAAGAACCGTAACGATGACGCTGAGCGCGATTGCTGCACCGGTGGATAATCTTGTGGTGTGTGATGTGGATGTGGAGGAGGTGGGGTGAGGTGGGAGAGAAGTGGGTTGGTCGAGAGATCGGGGTGTGAGGGGGGTGCTTGTGCGTGGAAGTGGAAGTGGAAGGTACATTTATTTGGATGTTTGATGGTTGGATGGTTGGTGGTTTGCGGGTTGTTTTTGAGGGGGGGTTGGGATTGGGGTTTTGATTTGGATATATGGATATAAATGCGCTCTCTCTCTTTTCTCTTTCTCTTTCTCTCCCTCTCTCTCTCTCTCCCTCCTCTCTCTTTATATACATAAACCAAAAACCCAATCCCTACCTTATTATCTTACCTACCTACCTTACTCTATCCAGGCAGCAAAAAAACGCCCCCCTACCTACCCCCCAAGGTAAAGTAAGGTAACCTCGCAAAGCAAAAGAAAAAAAAAAAGAGAAAATCGGTCAAACAAAACCCCTTTCTGACACACATAAGGTTACTGCGTCATCCATCAGGCAGCCATAGATGCAAGGGCGGGGGTTCAATATTTTGTGTGGGATGAGGTAAGGAGGGAGGGATCATGTAAGGTAGGTTTGCATAATGGTGATTGATGGAGGGAGGGAGTGGCTTGTGGTTTGTGGTTTGTGGTTTGTGGTGATGATGATGGTGATGGTGATGATGGTGCTTATTGGTGGTTTGGTGGGTTGGTAATGCGGTGCGGCTTCGGCCTGAGTCATCACACCGATGACTGGACTGGGGAAGGGGGATTACTGTACGAAAGGAAAAAAGAAAAGGAAATGAATGAATGAATGAATGAATGAATGAATGAATGAATGAATGATAAAATTATTAGCTAGGAATGCGTGTTTAAAACAACCTTCATCATCCCGTCCTTCATAAGCTTGGATCCCCACGAGTATAGCATAGAACGTCGAGCCAAGAGCAAATATCTTCCAACACCGTTTATAAGAGCAGGATATTTCATTTCTGGCATATCTCATCCCGTTTATCTTGTTACATTTGCCCTGTTTTAATTTCCTGCCTAGACATGGTCTGGAAGGTTAGTTATCAAGCCGAGGAAAGATGAATGAAACGTCGTTCAACTTCAGAGTCGCCATCTGCTACTCCTGTGGGGATCGCCTTCTCCGTACAGTATATGCCAGGTGAGGTGAAGCGAAAACCGCGATGAGAAAGAAAGGCCTGGTCCCTAGAGCTGCAAGTTTCACGTGCTATTCGTCTTGGTGCCTTTCCAACCGAATAATTGACGTGCAGTTAGCTGCCGTTGTTTTATCAATTTGGTATCTCGAAAATGCTCAAGCGTCCAGGGAGAGGTGTTGATCGCTCGGCCTTGTCCAAGCTTCCAGTGCGTGAAGGTGATAATACGTCGCCCCAAGCTATCTAAGTAGACTCTTGCCACCACCGATGCGTCAAGACTTGGTCTATCGTTATTCTAGCCGTCGGGTCTGGATTTGTCATTCCAGATATCATGTTCTGTGCCTCGGGGCCAAGCTCCTCCCCCCAGCGCTCGAATCTTAGTTCAGGCTGTTCCTTAACTGCCTCCTCAGCTATTCTTGACGCTCCACGTAAGGCAACACACCATTTCTCATTGTTGACTTGCTTAAGGAGCCCGTCGGAAACGGGCCCAAAATAGGAAAAGTGTCGAGTCAGAATCTCTTGTTCCGGACTGATACCATGCTTTACTAGCTCCTGGTAATTGTTTATAAGAAGCATCTCCCCGCCCCCAAGAGCATATATGCACTGTACACAAAGGTTAGCATGAATTCTTGAATTTAAACATGGCTCACCTACTACCAGTCCAAACGAGAAGATGTCTGACGCCTTTGTCACGCCCCTTCCAGTCTGTCCTTCTGGGCTTCGCCACATGGCATTCCCTATCGCATAAGGAGTCTGACGAGACTCTCCACCTTCGGATTTAAAAGCGATATCAAAATCGCCCAGGGCCACATCGGTGACTGTTTTGTTACCGTCTTTGTCGCAAGTCCAATTGACCAAAATGTTATCAGGCTTCACATCTACCAAGATCGATTCATCAGTTTAGATGTCTTGAAGGGCAATAATTTCTGGATTGTGGAGACTGTACCGATGTGGATCCAGTTTTTGCTATGAAGTTCTTGTATTCCCTCTCCTGTACGTCGCAAGATTTTTATTCGTTCCGCCGGAGGAAACTCCGGATCTTCCTGAAGCAAGGCAAGCAGGGTGCTTCTGAAATATGGCTAGATTAGAATGCAATCTTCTTGATTGCAATCGATGTGCATTCGAAGCCGATGTGCGCCTGCAAACTCGGCTGCGAGGCGAAGAGATCGATCGTAGAACGGCCTAGGTACGCGCTTGAAGACAAAAGACTCATTTCCGGACCCGAGTGAGATGTATCAGAGATATGGCTAAGCTGTGAGAAGGGCATGGCGTGTGAAACGTACTCGGCCTTGAAGATGCTGAGCTTATGGTCCTCGCGATGATGCTGGAGCACCTCGCCTTGAACGTACACGCGACCGGATTTGCCGACTATGGTGGATGCCATTCTGATACTTGTACTGTAGGCAAGCCGACGGAAGGGTGTATAGCAGGCAAAACGGTTGAGAGACATCAAAGAAGAAATGAGTCGATTTGGAGAGTAAGAAATGGTCGAAATTAGGAGATGGTCATATTACTGTCGTCTGGTCTTCGGATTTAGTTTTGACCGACAACGGGCCTTCGTCGTCATCCCGTAGCGATGCGACTGAAAATATCTCTCGACTGAGAATCAAAGCTCTTGAACTCTCGGTGGAAGTTGTTCTAGTCATCAGCTACATCTTTTGCCGGCCTACCCCTTTTTCAATGCATCACTCCCATGACAGCATTTGCTCCTCTGTTCTTTTCACGGATGGTCAATGTATGAAACGAAGGTGCGCCATAGATGACCTGAGCAGCCAGCAGATGGTATGTGGGTATTTGGAAAGAAGATGTGAAGTGGAGAGAGATGGACGAGCGGGTGCCGTCTTTGATAGACGTTGAAAGCCGCACCGGGCCCGTCCGCGCGCCTTGCCCGAAGCGGGCGGTCGCTAAACCCCGCGTGGGGAACTGAGATATAGATTGAAACCGTCCCATATCATACCTTACTTTTAAAAACTAATACATAAGTTGTCAATTTTTGAGCCCCATGCGTTTCCCCATACAAGACCTATAATACCCGAGATCCTCCCCTCCGTGGCTGCAATTAGAGACGAATCTCCCTGGGCCGTCGGTCTTCATAATCCTTCCAAGCTTCCTCAAACCCAACGCTTCTTGCCCAGTGATTGCCCGTATCCTCCACACTATCAATAACCATATTCCCGATCTTCTCCCACATAGGTCCTTTAATCCTCGTCCACTCCTCTTCCTCATACGGTTTCGAAACCCGCTGTCCATTAGCCACGGCCCTCCCTAGTTTGATCGCATGTCCATCATCGTCAAACTCACACAGTCGCCGGAAGATACCTTTCCAGTCCGTCTCGCTAGCTTCCGATTTGACAGGCGCGTATCCCGCGACCTCGTCCAAGAGGAGTTCGGGGGAGCGCCGAGATGCGTACATGGCGAGATCCACATAGCCCTTGAACTTGAGCAGGCGGATCTTAGAAGCTTCGGAGAGCCAGGACTGCGCGTTGAAGGTGGGGAAGAAGACAGAGGCGTTGACACAATGCATGTAGTAGAAGTCGAATTTGACCTGCCCCGTTAAGACTTCGTTAGCGCACGGTCTCCAAAAATTCGGGCCCGGTTTAATTTTTTGGTATACCTGTTTTGGAGGGTTCTGGGCTGTAGCTGTAAAGTATATCGCGGCGTTGGTCATCTCGGCCGTCTTCTTCTCGAGCTCTCCTGGAGACACCGTCCACTGGCTTGCGTAACGGATCATCTCATCCGCTGCGCGCCCCAGCGTCCCATCACGTAGCTTATTCGGATCGCTCCACCAAGCAGCCGTAGATAGCTTCTTGTCGGCTCTAATTTCGTCAAGCAGCTGCGGGAGAGTTTTGGTGCTTGGGGACGTCGAAGCTTTCTCGACTCGGAGGAGGTAATCCCCGGTCCATGAGTCGTGCGTGGCAGCTTGGGCTAATGCTTCCGCGATGATTGCCGGCTGGTGAAATTCAATTCCAAACCCGAGGTGTATGAGAGGATGCAAAAATCCTATGTGGCGGTCAGTACCGTGAGGTCTCAATATGCTTGAGTGGAGACATACCAGAATACATCCGAGTCAACAGATCATCAGCTCGCTCATCCCCCGCGAAAAGGTACTCATTCAGCACGTTCTCCCATCCCTTCTTCTCCATCTCCTTCTGCCAGAAGACGAGGAAGTCGCGATAGTATTTGCCCTGTCCGAGATACGTCTTGAAATGGTCCGGACTGGCCGCCATGTCTTGGACAACACTGTCCTCGAGTAGAACAGCGGGCCGCTGGTAGGAGGCATTCTGCATGTAGTGCCTCTCGATAGCAGAAGCCGGGGCTCCCAGCCCGTAAAGAGTGAGAAGGTGATGCGCAATGTGATTGTGAAAGCCGGTGTCGTTGAAGTAGATGTGATGCCTCTGGATCACGTGTTAGTCACGATCCCTAAGTCCCTTGACACGAGTGATCAGTACATCGTGGTTTTCCTGGAGCAGCTCCGACGTCCTCTCTGCCGCTGCTGTACTCTGGGGCTTGAAGGGCACGATGCCGGTATCCTCGACCGTCAAATGGATCTTGTCCGGCGCAGCCATGATTTCGTTTAGTCCACTGGGAACCCTCCGCCACTCCTGAAAGGTCGATGCCGTGGTTGTTGTCCGGAACTGAGCAGGATGGGAGAGACAGGGCAGGAATCGCGGGTTCTTCGCATGCAGCGTGGAAGATGGAAAGCACAGTGTCTTGGTTTTGCATCTCCGCATCTTGCATTCGCAAACGACACGTTATACCATCTTATTATATGTGTGCATCAGGGATCCCTCACACAGGATCTGCTTTATCATCACAGGGCATGTTTGGGTTACGTCAAGTGAGGGGGAGCTTTCCCCCGCATTGCCCGGCTGACATGGCTGCCGGTTTGTTCTATGTGGATTCCAATCGTCTCGAATAGCTGTCTTGTGGGCTGGGGGCTCAAGAGCAATCGCTGCCGTGGCCGAGGGGATTCTGCTGGTTCCTATGCCGTGGCGAGGGCGCGTGTTGGCTCTTGGAGACGGGAGTGGAGAATGGTTGGCAAGCGACTGCGCGAGGCATGGAAGATCAATCAACTGGCAATCAAGAACGGAATCATTTCAGATATCACTCACTGATGCCGTCAGTCATGCAAGAACTGACAATCACCTGCCTCTCCATCCCTACGTACTGGAGAAGTTGTTTGTATATTTGAATATTTGAAGAATTAGTAAATAATAGTAAGTGAGAGGCTGGCCTGACCCGCGTCGCTTATTCTTGGATATGACGAAGGTCTCAATGGACCTCAGATCATGCGATTCCGGGATATCCAGCCTTGCCTTTTCCATCTTCCTGCTATTGCCGTCTTTTCTTTTTTCTTTTTTCTTTCTCGCTTTTCCTCCCAATATTCTCCTATTCTCCCTCCTCTGTTTCTCTCTTCTTTTTTTCCCTTCTCACGTCTTGCTTGGCTCCATGTCTCCTTGGCCATCATGACGTCGTTTCAGGACAGTGTAACTGTTGCGAGCTCCGCCGCTCTCCGTATCGTCGCCTATGTCTTTCTAAGATGGATACCGGCAAGTGTATGTAGCACCTGTGCCTCCTTGCAGTTACGTCCCGCGCTGAGAACCATTGCACCAGTTTTTGCCCAACGTCATCTGGACCCTTTTCGCCATTTACATCCCCTCCTTTCTCACAAGCTTCTTCACGCGGTCACCATACCAGGTCTTGGAGGATGAAATCCGCGTCACTATAGCAGAGACAGAGACTGAGGATCCGTCAACCGCTCCGCCGTCGACAGCTGGCGCTTCTCGAGATCCTGGCACGGGAGACAGGCCGGCACGTTTTGAGGAAGTGGAAGTGGATGAAACGGTGGTGGTAAAGAAAAGGTCACCCCGGCCATGGCGGACAATGTTGACAGGGCTCCCAAGCCCTACCTCTACGTTATGGTCTCTGGCTACACTGTTGGTCAATGTTCTCCTGGTTTTGGCTGCAGCAGATCTCGTGTACCGGGCAAAGCTCTTCTACCCGAGTCATGATCTTTCATTTGCTCGGATGGGGTATATTTCGCCAACGGAGGCCAATTTGCTCATTCGAGAGCCACATCCATCTCAATTGCCAATCTCTGTCTCGTACCGACTTGTGACTCCTCCTGCTGCATACGAGGACCCGGCATGGCAACCTGCCGGCACCATCACATCCCTTGGAAGTGACACAGATTATACTGGCGTGGTAACCTTTCCTATTCCCATTCATCCAGATAGGACTTATCAATGGGCTACTTCCAACAATCACACCGGATTTTTCACTGTCCCTCCTAAGCCTGGACAGGTTCCGAAAACGTATGATTCCCTGAGGGCATTTCTTCTTTCCACATATCATCCTGACCTGCCAGGACATTCTCTTTGAGGTTTCCCCCCGAGGAAGCATGTTCACTATTCTTACTACCTTTCTTATCATGCGATTGCTAACCCCTGTTTTCTAGAGGGTTCACATTCTTGACCACCAGCTGCATCAAGGCCCGGTTCCCGTATAATCCACTTGATCAACACCCGTTGAGTATGCCCGGATTCAGGTACATGGCAGATGTTATCAAGTCCATTCCAGGAGGCGCACAATTCATGCTCTTCCTTGGGGATTTCATTTACATTGATGTCCCAAAGAGATTTGGTGTCACTGTCGAGGATTACCGCAGGGAGTATAGACAAGTCTACGCATCACCTGATTGGCCGGCTGTGGGTCAGAATTTAAGCTGGATCCACGTCTTGGATGACCATGAAATCGAGAATGATTGGGACAAAAATACCACCGGTGTGTATAAGGCTGCGTCTGATCCTTGGCACCACTATCAAACTGCGGTAAATCCACCAAAGGCACGCCAAGCCGGGAACTATTACCAAGCTAGGGAGGGTGCAACCTATTTTGAATTTACCCAGGGTCCAGCATCATTTTTCATGATGGATACCAGAACTTATCGAGATTCATCTAGCCGACTCCCTGCGAACAGTACTGAGAAGACCATGCTTGGATCTGAGCAACTTGAGGATCTTCTAGCATTTTTGGCTAAGCCAGAACCAAAAGGCGTTAAATGGAAGATTATTGCTTCCAGCGTCCCATTTACGAAAAATTGGCGCTTGAATGCGCAGGATACCTGGGCTGGGTATCTCGGCGAACGTCAAAAAATCCTGGAAGCGATGTGGGATGTAGGTCTTCAAGGCGGTGTTGGCGTCGTTATTGTATCTGGCGATCGACATGAGTTTGCGGCCACTGCTTTCCCACCACCAGTTGGTGGGAAGTGGCCGGTCAGTGCAACGGTCCATGAATTTTCGACGAGCCCGTTGAATCAATTCTATCTACCAATACCATCTTATTTCCAAACGGACGAGGAAGATGTCAAAGTGAAGTAAGTTTGAATTGTCCAAAGCGTTTATCCCAAGCTAACGGGACCCAGGTATATTCCTAATGGAAATTCAAAGGTGGGAGCTATTACTATTGATAATACCTCTAGTGACCAGAGTATCTTGAAGTTCCGTCTGTATATAGACGGGGTTGAGGCTTGGTCCTCAGTTCTCCTCTCGCCTCCCTCAATAGCAGGGAGCCGCAGGGACAAGGATGTTCTCTGGGGTTAGAAATAGAATGGATCTATTAGAGGAAATATTCAAAGCGGCGTTAGGGGTTCGAGATATAGACTGTCACTTGGAATCATGTATTCAAATCAAAGCCGCGTGAGTTCAGAGAGCAAGTGCTAAGACTTGCTATTCGGTCATTTCCCCGTGCTTGTGCTTATACCGGTAGGTCTTTTGATCTGGATGCTATTGCAGGTATTGTTGGCAAAGAAATCATCAATAGTACGATTGTCTTTGTTGGTTGTCAATAGTCTTGTCATTCACGATTTCCTATTGTCGTTAGTCTTAGTATTGTTCTTTGGAATTTCTTGCTGTTCAACTCAAATTCACCAAATTCACTCAAGAGCTTCGAATCGGTAGCCGATATAAAGACCCTCTTCTACCACCGATCCTCCTCTTCTTCTTCCTCTCTACAAAATTTTCCATTCTCCAACCGACTTGCAAGTCAGTCAAGCACTTGACAATTCTTCAACCTTTCGATCGTCTTTACCGTCTACCAATACCCAATCCACACATTTACTCTCACGTCTTCTACCTCTACCTCTTTCTCATTCCAACCACCTCCGAACTACCTTCGATACGTATCGCGATACCTATCGCACATATTGGACGTCTTCCATAACGAGACTCTCCAGTCTACTCTAACACACACATCAAACTCATGTAAGTTGCTGTCCGTCCTTCCCTTTCCCTGCGCATTATCTACAGTATCAATGTCAGACGCTCTTGTGCCTAAGGCCTTCCCCTTCCCCCTTCCCTATCACCATTGCTTCATTCGAGTCCCCAGCATTGCTTCAAGCCTTCCTCAATCCGAAGCTAGACACTCTTCTATCTTACTCTCGATTACGTTTGCTAACGCTACTTCTACTTTAGTCACACAAGCTTTTGCGGCAGACTCTTGATCATACTGTGAGTAGACTTGCACGAAATATCTCTGACAATTCTCGGTGTTATTCACTCTTGTCCCTTACTCTTGTCCCCCTTCTGCAAATCGCGCCCCTTCTTCAAATTTCTGATCAATTTTCTTTGACCACAGTGCACTAACCTCATCTCAGCAGTCAGTCGTCTTCACTTGTGGAAAGCAAGTGAATCGGCTACCTCTGTCCTTATTCTCGAACATCTCCAACACTTGACCTCAACCACAACACCAACCAACAATAATCACCAAGCTCACGTCAAGATGGGTAACAAGAACATCAGATCCAAGCAGGTGTCCGTTGTCCAACGCAAGCCCTCGAACGCCTCCTCTGTCTCTTCGAAGATGGAGTCTGCCCCACTCAGCACCGTCAGCTCTGATGACGTTTTTACTGATAACGCCGGCGTCAAGCAAGCCGCTCTTGGAAAGGAGAAACTTGACAATCAACCCATTGGTCTCCCATTCCGCTCTTACCAGACGGGCACCCTGAAGACCGACAACTTTGACCCGTCTCTCTCCGCCTCTGCTGGTCAAGCCTTGCCACCCACTATGTCCAAGAAGAAACTCTCCGGTGCTTCGCCCGCCTTTGTCCCCGCCAACCGAAAGCAATTCAATTCTTCCCCAAAGTCTGTCGGACAGACTTCCGTCACTGGCCTCTCATCCCAGTCCTCGCCATCAGGCTACTCCTACAAACAAAGCTCAAGTGCCTTTACCACTCCGACCAAGGTCGCCAGCACCGTGGTCACCACTCCATCCACCACTGGTTATTACCGTTCTGGCTCCCCAGTCAAAGCACCACGTAGCTTCCTCACTCGTGCTGATAAATCCAAGAAGGATATCATCATCACTTCCTCCTCCATCACCCACAACATCGTCCGCATTACGGAGAAACAGCTCCCAACTGGATTTCCCTACCAACATCGCTCCGAGGAATTCAACCCCGAGAAATACAATGTTGTGGATGTCGTCTCCAAGATGGATATCAAGGAACGCAAGGACTTCTGGGAGAAAAACTGGATCGAGATCATCGTGGACCTTGATGAATTCACCGACGCCTCGGACAGCAGCAAGGTGGAGAACAAGAGCCAGGGACTCGTCGTCAAGAAGCAGAATCCCATCGTCGCCATGATGGACAAATTTGGGCCCGAGTTCTACGAATACGCACACACCGTATTCATCACCATCTGCATCCCGGCCTCCATGAGCACCAGCGATGCCAACACCAACAAGACTACCACCGCCAGCTTCACCAAAGCCCAACAAGAATCCGGTCCATTCCAAGCGATCCAAAGCCTCGTGACGGCGCTCCACCAATTCACGCAGCTCACGCACCTCTCCATCATCCTGCGCACTCCCTCCAATGCCCGCACGCCGCTCTCCCTCTCACAACTCAACCTCGCGCTCCCTTTCTACGAGCTGGCCTTCACGGACTGGGATCTCAGATGGCAGACGAGCTACATGAGTCGATCGGAGCAGGTGCGCGGTTGGCCAATTACGTATCTGGATAAGGAACGGCAGAAGATGGACAGGATGGCGGAGATGGAGTTGCAGGAGGTAGTGTTTAGAAGAGTGAGTCGGGCGCCTATGGTGCATCATCTTCCCTTCTTGCCACGCGTTGAGAAGGCTCTGATCTAGAGATGACCATTCATTCAAATTCCTCTTTTCGTCGAGGCAGGAATGAATCGTTTAACAGCGGTTTCTTTTCTTGATTCGCATTAGGAATTGATGGATGGGCTCTTGAATCTTGGGGTTGGGTTGGTCTTCTGAGGCTTTGGCTTTGGCTTTGGCACATCCCATACCCCGTATTTCGTTTCTTTCTGGAGTGTATTACAGAATTCGATACTTTGGTGTAGTAGCAGCAAGACACAGAGGAGGAAAGTTCATCAATCATTGCGTTGCGTTCTCATAGCACGGACAGAACAAGTCTTCAAAATCCAATGAGAATTCTATCCATCATTCAATGAAATCCGGAGACTGGAGGTGTGACCCTGTTTATGGAAATGAGAGTTTTCTTTTTTGTTTCTTTTTTTATCCTTCTTTTCTTTTTTGAGTGAAGAGATAGATAGATGGGATGTGTATGTTTGATGTGATGTGGTGAATGCTTCTGCCCTCTCTATCTCTCTATCGCCTGATGTTTCTTTCCCCTTACATGATGGTCCGTCATACCTATGCATATACCCATCTTCCAAACTCTATCCAGCACCTTACTTCATCCCAACCTCCTCCCTTCCCTCGCTTTCTTCACTTCCCTCCCTCATACTATACACCTACCTATTTTCCTTTTACCACCCCCCCCCCCCCCCTTTCTCTTTTTTCCCCCCCGCCCAAACAGCAACAAAAACCAGCCTGCCATCCTTCTTTCTCACTTCATATCAAAGCCAGTAAGCTAATTGATGAATGACCTATAATCAAGACTCGTCGGATCCGGGGAAGACCATGATCGGGGGGTTGGTAGACGTAATAGATACTATTAGATAGGAGTAGGTAGTGATTTGGGGGTTTGATTGTTGAGGGAAGTAAAGAAGGGTTGGGATTTAAAATTTTATTTGGGGGGATTTGATATCGGTTTTGAAACTTGTATGGTATGGTATGATTTTGAGTTTGGTTGATGATTGGAATGTTTTAGATGTCTTGGATAGGATTGACCTCGTGTTAAATGATGGGTAGTGCGAGATTGAGGGACGCTCTTCATGGTCAATGGGGCATTGTACTTTCGTGATAGTAGGTACATATTCATTTTTCCAGATCACGCGAATAGGTTTGAGCTATTAGCCACGGGATCTTTCTATTCGCCTTGAGGCTCTCGCGATAGTTGCGATTGTCAAGGAGAGGAGCTTTGTTGCCAAAATAGCTACATCATGGTCTGACTTTGAAGCTAGAGCTGCAATTCAAACCTCTGAAGTATTCTAATGCCTTCGGACGTAAGGAGCCATCCGTTTGCTTTCTCTGCGGCAATGCGACAGGAGATGTCACATGACCCTGTAAAACATCACGAGTTCAGCCCCAGCTATTTTAGCATAGCTTATTATCTACTTATATGAGATTCAGCTGCATTGAGTTCGAAAGGCAAGACATTGAAATCACTTAAATTCAGTCGGAATAGCCGGGATACCTTAGCATCAAGCTCGCATGCGGTAAAAGTACACGTGACGTACATAGAGGAAGGGGATCGATCGTGTCGCAAGTTGACAAGTCGAAGAAGAAGCGGCTGGGATAAGCGTTCGCAAAGAAACAAAAGAAACTCTCTTCAGAACTGGGCGTCGGCAAAACGTTTCGAAATCGAATCGAGTGCCGCGAGCACCACACAAGAGCTTTGCATTAGCCTTGCATTGCCAGCTCATCGTCTCGTCTAGGATTGATTATGCGCTGCGCGGGAAAGGGTTGAGGAGGCGTAGGGTTGAATGGACGAGCGAAGCATATACGACTGACTGTCTGTGTGTGCGCGATATTGGTGCAAGCGTCCCCCGACCAGCGCATCTCTTCGGCTTCCCGGCGAGAGAGCGACAAAAGTGACAAAAGAGAACTTCGTCGAGGGCCGTGCTGTGAGTTGTCTCCTCAACCATAGCCGAGTTGTGCGCGCTGTAAGTATAGGTACCGGACATACAGTGCAAGCTGGGGTAGACAACTCAGGCAAGAGAACAGGGGAGAGGAGATGAAAGGAGGAGAGGGAAAAGCAGAGGCAAAAGCTGGCTACTGACCAACGTGTGAAGGCATATATACATCAATATATATATATATACCGATATATATGCGCGTTTGTAGAGAGGTCAATAATCATGCTCATGCAAGACTCTTGCACCTCCTATACCTCCTGATCTCCCCTTCTGGCAGATGACAACGCCCCAGCCACTGCTCAGACCAGGGCAACACAAACTTTCCCCAACAAAGGGCGCATCTCGCTCTCGATGGAGCGCCTGGCGTGTCCAGTCCACGTAGTGCCACCCGAGGAAGCTTATATCATATATCTCACGCCGTGGTAGGCTGGTAGTGGTAGCTGCATCTGATGTCGCAGCGGTACATGTACATCGAGCTGTACTCTGTACGCCGTATGTAGGCTGCTGGAAACAGAAGACAAGAGGCCAGAGGCGTGTTCTCTTGCGGCGAGATCCGACCGAGTGCCTGCACCGCACGACGACGAGATTGGGCCAGCAGCGGCGCATCCTTGTCGACGGGGCGCTCTGGGTCTGTGCTGGCCATGCTGTTGCCAGGGCCTTGAGCCTGCCTTGATCCTGACTCGCTGCGTCGTGATTGGCGCCGTGACGCTCGTTCTCCAGCCCTCGTCGGCGCAGACTCCAGAGCGCGGTGGACGAGGGAGCAAGGAAGGCCAGGGGGGACGCGCTGCGTTGGCACTGGGAGAGCGGAGTGGGTGGTGGTGCACTGGGTGGCCAACGACAGAGGGCGAATGGCACAGAGAAGAGCCCTTTTGCCCTTTGTCTTTTGCCCATTTCCATCTCCATCACCATTCCCATCTCCATTCCCATTTCTTTGCGACCATCCCCACGATTATGAACAGCTGAAGCGCCGCCGCCGCCGTTGCTGTCGAAGGAGGAGAAGGTTGAATTGAAGGTTGGCTCTGCTCTGCTCTGCTCTCTCAACTCGACCATCTCGCTCGCTACGGAGTACTGTAGGAGAACCACCACCAACCCCTCAAGACCGCGGAAAATCCATCTCTGGGCTGGATTTTGCTATTTGCTCTTTGCTTGGTATTTCCCTCCACTGGCATCATCTCGAAGCTGTCCAGCTCGAGATCGCAGCCAGTTGACAACCAGATGGGGCCATGATACACATGCAGCGTTCTCTCTCCCTGCCGGGCCCGGCGCACGCCTCTCCTCGTACGTCCTCTCTCTCTCTGCACCCTCGAGCTTGAAATATCTACATATATACATTTGTATGTACACACACACATATATATACTGATCTTTGGAATCCTAGCTGTCTCACCTACCATCACACAGCTATCCTCGCGAAGTCCCACCCCGTCTCCTCCTGAGAACCACGCCGTTCCCCCGAGACTTCATCGATACCAGTCCCGCAGTCCTCAGCGCCCCCCTTCAGCGTATAAGGAGAAGCCTGCAGAGCGAGAAAGAACACGGAGCTTCACCCGACATGCTTCGCCATCCCCAGCTCCCCGCAGACAAGAGGCCATTGTTGAATTGACCCTGAATCCAAACATCCCTTCTGAAGCCGAGCCTCCTGCTACCCCCACAAAGCTGCTTCATCCGCCTCTGCTCCAGGATATCTCACAGTATACTAACCCACAGATCAGTGCCGTGACCGACACGAGTGATACCACCACCCTGGATGAACTCGCACACTTGGTCCGGCTCTCAACATACCAGGAGAGGAAAAGAGCGCATTCTCGCGTTCGATTACAGAGGTCCTTGGTTTCCACAGCCCTCTCCGCTCGTCTGGCACGATGCGGAGAGCTGGCACACAGGACTTTGGTTGACAATTTTAGGGCAGATGAGAAGAAGAGCTTCGCCAATTTGTACAATGCAATCCATGATGTCCGGAACTCATGCGATGCCACCCGGAAATACGCCTTGTTGGAGCCCGATTTGGATAAAGGTCGCCCACACCCCAACGGCCGTGATGATTCAGACTGCTTGTCCACGTTCATGAACGAAATACCCCAGCGTTCCCGTGAGACCCTTCTCAATTTCTTGACCCAGATCCGGACAAATCCAGATTATTTGGCCAGCCGCATTGCAAGTCTCACACCTGCAGAGCTGAGTGCTCTGACAATATTCCACCAAGGATTGGAGCCCATAGATTCTGTTTTGCCATTTCATACTCGTTCAAAAGGTGCTGCTTCTAGTATTCATCGCAATTCGTCCCATATACCCACTGCAGTTGAGCGTTTGCTTTCTTTCCAGCGTCATGATCCCTTATCTGCTCTGATTCATACTTGCTTTGCCAATTCAGCCGGTCCCGATTCCGTTGAGGACCTCAGGAGAACCGATGTTTGGGCAACCACCTGCGCCAGGTTGATTACTGAAAGCAAGCCAGGTACAGATCCATTTATCTGTAGTGTTCTCAATGTCTGGACAGCAATGCGAGATTGGTCCGGGCGGAGCAACATGGAATGGTATCTCATGAAGATCCTTGAGGATGGAGCTTTCTTATTGGAAAGGGCCGAGGAACAAGCTGGGCCACGTATCCACGTTGAACCACGGAGTGCCAAGGACACCATAGCTGCGGATGAGTTCTATGAGGCAGCAATCAAAGGTCTCTTCGAGGTTGTTGACGATCCTGGAGCAGGAGGAATTCCGGAGGGTCTCCTTGAACTGGGCAATGCCATACTCCGGAAGCTTGACCCCAAGAGGCACAATCCCACCAGGAGATTTCTTGTTTCGAAATGGCTTTTTTCGGTTTTTCTCCTTAACGCCATCATCCATCCCGAGGTAGGTGATTCCTACATCTATCTCCTCTTATCTCTAAAACTAACCTCTTCTCAGTCCTACGGCATGATGTCAGAATACCATATTACTGAGTATGGCAGACAAAAGATCCTGAAAGAAGTCGCCATGAGATCGCAAAGACTTGTCGTCGATATGACCTGGTGCGAGCTCACGATAGACACGTTTCATTCAAGTTGCTAATAGACCATACTAGGAACAAATCGGCTTCTACTCCGCTTGCGCTCAAGGGTCACATCGAGAATATAATGGCTCGTTTCCGTTCGAGCCGGCCGTCTAGGCCAAATGCAAAGCTTCTCCCTGCAAGATCCATTACTTCCTTGAGAGAGACTGCGGAAGTCCATCCATACCTCGTCTTGGGTCCTTCGGATCTGATGACTATGGTAAATGCTCTCTTCCCCGAGAGACGTCCTGTCTCTAGTTCTCTATCGAAAGACCACTTCAATGGCTTGCGGTCTGGTGCCTCCTCAATCTCGGGGATCAATGCTATCTCAATGTCAATGCCCATGCAGGCTCGTGGCGCTTTTGACAATGCCTCCATCCTCAGTACTAGTGGATCATCGGTGATCAGTGATACCACTACTTCGCGTGAACCTCTACTTGACGACGGCTCGAACAGCGCACAGAGGTTTTCGCCCGCCTCGGTAGCATCTGGCCAATCCCAACGTCTAAGCTGCTACGAAGACGATGGGTTTGAGCTTCGTGTAGCCATTTATGAAATGGTACAGACTCTTGGGGCCGACGGGATCTCTGGAGCCTGCCATCCTTGCGCCGAACGCTGGGCTGTCCTCTTCATATCTCCAGACGGGCAGAAATTATCCACGCAGATGAAGCATGATCCTGACGACGAAGGCGATGACGAATATACTTCCAGCAGCGAGAGCGATGATGAGGATAATGGATCGCGCCCCGACCTGGATACAAACTACCACCAATTGCGAGACTCGATCCTCAAGCTTGTCGAAGATTACGAGATTCCCCAATCGCTTGATTCTAAGAGCGAGACAAAAACCTTCAGCAATAGAACTTCTGCTTTTGATAGTCCTCGGAAGAAACAACGCAGCAGGCCAGGGTCATCCGCACAAGCGCAATCAAAGAATCCTTATCGCCCGCGCGATCCATCTCCCGAAAAGACGAAGCATGTTGATGCCAAGCCTAAGCAGCGAAAAGAGTCTGACGGCCGGAAGCACGCAGAATCAGAGCCGCCGTCGGTCCTGATCTATATGCTCGAAGCTGCTGAGAAACAGTGTAGGGATCAATGCCTCTATACAAATGCCCACTTGTACTGGAAGACGTTGAATCAGCTTCAACAAATCTCTTCTCCGTCGTTGAAGAAAGATGGGTTTGCCTCTCTTTTGAATATCTTCTCTAGAGGCCCTCGCGACTCCATTAGACGCTCCACCAGTGCAATTGAGGAATACGAGGCCTGGTTAGTCTGGCTTAAACAATCCCAAGAACGTCACGATGTAACTATCGAATCCATGATGAAGCGTCTGAAAGCTCTACGAGACAAGATGTGGTACGTTACGGATGTCAGGAATTCCGCGGCCTACGAAGGGGCCCGAAATATTGCGGTCGCTCTGAAGTGTATGGCGTCGCCAAAAAAGAACCCGTATCTATCATCAGGAGGTTTGCGGCCCCGCATCATATCACGACCGTCTCCCAATAACTTCCTCCTGAAGACCGAAGCCCAAGTCATGGAAGCGATGGCAGCTTCCGAGGAGCAAGGGGGACCCAATAAGCTGTCTGATGAGCAATCAGAGAGGACTTTGCGATGGTTGTCCCAGTTCGGCATCGAGAACTTCTGCAAAGGTGAAGAGCGAATTCACAGGTTCTGTTTGGAAATCGAGACCTGCATCAATAAGCTGGTCGGCGATAATCTGATGGATGGGCCAGTCCTTTGGTCGAGCGAGCTTTACTATCGGGACAAGCGCATCTTGGACAGTGGGAGACAAAAGGGGGACCTTTTTCTCAACGGCATCGGATCGTTGAACATATCTGGAGATGATCCTAACGAGGCGGAGACTGGGCGGCGAGGCCTGAGAAGTACGGACTTCAATCGACCGGGTAATCTTCGCTCGATGTCAGTGAGGAACGGCTCGCAGCAGAGTTTTGATTCTGGCAGATACAGCATGTCTAGATTGAGTACGACAGGAGATCTCCTGGATTCCCAAGACTACTTCGGTATGGCCAGCCCAGTCTTGACTATTGATTCTGCTACCACATTCTGGTCACCATTCCAAACCCGAGCTCAATCGCCAACAACCAGCATCAGTAGCCATCGCCCAGGAACCGCATCATCCACAAACGAGACAGTCATGATGAAGGAAGACCGTGCGGGTCTAGCAAGGCAACGCTTTCTCACCGATTTGAAGCAGACCCTGACAAGTTTGCTCATCAGTGACCTCGGCACCCTCGTCTTTGCGCGAGGTAGTGAGACTGATGCTTGGTTCTCAGGAAGCCTTGGTCAGGATTGTATGGAGAGAAAGGAGCGGCTCGATCGAAAGGCTAGAAGAAAAAGTAAAAGAAGGACACTTGAGAAGAAGAAAAGTTTTAGGGACCTGCGCGGCGCTCAAAGGCCTGAGGTAGCAACCGAATATCCTGAAGCCCATACTGAGCGAGGAGAGAAGGCCACGGTAGCAGGGTCTCGGCCATCGCCAGAGCACGGGGCTGCGGAAGGCTCTTCGACAGCTGAATACTCTTCTACCAATGACACCAGTGGAAGCGGTTCAAGGAAGAGTGTGTCGAAGGAATCGGAACTACCGGAATTCCCTTACAGAGTAGCATTCCAGCGGCTACTGAGAATGTTTTCAGTTCATCCAAACCCGTATGCAAAGCTGAATGCTTTGTTTGAGCTAGAACATTTGATCGTAGCATATCTGACGCCTTCAGCGCCACGGCGTCCAAGAATTCGCCAGGATTCGGTGACTGCCCCTCAGTCACCGCCACCCGAAATTCAACACAATCCTTTTGGCCCCAGCGAGGCCACGCCAGCCGCACCGCGAGCCAAGAATCTCGAAGAGGCTATCGACAACTGCAAAGAACGACGTTCGCACATCATAAATCTTCCCGAGACTTCCTCGCCTGTCCACCGGGTGGCAGAGAAATCCTCGAGCTTGCCTAATCCCGCGAGCACTGACATGATCGTCGATGTCCTACAAGACCTTTTCCGCGATGCAGATATAAGGCCAAAGACTCTGTTTCGCGATCTCCAATTTATCGCGTCCTTCGTACCGGCCGCTATCCTTGATAAGACGGAGCGCGGCAAGGCTTTCTGGGATGCCGGGCTTGCCGCTCTGGGCCTGAAGCAGGATGTGTGCCGGACGCTCATAGAAATCGCAGACGAGATCGTGGTCCACTACACCCAAACACGCAAGACTGTTTCCTCAGCCTCCGAAGCTCCTCCGGCGACCAACGGGAGCGGAGAGTTGATGAAATACAGTATGCAGGACGCTGCCAAGATGTGGACCATCACTGCAAAAGAAGGAGATCCTGTCGCCGAGAGAGAACTAGCGATCTTTTACCTTACACACCCCGAGCTTGTGGAGAGGGTTACAGCACCGTTGAGTAAGCCGAGAGAAACGTTCAAGGCGCAAGTCATGGAAATGCACGGTGGAGGTGGTACAGTGAAGGAGGAGAGGGATCGGGAAAGGAGTGACCCGGCAACGATGTGTGTTGCTTATCATTGGATGGAGTTGTCTGCTTTAGGGGGTGACGAGCTAGCCAAGAAGTACCTGAGGCAAAGGGAGGAACTTAATGCAATCCCCTGACCGCCGTCCTCATCTTGCCGCTGTCCTCCCCAACTCGAAGTCTCGAGTATGACGATAATGGATAAAAGGGAGTTTTGGTTTCCATGGATGATTGTTATTTTTGTTTTCTTTCTCTTCTCGTCGTCTAGTACACAAAGATACCATACCATGCATGATGAAAGGCATTTAGCGACATTCTTCGTTTTTCTGGGCCAGGCTGTCTGATTTATGTATGTTTTTTGCTTTGCTCCTGCGATAGATGAGATGAGATGAATGAATGACGATCGTGCGTAAAAGGACGGTTTGCTTCTTTATCGGGCTGTCAGGTCGGTTATCTGTACAACTCTTATGATTAGATTGGACAGGATGGAATTGATCAAAAGGGTTTCGCGATGTAGCTTTGATGTTGTATGTTTTGAGTGTGTGTGAGTACGATCAGTTCTTAGAGCTGCGTTGTCTATAACTCATGGCTGGTTCTTTTTTGGGGGGGGGAAGTCAAGTCTTGCATCCCATCATGATATCCCTGGTTCCCCCATATATCTAGCAAAAAGCTCGGCAGCAGCTCCCCCATCTTGATTTCCTTCCCCTCTTCCCCCCTTTCTTTCCCCTTATCCACTCCCACTCCCCTCACTCACTCACTCACTCACTCACTCACTAAACCCCTCCTTCCCTACTGCCCTAATACGTCACAATCCGTCATAATCCACATCCATCTCACATCCCACCTGGACCACCTTACTTACTCGTAGCTTAGCTTATAAATAAATAAACAATAGAAGGTTCGATTCAGCAATGTGATTTTTATAGATTTCATGACATAGAGAAAGAAGATGATGGGTTTTTTTTTTTGCGGTAGAGAAATATAGGTTCTTTTTTCGATCAGATCAGGTATGGATGGGGAAGAATATCTTGCTCGCATCAAAGCTATAGAGCATGCATGATATTATAATTTCCCATTCTCCCTCCATCCCGTTCTTCTTGAAATATCAAATGAGGCATCCCCATCGCCATCCCATCCCAAGCCCTTATATTCGAACCACTCACTCCCCACACCACACAGACAGGATATCAATATCAATAACATAACATATCATAAAAGAGGAACTGAACCCAGAGTAGGATATTGCCGTGAACCAAAGTTGATAATTCATGCATGCAATGCGCACCTTTTCGTTCCCCGCACCACGTGAATGGAGAGAAGAAGGGGAATGTGTGGATATCAATCACATAAAAACATATCAATACTTCTTCTTCTTTTCCAGCAAGAACCTCCTATTCATCCATCCATTCCTTCTTTTTCTTTCTCCCGCCCTTTTTCTCTCTCTCGAGGGGGGGATTTCATCCCAAGCCAACATGCCCACGCAACGCCTCCCCTACCCACGCCGCTCCGCATAGTAATCCAAAAACTAGCAGAACTCGCATTTCGAGCTCGGGACCGCGCGCAAAGGATACATGTTCAAGAAAGGGAGCGAGAAGTAGCCGGACTGGCCGAAGTTATTCTGGACGTCGTTTTCTTGACCCCGGATGTCGTCGGTGCTGAATGTCCAGGTGCCGTTGTCGTTGCAGGGGGTGGGTTGAGCTGCGCTGTTTTGGGGGAAGGGGGGAATATTGTTAATATTGTGTTTGTTTGGTTGGATGGTTGGATAGGTAGGGGAAGGGGGAAGGGGGAGAAAGTAAATTAAAAATTAAACATACCTCCCGCAATTCCCATACAGGTGAGTAACATTCAGAGTGAAGCCGAGCGGGCTAGGAAAAAACCCAAACGTCACGTTGGGATTGGCGCATGGTTCATTGACTGGGTAGCCGTCGATGGCGAACTCGTAGGATGTGGAGCTGAAATAACGACATGTGGTGTTGAAGCCCTGCGGTGTGGTCGTTGGGGTATCGATGATTTTGAGCGACCACCTGGAGAGAGAGAAATTCAGCCGCTTCTTTGGTAAGGTAGGTAAGGCAGGGTAAAAAAAGATAAAAGGTAAGAGGTAAAAGGTAAACGGGATTTGGGAGGGGAAAGAAAAAAGAATGAGTGAGTGAGCCTTACGAGCCGCCGGTTCCGTGACGAGTGTTGGAGATGCTGATGTTGGTCACCAGCCAAGGGACAGGGACGAGGTATTCAGTCTGAGCGAAGACGAGGCTCGAGGTGGTGGTTGCGACCACTGCTAGGAGGGTCGAGAGGCGCATTTCGAATGGGTGAGAAGTGCGGATGTTTTGGAGTTGAAAGGGGCGAATGAGGATCTTAGGATTGAGGATTGATTGAAAATTAATGGGTTTCGGGTGCTCTCAGGCTTTCTGAGGAATTATGCAGATATAAATTTGGATTGGACTGGATTATAGAAATAGATGATGGGTAGAAAAGAAGGGGAAGAGCAGATGGCGGCGGGCCCTTGTGGGTTATAGTTTATAATTTATAGTTTTCAACTAAAAGTATAGCAGTGAGACTATAGAAAAGGTAAATAAAGATCAAATGTATCTGTCCAGGCAAGTCAGTGCACGAGAGGGCCAAGAGAGGAAGAGAGAGAGAGAGAGAGAGCTGATGATGGCGGAGGATTCTCTCTCGTGAACGCTGAGCCGGTCTCTTGCGTACGGAAAGCAACTCTCGACGAGGATGTGGGATATATTAATAGCAATGAAGAAGTCGATCGAGGGGCAAGACAGAGCAGATACGAGGCTTGGGAACGATGGACACGAGGGGCGACTGAGGTGCACAACACCCATTACTCGTGTTGCTCGTCGATCATTGTGGTCCGGCTGCTGCGAAAAGTCCCTTGATTGGAGGGCCGGCCAATGAATGAATTTGTCTGTTGCTCAACCACACCGATGTTGTCGGGTGCGGGCATCTCAATTGCTGAACTGTTCTGGTTGTTGTTGTCCAACCAATACCAAACAAACATATCATAAGCTTCTCTGTGCGCTGTCGACTCTTGAACCCAATTGCACACTGCTGCAGGAGGCGGTACAATTCTCCGAGAAACTGTTGAAGATGTCTCACACATCTTGACCGGAAAAGGATAGGTTCACCAGAAAAAAGACAAGACGTCCTGTACCCCTGAGCAGACCATCTCATTCATAATGCATCGTTCCTCGGCCCCGTATACGACGGGTGGACGTGGCGGAGAACCAGTACCTTAGGGGTCGTCCTCGTCGCCTCCACTCCGAGTCGACGGCTTTCTTGGGGGTTACTCCAGAAACATCATCTTCATTTACTATCACAAGGAATTTAGTTGGTAGAAAAGTATCCGTAGCTTAATACTCAAAAGAGTAAATTTAAGGTACTTGGTATTTTAATAGAAGTAACGCGCCTGAATAACAAATGTGGAAAACACTCCTACAATACGAAAGGACTAGATTTACGACCTTGTCTTCCTTATACTATAATACCATGGCTGAATTACCCTTCCTACATACCTTACCTTACTTCGACATTCATGTCGCATACTAATACTATAGAAATTCCATGTTCAAGTATCGCGGCGTATTTTGCTTCGACCTGAACACGAGGAGGTCGGCCCATCTAAGCCTTTCTCAGTGGAAAGACAAAACAAACCATGTCAAGATTTCTAATTCTACCCAGGAGAGCCACGCCTGATGGTCCTCCTCGGCTCCGGTCTCCGGGCAAGATCCCCTTGGGCGTCAGCTCGTCGCAGAGCGTCAAGTAAATGCAAGCGTAGCATCGAATGCCCCTTCCTGCCGCTAGGTCTCCATCACTGTTTTTGAAAATCCGTATTGCTATGCTCTGACGACGCGATCACTAGTCCTGCGCTTCTTCGAACTATGGCATCCCATGCTTGAAACTCCTGGTTAGCATCTCCAAGCGATATTCCAAAGGTAAAGCCCGAACGTAACTGGCGCCTCGAAACCCCGGCAGAGGGACTGTGACAAAGGCAGCAAGAGCTTTAGGGACAGTGACTCTAGACCGTGGACTCCCAGTCCTGAAACCCTTATCAATATCTCATAATGACGCCCTAAAACCCAAAAGCGAGTGGCATTCAAATACATTCCAAAGTTTTAGGAATCCAAACTTACAGGATTGCTCTACTTCTACACCTCGAATAAGGTCGTAAACCTCTTGAGCAGATTCAAATTCGCAATGCCAGCAGCGTTGGATTATCTCTCCACATAATGTTCCACTGACATCAGGGAATTCTCGAGACTCGTAGAGTTTCCGAACTTCCTTACTTTCCATTTCTTCATAAGGCGCCTTGTTAGTCATGATATTATAAATTGTAGAGCCTAGCGCGTATAAATCGTATTGAACAGTTGGCGGAGTTTGCGGAACACGATAGTCGAAGGCAGGCGTTAGAAATCTCGACGACGCGCAGGCTTGAGTTCGAGAGCCTTTGAGAGAGGAACCACTAAAATCAGCGATCTTGAGGCTTAGATCTGCGTCTAATAAGAAGTTCTTAGGCCCTAGGTCGCAGTGAACCACTTCTTTGGAATGTAGCAATTGAAGTCCTTCTGCCGCCTCTTGTGCCCACCGTAGCCGCTGTGTCGTTGATATGTCGTTATGAGCAAGAAGGTAATCCTTGAGGCATCCGTTCGGCATGTATTCCATAACAAGAACGCACTCTGTAGGATCCCATGAAATGATCTTTACTAAGCGGGGATGAGGGCCTAGTATCTCATATATCTGGCTCTCGAGTGTCAACTCACGACGACACAGAGCGGCTTCGCGTCCGGTCCATGGCGATTTGGCCACATAGCCGGATGGCATGAGCTCGATAAGTCCTGTTGATCCGCCGGCTATAAGCTCTCCCTTTGATACAATGATATTTTGTTCGATATCTCCGAGTGGAGAAGTGTCTTGAGGGTTGATGGCTAGATCCTTCTGCACACAATCGCCAATTCATTAGTGAATAAGACACAATATAGAAAAAGAAGGCTTACTTCTGTTTCGGTAGACACAGATGCACTGTTCTCAACGTCCTGCTCTTTGCTGCTCTCCCATTTTAGGAAATGGAAGCTAGGGAGGGTTGCATTGCGAATGAGAGAAAGCAGACCTGACGGCCAGCGCAGCAACAGCGGCCACAGCGGCCAGCTAGATAGCCAGCGTGTAATAGAGAACATGGCTGAGAGCCCAGGGAGGTAGGGAAGTCGAGAACTGTTAAGAGCAGAGCAAGGGAGATACTCACATGTAGACTTTTAAGGGGCGGTGCGAGCTGTTGGTATCTTAAGGTAAGGTACCAGGGGTAGCTTCGTGCAGCCTCAGGCACTAATCTTTATGCCTGCCTTAACGTGCCTTACCTTACTTGAAGTCATATGCAACCCTTCACGAGTTCAGTTCGTTGGATGGCGGGTGTAGGGGTTGTTAATAAGAATTCATGACAGAAACTTCTTTTTTGACAACCTCTCGCGAATTCGATACACTCTCTACCTCCCTCTCTCGACTCGCGCCTATCCCTGACGACTACTCTACAGCAAATACATATAGGGTATCTAGTAGAACAAGAAACAAGAAATTACTATTACCAAGTAGTTGATGAGACGGTTAGCAGGGTACAGAAAACAGCTTGCGATGCTAACCTCGTGGGATGCGAGCCGTGTAAACAGCTCAAGCTCCATGCGCTCCTCTGGGTTCGGGCCCTGGGAAATCTCAGTGATGATGTCCCCACGTTCTCCGAGGTCATATTCCCAATCCGGCCATTGTTCGCCTGCTGCTCGCACATTCTTGAGGACAGCTTGTTCGAAGTGCCAGAGCAGGGCTTCATCGCTGATGCGATGATTAGAGTTGCTGGGATGGGTTGCACTGTTGGCGAGAAACCTGCCATCAAGGTTGAGCATTGTTTCGTCCCTTATAAAGCACGTCACTTTGTAGTTGTCCTAGGTATTGTTAGAATTTACTCGAGCAAGAAGAGTAGCGGGCGTTAGATGGTTTCTAACATGTGGGTTTATGGCCACTCTGTATGTGTCAAACAGGCCGTGAATAGATGCCTGAAGCAACAAGCCATTCTGCGGCGAATAGATTTTGTTGCTAGAGATCGCGGTCGCCGGTGAGGTATCCGAGATCCATGTAGTATAGCTATTCGAGTTCCACATGGCTTGCCTTGCAACAGGAAAGATATGTGCCGCGTGAAGTCCTGTAAATTCAACCATTTTGTATCCCGTAATGACGCAGCCTTCGTCACGCTCTCTCAGCGAATCTCGAAAGTGCTTTTCCTGTACTATGTCAGATACCTAAATTATGAACTCCCTTGGAGTGGTATAAGAACGAACCTGGTTCGATAGCCTGCTGGTGCTCACCGTGCCGCCCGACTCTACGCGTCTTACTGAGCCAGTCTCGGTATAATTGACGTTGATGGAGCTACCATCTATACAAAAGATAAGGTAGGTTAGAGTATTGATTAACGCCATCACGATTGATCCAAATCTTACTATCGCGAAGAATAATATAGAACCCCTCCTGGAGCTGTTGGTTAGATCGCTGGATTCTGTTGCCTGTCTGTCCGTTCTCTCCAAGCGTGAAAATTGCCCATTGCGAGGAAGGGTCATCGAATTGTAGGAAGATCGAACACATAAAATAAAAGTTGTCATTAGTAATGCTTCCATTCTGAAAAGTACCTGTCCCAAGAATTGTATCAGTAGTAGCTCATTAACCAATTGACCCGAGTCGACAAACCGCCGATTATGCGCCCGTCATCTCTAAAGAGATGCACATTCCGTCTTGTAAACGAGCATACGGTCTCTAGGGTTCTTGTGGCCATTCTAAAGGTAAGTTCTGATAAGAACCGACTTAGGTAATGAACTCGAAGTTTGGAAAAAGAATGAGCTCGAGTAAGACGAGGAATAGTTTGAGATGAGGTTGAGGCTAGGAGGGCGGCTCTAAAGTAAATCAGGTTGTCATTGAGTGGCGGGTGCAGGTCCAGGAGTTGTCAATGAGTCAACGGTAGGAGTGCTGTTTATGATGATTATTGACTATTTACAAATTAATCCCAAGGCTTAATTTCTCAATACTTTTCCATATGTACAGACAGCGAGTATAGAACATCAGAATCCTCAAGTCAGACCTGCCTCCAAAACTCCATAAGTCACAATCGTAGTGCCCCGAGGCTAGCCATCCTCTATGAGACATCCGCATCTATCATCAGCCTCCACCTTGACGGTGTGTCGTTGAATTAAAAACTTCTTGCAGCCCGCAGATCTGTTTCAGTACAAAAAAAGCAAAGACAAAGGTAATAAACCCGCCCGAATGGTGCTCAGACGCTGCAAGAAAAGAGAATATGGACATAAACAGACATAAACAGACATAGCTCATCCTCTACCAAATCGACGATCAAATAGCTTGAGAACGCCCATAACACTTGCAGCCTCGACCTCCATTGGCGCTCTGCCAGCGTGTTGAGGAGGAGTCGCATGAAGGCGTCCAAGCCAGGTGCTCAATTCATCACTTGCTTGATCGAAGTTTTTGTGGGTAGAAAGAGTCTTGTAAGTGTCGGCACAGGACAAGCTAGGTGGAGGTCGAGTCGGTTGTGCTGTCTGAAGGGACTTGCAACATCCTCCACCTGCAGCATTACCACCACAACAGCCTCCTGGCGGAGCGGAGCCAGGCGTAGCGGATGCACGCAAAGCGGCAAGTGAGCGACAGAATAATCCCGATTTGGGATCATTTTGACATTGCTGACATGTTCCTGGTCCGTTGACACAGGAGTCTGATGCAACAGGTTGGTGCATCTGAGTGGGATGCATTGGCGGTAACTTGTTTGTGCCATCAACATCTGTGTCCGAGGGAGGCGGGGTTACCTCGTTCAACAGAGGTGCAAGACGATTCTGGTGCTCCCGTTCGGATTCAGCATTGGCCGCCATAGCAGCCTCAGCACACATACAATATGTGCCCTCCTCACAGAACCCGCACGGCTCACCTGGTGGTCGTGTAGGCATGGGAGCAGCCTGAGGAGAAGATTGGATCTCGTGGACAGGCTTCGAGGAGAATTGTGCAGTGAAATCAACCTCAAGTGGCGTAGAAGGGTCTGATTGGCGTTGACGCTTCTCGGAATACTCTTCTATCGGAGGCGAGCGTGCTCTCTTGAGGTCCACGGTAATAGGCATGTCAGCAGAACCGTTGATGGTCTCCTCCAAGCACACGCAGTGCGTATCAACTGAACATTTCCCGCATCCAGATGTAGAGATAGTCATAGCCCGCTCAACACACGCACAGTTACCTGTAGATGTGCAATCACCACAACCATGAAGTTCCTCTGCTTTGGCGGGGTTGGCATCATATGAGGAATATTGCGGTGTTGTCGGTGTTGCGGGTGCAGCAGGTGCTCTTGACTCTTGTTGCCGACCTCGTCTTGGAGGGAGGGGTACGGCATCCGTCCCTGTTGTAAGGGCACCATTCCGAATATACGACAATTCCGCAAGAGCAGCTTCCTTCTCCTTCCTCTCGTATTCTGCGATACGGTCCAAAGTATCACATCGTAGTCTCCACGACTGCAATTCGCCGCTGAAGCGTAGGACATCCGCCTCTAGCCTTTTGATCTTATCTCTCAATTCGGTTTCGCGCCTGTGATGCTCCTCCTTTGCCTCCTCAAGTTGTTCCTCCAACTCCCCAACCCTCGCGGCTCGTCTCTCTCTAAAAGCTCTCTGTGCCGCGCGGTTTTGAGCTTTCCGTTTCGTAGGTGGAGTGTCTGTTGCTGGCTTGCGCCCCGGCTTGGGGCGGGGCGGGATGATCCATTCTTTTCGCGTTACGATCGTAGGCCTTGGAGGACCCGGTGCCAAAGTAGCAGCAGCACCCATATTTGGAATGTTGGCAGACTGGATAGCAAGAACCGGAGGGGCCGGGGCAAGTGCCGCGGGGGACCCGGCAGATGACGGGGTTGACACTGCAGGTGAGGCCATCTTGTTGAAGGCCCAACTGCAGCGATCAATGAGGGTTGATAAAGCAAATAAAAGTGTCGTAGACACGAAGGTGATTGGGTTGGATTGGCAATCGCCGTTCAAGCAGCAGACTGGCTGTAGAAAGGCGAGGAGGGAGGGAGGATGGAGATCAGGATCTGATGATCTGATAAGATTATTGAGAAAAACGCTAACCTAGAGGAGTGGGGTTAGCGGCTGCGAGAATCGGAACTCACTGCTGAAGAATTAGGTAAACATCCTTACCGACTCTTGCTTCCTCAGACATCACACGATTTTCGGCTTACTCATCCATCCAGCAGCCAATACACGTCTCGGGTGTGCGCGCCTGTCTCCACGGCCGAGTGGAGTTGCAAAGACGAGTCGATACCACATTCATTGCTCCTCCGTGCAGCATCACGCTACTACAGAGTCATACTTTGGTTCTTGGCTGTTAAAGTTTCAAGCATCCTCGGCAGTAATGCACCCCTCAGGAGGCACGTGATATATACCTTCTCATAAGATACCTACCTCCCTATCTACCGGTCGTAGGTAGATACTCAGCACAGTCTCACCCCTCGCCGGCCAAGGGAAGCCCATTGCGTGAAAGCATCGTGCGTGGACGAGTGTGAACGAAAGGGCAGGGCCGGCTTCCCGAACATGAGCAAGCTCTATTTTGGCGGAGACTCGGGAAGTGTCTCCTCGGATGATGAAGACAACCTCCCCTACCCCGAAGCCCTCCCGCGGAGTGATTTTCTCTCCCCGGATTTTGACGCACCGACATATCTCTCCACATTATCAGACCGGCATCAAACGCTGGAAGACCTCCGCTCTGATCTGAGAGAACGCTCGCAAGCCTTGTCAAAAGAGCTGCTGGATCTCGTCAACACCAATTACGAGCAATTCCTGAGTCTAGGGTCCGACTTGAAGGGGGGCGAGGAGAGAGTAGAGGATGTTCGGGTGGGACTGCTGGGCTTCAAGAGAGGCGTTGAGGATGTCAGGGGAAAGGTGAGGGAGAGGAAGCTTGAGGTCGAGGGTTTACTTGCGGAGAAGAAGATTATCAGTAGGGAGATTGCCCTTGGAAGGAAGCTCTTGGAAGTAGATGCGAGATTGGAGGAGCTGGAGGACAGATTGATGGTCTCTTCTCTTGGTCGTAGCACCAATGGCCTTGATGATGAGGATTCCTGGAGTGATAGCGAGGCCGAGGAAGACGAAGAGGAGAACCCCACGGCTGATGACATCGGTGGAACCAGCACGAGAAAGCTAGAGCGACTTGTGGTCGACTATCGCCAGGTTGAGCACTTGTTAAACAGCATTGGGAAAGACCATCCCTTCATTGCTGCTCAAGACCCACGCATGCAGCGGGTGAGGAACACCATCCTTCTTGATCTTAGCACAGCATTGAAGCAGACCGCGGCTGTGGGTGACCGCGGAAAGTCGCGACTAGTCAAGATATTGAGTATCTATCGACACCTAGATGCTGATACAGAGGCCGTCAAAGTCTTGAAAGACTTGAAATCAAGATAGCACTGGGAGTTCAAGCATAGCGTTGGAGTTCGCGGTTTATACCAGGAGACAATGAATTATAATACAGTCTTATATCTACAATCGTACATGCTATGAAGTAGATAGGTCCCGAGGCTGGACGTCCGATTTGAGATCTCTGAATTCCCCATTCAGAGGAAAACCGGGTGCGTTCGTAGAACTCAACACTACCTCCGCCAACTCCTTGTTTATCCTGTCGCTTAATTGAGCCATATCCTTCTTCACAGCGTCGAGGAAAGTCTTGATATTCAGTGCGATCTGCTCTGGTGTGAACGCCAACTGACCAACGGCCATCCTGATCACGCCTAAGCGCTCCTTATACTCCGCACCTCCTACTAGATCCTTTATCACAAGAGCCGGGTCCTTGACAACCGTGCCCATCTTGCTGCTAGGCATCAGGCCTCGAGGTCCCAGGATCCTCCCCAGCCCAGCCTTATTCATCTTCGCAAGAGAGTCCGTCTGGCAGATGCACCGATCGAACTCAATACGCCCATCCTTTACAGCCTCAAATATTTCATCCTCTCCCACCAAGGTTGCTCCGGCTGCTTTCGCCGCTTCTGCATGCTTTGAATCAGGTGGGCAAATAACACATATCCTAAGATCTGTCTTGACTGGATGAGGAAGTCGTAGTCGATTGCGGATGACGGGACCATTTTTCAGGGATTTAAGCTTGAGAGCCATCTCATATTTGACTGACGTTGGGTTTCGTCCCACTTCGATAGCTCGGATGTATCTGTACAGAGTCAATACAACTCATCCTTAGGGTACAAAGAAATTACACACCGGATCGCATCGCATAATGCGAACTGTTCCGCATCCTTCATGTCATATTGTCGGTACGTAGTTCTTGGCTTCCGCTTCTTCTTCTTCTCCGAGTCCTTCTTCTTGTTCTTCTGTGGGTTTGAACTCGCGGCCTTGAGGGCTTTTGCGGCCTTCGATTGGATTGGGGGAGCATTTGCACCTCGAGATTTATATCGAACTTGAATTGTTGGAGCCAGAAGTCTCACAGGTGTTCGAGATATGCTCTGCCTTCCAACTGGCAGACACATCCTGCTCAATTGAGCAAGGCATGGTATTGGGGTGGCCATCCTGTCGTTGACAATCCTATCAGTCGTCTCAAAGTTGGTGTTTCTCGAGAAATCAACCTCCTGCGCTAATGGATTAATGTTGACCCGCTCCGGCTGCTCATTCGTGACACACACGAAAACCCCACCATGATGAATTTCATGTCCCTCTTTCAAAGTTGAACAGCAGTCACAACGACAACAACACAATGAAGGCTCAGGACTTGTCGCAACTTGCGACAAGCCTCCAAACACCCGACTTCAAAACCATCGAGCCCCACCTTCTTGCCTTAGACAAGCACCTTATTCTACGAACCTATGTTGATGGGTACTCTCTTAGCGACATCGATACTAAACTATGGGTTACAATTCGAAGTAACAAGGTGGCAAACGCATTTGTGAAGCGTGGAGCACTTGCAAATCTAGCAAGATGGTTTTCCTTCATTGAGGATTCCCACCCCGAAATCCAGCAGGAGGTCAAAGCCAAGGAGGAGGCCGAGAAAGCAAAGAAAGCTGCGGGGAGCAAAGCCGGTGCATCCTACAACATGGCCTTGCAAGATACCGACAAGGGGGTGGTAACCAGATTCCCTCCCGAGCCATCGTGAGTTTTCTTTCCAAAGTCACCGCAAGTCAGTTGCTAATTCTAAGCAGTGGATACTTGCACATCGGGCATCTGAAAGCTGCTTTGCTAAACGACTACTTCGCACACGAGCTTTACAAAGGCACATTACTCCTACGGTTCGATGACACAAATCCCTCCAAGGAGAAGCAGGAATTCCAAGACGCTATTATTGAGGATCTTGCACTCATTGGCATCAAACCAGACAAAACGAGCTACACGAGCGATTACCTCGAGACGTTATATCAGTATTGCATTAGAATGATTAAGGAAGGACATGCATATGCAGATGATACAGATCAGGAGACAATGAGGGATGAGAGAATGAAGGGCATTGCAAGCAAGAACCGTGACAAGAGTGTGGAGGAGAACCTTGCGATCTTCGAGGAGATGAAAAAAGGAACCGAAACTGGAAAGAAGAATTGTATCCGCGCAAAGATGTCTGTGGACAATCCCAACAAGGCTATGCGTGACCCGGTTATCTATCGATGCAATACGGACATCCCTCATCACCGGACTGGCACCACCTGGAAGATGTATCCTACATACGATTTTGCTTGTCCTATTGTGGACTCTCTCCAAGGTGTCACTCACGCCCTTAGGACGACCGAGTACACTGACCGCAATCCCCAGTATCAATGGTTCTTGGACACTCTCAAACTCCGCCAGGTTCACATGTGGGATTTTGCTCGAATGAACTTTATCCGCACGGAATTGTCAAAGCGAAAGCTGACTAAAATGATTGAGACTGGCAGAGTTTGGGGATGGGACGATCCACGGCTGCCCACAATCCGTGGTGTTCGACGGCGAGGAATGACTATCCCGGCTTTACGAGAGTTTATCTTGAAGCAAGGTCCAAGTCGGAACATTGTCAACATGGACTGGACGAATTTCTGGGCAACGAACAAGAAAGAAATTGATCCAGTTGCTCCAAGGCATACGGCTGTTGAGTTGAAGGATGCCGTCAAAGTGAACGTCATCAACGGTCCAGCGACCCCCCATACCGAGGACAAGCCTAAGCACGCAAAGAATCCTGCCGTAGGTCTGAAGAAGGTTGCGTACAGCAATCATCTCATTCTCGACCAAGAGGATGCCAAGCTCTTCAAACAGGATGAAGAAATTACTCTCATGAACTGGGGAAATGCAATCGTGCGCAAGATCAACGGTTCGAATCCCATCACCGATATCGAGGTTGAACTTCACCTTGAGGGTGACGTGAAAAAGACTGAGAAGAAAGTCACGTGGCTGTCCACCGACGGACAAGAACTTGTTCCAGCTGAGGCATGGGAGTTCGACTACCTCATCACCAAAGACAAGCTCGAGGAAGGAGACAGCTGGGAGGATTTCTTCAATACCGAATCAGCAAAGAAGACGGATGTACTGTGCGATTCTAATGTAGCCGATTTGAAGGACGGCGACATCATCCAGCTCGAGAGAAAGGGATTTTTCAGGGTCGACAAGGCGCCAAAGGATGGTAAGCCAGCGGTGCTTTTCGGCATTCCCACTGGCAAATCGAAGTGAGGCAACAAAAGTGCTCCGGGTTCTTCCTGGCTGTAGAGAGGGGCGTGGCGTTGGAACGAATGAATGAGAAATGAGTCGGATATTTTGACGCAGTAGTTAAAATCTAAATTCTTCCAGAGCTGTCCTGACCTTGGAATCCCACCACAGCATCCACCTGGTACCATGGCCCCAAGAAAATACAAGATGCCTTCCTGTGCACCAAAACTCCCATCGCTAATGCCCAATCGTGCTAGTCGGTATGATAACATATACTTCTCGTCATTCTAACATTAACCCCATCAAAGCAGACCTTTCCTAGCCAGTTCTACTTTCCTCGCCGCCTCCCCAGCTTTGAAGCCTCCCTTCGAAATACAGATGGCCTTACCATCCCCCAACTCGAACTTCTCTTCAAAGGAAGGATGCGGGCATGGGCAGTGATGCGGAAAATGCACACATGCTAAGGTATCAGGGCAGAGATATTTATCGCAGTGCGCTATATCATGTTAGCCTGCTTCCCTGGTGGAATGTGGGGTAGAAACGGGAGAGAGATAGAAAGCTGGGGGTCTTACCATTGTTATAATTCTCTTGGTACCAACTCGAATCGCTGGGTACGTTCTGGGGCTCTTGTCGTTGATGCTGTCCTCCTTGGCTAAACATCTGTTCAAAGAACTGGAATTGTGCGTTTGTGGTCGCCACGAGGAGGAGCGCGATGTAGAGAAGGGAGGAGAGTATTCGTGCCATAGCGGCGTTCGGGTCCAATTGGATCAATTGCTCGAGGGGCAAGAAAGAGAAGGTTTTTTAAGCAGCTTGCCAGCTGCCTTGTATTTGGGAAAGGTGTTGAATTGTGAAACCCTGTAGACGTGTGTACCTACATTCAACAGTCGTCGTGAGATGTGGTGAGGTGTTCGATAGACCTTCAAGATAGTGGATGACTAAGCAGGTTTGCCCGGAAGTGAAATATTTCGACTCCGCGACATTGGTTCAACAACACAACCAGCCATGCTGCTCCCACGATTACAGCCGCAATTGCGGGCATCTCTCGCATCAATCGGACGAGCTGCTGCTGCAGGGAGCTCACAAGGCTGTCTAAATGAAGCATTTGGTCAGCTCTCGATAAGAGCAGCTTCTCCTGTCCTAACCTTCGTACGACACGCCTCTCATGCTCAACAAGGAGCTGTCAATAAAGCGAAAGATGGCCCGGGAAAGCGTCTTGGTGCCAAGAAATCTGGAGGTACGTTTCATTCCTTCCATCTATCAAATTGGGCGAGAGAAGCTGATTGCCAAACAACAGAACAATATGTGATTCCCGGCAACATTATATTCCGCCAACGCGGCACCCATTGGTTCCCGGGCGAAAACTGCGCAATGGGACGAGATCATACGATATATGCGACGGCCAGCGGATACGTCAAATACTACAAGGATCCAGAGAAGCATCCAAAGAGACAATACATTGGAGTTGTCTTCGAGCGGAACCAAGTCCTCCCTCTCCCCCGAAATAGTGTGCGCAGACGGAGGCTCGGCATGGTTGCTACAAAGATGGAGTTACCTCCTGTGGAAGAGACCACTGTCCGCACGGATTTGGTGCTCGAGGGGGACGCCAGTACTGGGGTTACCGTCAAACAGACTAAGAAGAAGGAGAGAAAGGGCGAGGAGGGAAGAAACTTGCAATTGAGGCCCGGATACATGTACCGAGAGGCCAATTGGGAGATTGGGCGAGCGGCGGAGAGGGCCAAGGTCAAGGTGCGGGAGTTCAAGCCTCGGGATCGATGGACGGCCTGGAGAAAAACAACCATTCGAAAGGCGAAGAATGCGGAGAAGAAGGGCCTGGGAAGGAGAAGATAAAATTGAGATTGTGGAATTGTATAAATATATTGGGACTGCGCCAGTCATAACTTGTTTAGATAGGTGGATACAGCGCGGGGGAGTCGTACATGGAGTATATCTCATAGAAATGCTTAGCCAGCCTTATAATCACGAATTGGAGGCAGGTGAACATATCATATGCATTGTCCTTGACAACATCGAAAACTGATAATGGATGGATGGTTCCTACACAAGACACAAGCCGGATATCTGTCACAAGGAACATTATTCCGAATGATGGGTCTACTTATTAATTCGAGACCCTCCTCAATTAAACAGATCTCCTTTACATATATTACAACTGGCTGGAAACACGAGGCGCCACCCGACGAATATCAACGGTTTAAGCCGAGTTAGATCATAGATGTCATAAGCCTCTGGGCTAGCACCAGCAATTCTAATAAGATTAACATGTCGTAAATCCTTGTCATGAGAAAGAAATTTTTTTTCTCTCCTGCCAATTGCCATACTCCGTGGCTTTATGCATAGCACAATAATATGGGAAGTTCGGAGAATCTCTTGATCTGTCTGCTTCTTGGGCTTTTGGTTGGCAGAAGCTTTAGAGGAGAAAACTTGAAGAGATGAAGGCCGACTTGAATAACGAGGGAATCGGATTGCGTTTCGATGGAAGGCCAAATCGCGTTCATGGCACTTCTAGACGGACACAGATATACAACGCATATCAGACGCATTAGGGGTCCAAGATATTCAGGGGTTTTCATAAGAAACCCCAACATCATGACATTATTATATGGCCCTGGGCCGACTACTCCTACACGCTGACCAATAATCCTCCATGGAAAAAACGCCGACGCAAATGCCATTAGTATACGACGGCCTATAAAGGGACTACGTCCCCCATGAATCCCGCATTCTCTTTTCGATACGCTTATCTCCCACGAAACTCCAAAATCAAATACAATCTCAAGACGCTTGGCGCTCTACCCCGTCTTCTCGAATCGCCGCTCCTCGCCTGCATTTCTGCGACGAAAGATCTTCAATCATGTCCGCCATTCTCCATCTCTCAAACACAGGTCCACTCAGCGAAAACACACCATCTGGCACTTCTATCTGCTAATACCAGACCTCTCCAAACGCCCCTTTCACCACATTTGATGATCGTCTCCCAAGTCCCACCGTCTCCTCCTTCTAGACTCGCACTCTGGCCGCGGTCTTCTTTCCTCATCAGTCTCAAGATCTTGCCACCAGGGGCCTGGATCGCCAATTTCGCCGGCTTCCTGCTCGTATATCCATTGCTAGTGCTCGGATTCGATCCAGAGGCCGAAGAACTGGTGATTGACATTGCCGAATTGGGACGAATGAAGGGGATGGGTGAGGTACCCCCAGGATTTGGTGAGGGAGAGGAAACAGAGGACGGATGCTGGCGGACGGCAAAGACGAAGGTATTATTTGCAGCTAGGCGCTGGCATTGAGGCTGCGCCACATAGAGGTCGTGTCGCTGAGCATGGGGAGTTGGATGGCGTGTCAAAAATTCAAAGGGTGGATTATCTCCAGTGTGAATGATGGGGAGTGCAAATGCCAGTGGGTGCGGGATATCCTTGATCGAGTGCATCAAGCCTCGTTTCCCGGCATATACCTTCAAAACCCCATGCCCTTCGTCGCCAGGAAGCAGTGCCTTCACGGTGTAGCGCTTCTGGCCTCCTATCCACTCTGCTTGTGCCAAAGCGCGTTTCTTTACGACTTCTCCACTCTCAAAGAAATCGCCATCCGCATCACGCTCGAAGGCACGTGCTTCAACCTCAGCTACGCACTCTACATCCGAAGGAACGGTGAATTTGATGTGGGCGAGCTCAAGGTCCTCGATACGCACTAGACTAGTATCGTACTCAACCATCTGAAGGCCTTGTTTGAAGTAAGGTGGACATGCACAAGGCAGGGCCAATAGCACCTCATGTGCCATTGGGGGGCACAAATGTTGTTGGTGATGCTGTTCTGGAATGTGTGTCCAGCAAATCTCTGATGGACGTGCCAGAAACCACCACATCTCCGCAACTTGTCCACCGGCACTTGAATACAGGCCTCGGCGAGGGTTTGATGGGGCCGCAAGAGAACAATCCATAATTCTCCACTGTCCATCGACGATAACAGCATTCCACCAGTGGTTCGGACGAGGCATTACACCCATTTCAGGCACTTCCCCGGGAGTCTTCAGATAACCTCGAATAATCTCAGCATGGATTCCGACGGCGGCACACATTTCCAATACCAGCACTGCGACCTCCTCTGCGCAACCCCGCTTGGTTTGTATCACTCTTCTCGAGTCAATATCGCTCTCAAAATCCTCTTCCCAGGTGATCTTCTCGCTGACCCAGGTAAAAATTGCTCGGAGTCGTTGGACATCGCTTCGATAAGGCCTACAAACAAAGCCGGTGGCCAAGCTGACTGGATTGGTCATAGGTGGTAGGTTATTGATAAACCTCGCATTCTTGTCAACTAGACTTAGATTGACAGCTTGGAAATTGGTTGGTTCGGCGACAGGATTGCCGTCTGCGCCTTCATCTCCATCACAATTCTCGTACATCTCATCGACGGGACTGATTGCTAGATAATCCATCATCTGACAGCGTTCCTTTCTTTCAATACGCTCAATACGACTTAGGGAATTCGAGCGGTTCACATCTCGACGGACTTGGACCCAATCTATGCCAGACGTTCCTCCTCCTAGACCCATCTCGCTTGCCGCATCACGACCATTATGAATATTGCCAAAACCGCCCGCGATCGATGTAACGCCATTGGGGATCATACCTTTAGACTGCCCAGCTAATTTTAACGATTCGCCTGCAGCAATGCTGCTTCTGGCACTGGCAGCTCCCGTCTTTGCTGACTCGATGATCTTCTTGAGGAAACCACTCTTCTTGGGCTTAGGGGCTACCAAGCCACCTAGCGCACTGCCTGCGTCTGTCGACGATCCATGCCACCCAGCCCGATTTTGAGATACAGAGCCAGGTAATGAAGCGTGACTGCTGTGATAAGAAATGCCGGTAAGTGGTGTCTGGGGTCTGCTACTGCCAAAGTCGATTTGGCTGCCATTTAGTCCAAGAAAGTGGTCCCTTCTTGAGCCGAAAGCACTTTGAGCTCGGCCTCGCATAGCTTCCTTCCTTCTCGCCAGACTTCCAGCACTGGTTGAGGAAAACCCACTTGCCGAGGGTCCGCTCATGAGACTTCTATCAGTCATCTGAGTAGCTGAACTGCTGTTAGTTGTGGTACTTCGCGTCCCTCCTGAGGAGGTTGTCGAATTGGTCTTAGTAGTAAAGGTCCGCCCAAGCATTGACCGGCCGACTTCATAAGCAGACTTTCGATGGCGCAGCTTTGGCTCTGGTTGGGAATTTCCCATTGATGATTTCGGTCGATCGTATTGATTCATTTTCGGTGGAACTGCTGGTGGTAGACCAGTGTCATCGAGATATGATTGCGAACTATTCGTATGCATTTTACTTAATCGATTCTCCATTCTTTGTACGTAGTTGCTCAACTGTGGAGGGTTTTGATCTGGATATCGATACTGCGAGTCGCCAATGTACGGTTGACCATCATCGTAATCATAATCATTCTGCCCGATGCCCATCGCTGTATTGGGCCTCGCCGCGCCGTTTCGCCTCGCTTTGGTATATGTTTGATCAAAAGCCTCCGGTGCCCATGGGTCCAGTGACGGTTGGGGAGTCTCGGTTTCTCGAGATATGCCCATGTCTGCTAAGGATGACATTACATCGTCCATAGCAGACCGAAGGGGTGAGGGGGTCAACCCTGTCGCACCTGGAGATGGTGGACAAGGAGAAGTTCCGCGAGGAGTATGGTAGCCATTCGACTGGTCATATGGGTTTGTAGATTCATGAGGTATATAGGTACTTCGATGTGGAGGGGGCGGTGGAGGTGGTGAAGAGCCAGGGTCAAATTGTGGACTAAAGGAGGGCCCTCTCGAGTGAGGGCGATATTGGAAAGAAGGTGCTGGAGAAGGTGCCCTAGACCCGTAGTGCATAGGGGGAGCGGGTGATGGGGCTCTTGACCCATAACTAGGGATATTTGGTGGAGCGGGCGATGGGGCTCTCGATCCATAACCAGGAATACCTGGTGAAGTTGCTCGTGGGATACTCTCATGCACAGTCATTGGTTTTGGTGAAGGGGCACGGGCGGATTGAATGCTGTCCTTGTGTTGAAGTTCTGCCCGTTTTGCAGCTGCTGGATCGGGTGCTGAGTATGCCTGAAAAGGCCTTCGAAAGGCTTTCGTCTTTGTTTTCTGTGGAGGTTGCGGGGCGAAGGGACTTGGATTCGGTGTTGAGTCAGGCATTGGACTCGATCCTCGACTCGCAGGTCGGAAACTATCGTCGAGGACTTCAACGAAGTTCGACGGAAACAGGCCCATCATGCGTTTATCACGTCGCAGTCTTCCCATCCACCACGAGCCGTCCCCTGCATTCAGACATTCTATCAAGTCCCCTTCAACGAAGCCAAGGTCGCGCTTAGACTATGTCACTGTCAGCACATGGCCACTCTGATTCTGATATCAGCTCTCATACTTCTCCACCCCAGCTATAAATGGCTCTCACCCAGCAGGGAAACCTGGTGGGCAGGGCTGGAGGCGCGAGGACCATCTTGAATGGATATTATGGAGGCGATGACGGGGGGGGTTCTTGAGCGCTATGCGGCGCGAGAGGGTGGTCCTGTCAGAACATGGACGCGCTGAGTGTAGATATAGTTGAACCGTCCGGAGGAGATTGAACTGAGGTCGAGGTTGAGGTTGAGGCTCGTACGGCACGCAAAAGATAGCTCGATGAGGCGGATGAGTTGTGGAGTATTCGTGGCCTCTGTTGTGTTGTGCTCTTCTTTGCGACGGGAGGGTTTGGGCGGTCAGACTCTGGAAAGTTTGATTGGACGGCCTTTGTTGGTCCTGGCGTTGCCTGGCAACCGGAGCTGGTCAGGGATCAAGGGTCGCTCGACCCCTCGGAGCTCCGCCGCATCTCCAACACAGCGACATGATCATGATCAATGATCAAGCAAACAACGAGGCAATCCGGTATATTCGGACATGATATAAACGTTATTCTCCTCTCTCAGTAACCGTCTTTCTAAGAATTTATCTCCTTCGTAACATTTTGCAATAGCAAAACCCACGCCTCTCCTGGTGCGCGGCAATCGATAAGTCTATCAATAAGGTACGAGCCGCATCGGATTAACCGATTCGCCGCTCCGTCCCGTTAGCGTTGTTTACCTTGATACCCTGAACACCCAATGAAGCTTCTCTCCTCCATCTCATCTGTCGACGGTACACAGAACATACGGACATCTTTTGCAGGCGCTTTTGCCCTTCGATCAAGCAACATGGTGGAAGAGAATGCAGCATCGCAATACCAGGTTCTGGAGGAGCTCGGGAGTACGCTATTCTTCTTCTGGGATCTCGAAATGCGTCCCTATCATATGTTTCAGCCATGTTGCCATGAGTACCTCTAACATATTGCAGGTGGCAGTTTTGGAGTCGTCTATAAGGCAATTGAACGTGCGACTGGGGAAATCGTTGCCATTAAGCATGTAAGCAGAAACAAGCTGTGTGTCAACCACCGACTAACACTGCCCCAGATCGATTTAGAATCCAGCGAGGATGATATCCAGGAAATCCAACAAGAGATCTCGGTGCTCAGCACATGTGCCAGTCCTTTTGTGACTCAATACAAAGCCAGCTTTCTTCGAGGACACAAGCTATGGATCGTAATGGAATACTTGGGAGGGGGTTCATGCTTGGATTTGGTTTGAATATTTCAACTAGCCACACTTGGTCACCAGGCTGACCGTTAGCAGCTTAAACCCGGCCCGTTCAACGAAGGCCATATCGCTGTGATCTGCAGAGAACTGCTCCTTGGGCTCGACTATTTACATCAGGAAGGAAAGATACACAGAGATATCAAGGCTGCAAATGTGTTACTGTCGACATCCGGCAAAGTCAAGCTGGCCGACTTTGGAGTTGCGGCACAACTTACAAACATAAAGTCGCAACGGAATACATTTGTCGGTACCCCTTTTTGGATGGCCCCGGAGGTCATACAGCAGGCTGGGTATGACTTTAAGGCCGATATCTGGTCTCTTGGTATCACGGCAATGGAACTTATCAATGGGGAGCCTCCCAATGCCTCAACTCACCCGATGAAAGTCTTATTCCTTATTCCCAAGGCCCCCGCACCAAGACTAGAAGGCCCCAACTATAGCAAAGATTTCAAAGACTTTGTAGCACAATGCTTGGTCAAGGACTGCGACCGAAGACCTACGGCAAGAGAGCTCTTGAAACACAAGTTCATCCGTTCTGCAGGCAAGGTCGAGGCTTTACAAGAATTGATCGAGAGGAAACAAGAATGGGACGGTGGACGGAACCGTCCCTCTCACCCAAGATTCTATGAAGAGACACTGTAAGCTCCGTTGGTACTCCCTGCAAATTCTTACTGACTTGTTCAGCAATACGATGTCCCCTAAGGACGACCCCGATCAATGGGTCTTTGATACGATCAAAGCTTCTACTATTGCATCTAGGAAAAGTTCCACAAAGAGGCGCAAACTATCCGTCATTCATGCAAATGGCCAAGGTCTTTATGAGGGTGTTGAAGAGGCACTCAAAAGACTTGACATAAAAGACTCCCCCCTTGAATACTCATCACCTCCCTCAGGAACTGTCAAAAAGGGCACTGTCCGCAAACAACCCTCAATCATTCAGCTTGCATCACCGGTGAAGCCGCGTCAGGCCAGCAATCAGAGGCGCCCTCTCCAACCCGACATGAGTTTTGGTAATACAGGTTCCACCGTTCGTCTCTTCCGCAGGGTGTCAGACAATTCGACATTAGCTCAGGTATCCTCGGAATACGATTATTCGCCCCCTGGCTTGACCCGTGACGAGAACAGACCACCAATTGCGGAGACCACCACAAAAGATGCGATACTTGGGAGACGCGTTTTCAATAAAATTTTCGACCCATCATTTCAAGAGCTCCACGCGCAGACTAGCAACCAGGCGAAAAGAGAAGCCCTCTCAAGACTAGCAGACGCCTGGAGTGCTCTGGATGCTGTTGACCCCGAAGGAGAATACCAATTGTTCAAGCTCATGATTGACAGAGTGCAGTCCGAACCCAAGCTAGCCTCATTGCACTCACCTTCCAAAGGCGTGGCTGGGGATGGGACCCCTCAAGTAACTCCAAAGAAGTCTGGTGCCAAGTTGGTGCTGGCGCAGAGCAATCCACATCTCCAGAGTCACCGCCGAAGACAGTCTAGTATGCAACCAGTTGCAGAGCATCGTGAAAAGTTGTCCAACCTCCCAGGCCAAGCAGTGATGGCCGGCATGGAGCACACGAAACAGCTTGCAGATGTTCTCTACAACAGGTGGTCCGAGGGATTGAGAAACCGGTGGCCTGCTGTATAAACTCGCTCCTCTTTGGATTTTCCGACGCTCCTATTTTGCATCCATTACAGAGGGATCTGTACAACAGTGCGGAGCGGATTTCGTCATATCTGACAGAACATAGACGAGAGGACCGGGGAGAAGAGCAGGGCATATTTTGGGAGTTCACTGTACCAACTCTGGCATTTGATGACTGATGATAACGTTTCTCCTCTACCTTTGATTCTTACTTTTAATTTCCAGAGACTGAGGGCTTGTTACTTGTTGTATAGTAGGCAGTGTCGACTTGGTTTGTAATGGAAGAACGGGATGTTTAATAGGGGTCGCAGGATACTTCCTACCTAACAGGTGGCAGTACACGAAGTAGGTAGGGTAAGGTGTCAGCGGCAGGGGAAGATTCGAGGTCGATCAGGGTTTCAGGATCCAAGAGCTCAATCATGAGCTGAGGGTTTACCAACTAGTGATCAGTTAGAAGGTTCATAATAGATAGTTACTTAGATTGTCCAATTGATAGAGTAAATATATGAGAATGTCATAAGCTTTGATGTTTTACAAGTAACTGCTGTTACTGTCTAGGGGATACCATTGTAGAAGGGAAATAGGTAGAGTTAGAGCAGGTAAGCGTCTTCTCCATGTACAAGCACGACGGTTCGATTGCTAGTAGGACACTTATCTCTACCTTAGGTTATAGACAGGATTGATGGTCCCTCAATATGAAATAGGGATGGCATAAGGTACATTCAACTCGAATCGAGGGGCACCAACCACACGTGATATCAGGGGAAGTTTTGTTGCACATCGCAATCTTGACAATCTCAAGAGTGTTGAACGAGGGGTTGAATGGCTGAGAGATTGGCATCACGTGATACCAAAATCACCAACATCACCTGGGCATCCAAGTCGACGAAGTTGGAAATCATCTCGATCACCCCCCCTAATGTGTGGATGAGCAAAGTCTACCTTTTGAATAATTTAACCAGTTACACTTAGCCTTGTACCGTGGTTAGCGATCCCGCCTGAAGACTCGAGAATCCGGACAATTCGCGAATCAAATACATGGAAGTAGATAAGCAAGCACTACAGGCCCAAACCTCCTGCCCAGAGACTCTTTCCTCCATTCGGCCGCTGATGCCAGTCCCACTGACGAGAAAGAGGAGGAGGGTTCGTAGAGCTTAGAGATACGATGAGTTCAGTTCAGTGTCCAATAATACCTTAGAGAAGGAAGAGTCGTGATAAGGGGGGGAAGGGGGGGGGGGTCGCTTAATACATCCCTTAAGAATGAATCGGAACTCTTGTTGCCTTGAACTATCCCTTCCAAGATTTCCTGTTCCTGTCTTCTCCTGCCATTTGGATTATTTGGATTATTTGGATTATTTGGATTATTTGGATTATTTGGATTATTTGGATTATTTGGATTATTTGGATTATTTGGATTATTTGGATTATTTGGATTATTTGGATTATTTGGATTATTTGGATTATTTAAATATTTCAGCTTATGTCGGTTCCCCTGCATTATTGATTGCGCTCTACTCTACTCTACTCTATCATCATTATTTTAGACATCCATCGAGCCATGACTCTGTTTGAGCAAGAGTTAGTTCGAGGAGCTCATCTCCCAACGAATGTTTCCCGACACTATGCTCGCAGTAAACGGTAGTTGTACTGTTTGCTAAGAGCAGCGCCTGCACAGCAGTCTACGGTACAATTTTGACAGCCGCAGTTCAAACACTCATAGTGTCTGAACAATCCCAGATATAGTATCGGTAAAACCTAGCATTTTGACATCCTGCATACAAGATTTAGTAAGTCTAAGGCATTCAACAGGAACACCTACCTTAATTGACGCAAGCGTTGAGGCCGTGACATTCACACGGGTCTGGATACCCTGGATCCAGATCTTTTGGGCCTTTCCAATGTGCTTTGCCATAAGCAAAATCCCTGTCGTTGAGATGAATGCCACACCGGCTGGGCCTAGAAATGCCAGGCCTAGCTGCCTTTCAAGGAGCCACGTTGCAATCGCTAGTTCGATTGGAACAGCCCAAAGTTCATGGAAGTCTGTGAGACCGTAGCATATAGTTTCTATGGGGTCTCAATTAGCTCCACCGTTTTCCAGCCAGGGAACTGCGGGAATTGCGAACCTGTGCCGCTTGCCATTAACGTGACTGCAACGGATTCGTCTAGAGCGCTAAATCTTAGATCTATGGTTTGGCATATATCATGCCGACCAGAATCCCGCGAATTGAAGTCATGAAGCGATAAGTCATGTGGTCTGCAATAATATCAGCCTCCGGTTGTTTTCAAGGCAGAACGTACGGGGACGTATATATCCAAGAGGGGAGGTAGCGTACAGTAACTCTCATTTGCAACAGCAAGGCCAAGAAAGACGAGTCCAAAAGCCGCCGTAAGACCCCAGCCTCTGGAATCGGGTCTTCTGGGTTGTTTGCAAAGTTGACATCCTAGTCAACAGAAAAGGCTGTGCATATTTGAACCCGATTAGGCAGATGCGAGGGAAAATGCAGTAGGCCAAAAAAGCCCTCGAAGCTTTCAACGTAGACCAAAATAATGCTCTGCGTTGATGTTTATCCGCACCCGCCCAGACTTGCTCTGCATGATCATTCAACGTGCTCGAGCTCAGATCCTCCTCAATAGGATACAAGTCGCCATGATAGATCACCCTGGAATATCCGGTTGGCATCAATCTGTACACGTAGAATAATGGATTAGCATTCCTAGACTAAGGGGCTCGGACTTGTCAGACATACGTACACATGAGGATCTCTTTTGATGGTACAGCACTTAGTCGCTGATCCGGCATGGTATGGAAGGAATGTATATACTTATTTAACCACCAAAAGAAACTCCGGCTATAGATGTCACTAGTGACTTCTGGAGATGAGTATCTATTGTGAGCCAGAAAAATGGAGCGTTTTTCAATGGCTTCCGCAATAAGAACCATGAGTTTGATGCCGAGTGCGCTTGTGAAAACGGCGCCAACAGGTTGGTGGCGCCCCCAATCCATGGCGTTCTCGAACGAACGATATCAAAAGGCAGCGTGAGCAGAAGATAGACGTTAATAATGGCAGAAGGCCGCATGTAATGGATATGCTCGGAATGGGAAAGCCTGCACAGACCAAGCGCATCTAGAACGCTCAGAGGCTGCAGCTAGAGTTGCACGAGTCCTCAGGATGGGAGATAAGATATGCAAGATAAGGAGGATTATCTCCATGCATGCAAACACAATAAGGAACATCTATTTAAGCATTAGCGGGAGTATGATTCAGCATATGCGGCTACTAATAAGGGAAGAACCCGGTCACTTGAAGCCTTTGGCTAATGAGGCACGCGAAAAAGCATGACTACCATTCATTGTAACATAAAGTAACGATGCAATTCCTTGAATCACTTGGTTCCCGGCGTTATCTAGAAGGCACTGGGAGATGTCTTTTGCTAGAATTATTATAGAAATAGACAACCTCTTTCTATTATTGGGAGATGCTCGGCGCAGTAAGTCCCCGGAACCGAAGAGATATCACTTCTTACTAGTCTCTGGTCATGGAAAGCGTTGGCAATGTGATGAAGCTTATTACCTGGAGCAGAGACTTGTGATATTGATATTCGACCACCTCAGGCACCTGTAGACGGGGGTGATGGCGACTTGTAAGCGAAAAGCTGATGCCCGTGTAAATTGTGCTGCCTATCTCTATTCCGACAATCAGAAGTCAGCAAGGCCCAGACTCTGGCGCAGATAACGTACCTCTATTCTGATATTTGAATATGCTCGTAAGAAAATTACGCAAGCGTATGCGTGGGCCTCGGAGGTGGTTATCTTCGCTCGACATCGTGGATCCGGCCTGACAATATCTTCCACGACTCCGTATGTAGGTCTCCTCCACTCAGAACCGTATATCTAAACAGTCTGGGCAGTCTGGACAGTCTAGACAACACTTCAACAGTCCAAAATATTACCTACACAGCACCCATCCAACATCGACGCCAAGGATTATAGTCCAGCTTCTTTCCTCGATCAATCTTTGCAATGCATTCTAAGATGCGCCAATCATAGACCTCAACCCATTGCTTCTTCCCACGGGATCTTGTCAAGTTGAGACGGCCGATCATTTTCAAGAACTCAATTGTCTGCTCCGGCCTATTTGGTTCGACGAGAGCTATCTTTCTGTATTTCTTACCGGTTTGAGGACATCGTCTTGGTAAGTTTGGACTGGAGAGAGCTTGTAGAGAGGTGATAAAGCAAGACCCATGCCAGGGGAGCAGGTTCTCAGTCAGCCACGGGGTGGTTGCTATGCATGGTGCGAGGATGAAAAGGCAATTGGCGAGTGGGCATGTTTGTTCACTCAGCTGACATTTACTTCTACCCCCATTAAATATCGGTGGGCTCAATCTTAGCTCAGAGGGTTTCGAACGACGAGTGGGACTCCCATGATCAGTGGTTCGTTCTGTCGGTGATATCGACACCTGTGTCTTCGTACTTGGTGAACGAAGCAGACGAGTTCCAAGAGCAACTTTATGGGAGGTGGAGTGCACCGGCTCTGGAGCCGTAGCGGGTGGGGTCGGTAGAAGATTACTGGTAGACTTTGCAGCGTCTGCCAGTCGCAGCGACCCTGGGCCATCTCGACGAAGGGATGGTGGTATCGAACTTGAAAACTCAGCGCGGACTTGGACGCACCGTGGGAGAAAAGAATGATTCGCTTTGCATATCAAACTATCCGGGAATTTTATCCCAGGGCCGTAGTCCTTCAGGATCAGACGAGTCAACCACTTGGCCTCTCTGGACGTTAGACGTCGATAAAAATTTCCCAGAATCTCTATCGCATCGCAGTCCTCGTCTTCCAAGGCCAAAGACCTAACTTCTGCAGAGGAGCCACTGCTATGGGAAGCAATCCGGAGCAGGGATTGATCAATTTGCTCGACAGTCACCGCGCTTGCCTGAGCACTGGTGGCTATACGTTGGTTCTCCTATGACCGTAAATCAGAAAGCAACCCAACGAAACATGTTTTGGCAAACCTCTGATAAGGACATCAGGTGCGGAACTCGTCCCCCATGGCCCTCTCTCAACCTCGCACATCAGGGAGCGGAACTCACAGCAGCCATATTTTTCATTACCCGCTCCACACACGTTGCGAGATCTCCCTTGGCGGGTTCATGCCGCCATCTCTGCAAGTCCTGGAAATGACGTCTTGGAAGATTCAATACCCTTGCAATGACCTGCTCCAACCCGAAGGAATCCAGCCCCTCGTAGACTCGGTCAGTCCTCTTCTCTGGCTGCAAAGTCAGGATCACGGCATCATCATCCGTGGCAGCAGCATCCAAGCGACTGCGATGCAGCTTGAGCCACTTCAGAGTGGTTTCGGTTGCGGCATGATGGAAAACTTTCGGCAGCAGGGGAGACTCGCGGTTAGACAGACGAGCCAGGTCTTCAAGGAGATCACAGACATAGACAAAAGGGAATGGCATGCCTATGATGGGCAAAGATGGAGACGAAGAAGAGAAGAAGACGAGTGATCGCAGGAGATATCAAGACGCGGTCCCGCGGAAAGAAAGCAACGCGTGCCCGGAGCGCATCCCCGTGACCCGGAAAATCCATTTTCCCGACTTATCTTACTTTCTCATAATACCGTAAATACATCGGTAAATACTGTAAAACTGACATGCACCAACCCCCCCTGGTGATGTAATACAACGACCTGCATAGCATAATCTCGCTCCAACTGAATGCAGGTCGAACTGCGGAGGCTTTCTATTTACATCTCGGATCTCCCATCTATCTGAAGCATCTTCATTTTCACCTCCGCCTCCACCGTCACCTTCATCTTCTCTTCAGTCTACACTTCGACCAGAGTCATATATATATATCACCATACGCGCGGGCTGCTTGGGATCTCTCTCCTTGGTTTCTATCCTCGTTATTTTTAGTTCTCCGCCGGTTCGCTTCTGTATCAGTGACAGCCCCCCCGGATACCAGCCCACTCGTTAATGACCACCTCAAGACGCTCTTTTAACCCATTGCTGGACCACCAAGCCCCTTAACACTCCCAAAGGACAACATGCGCAATGGCAAGCAACAATAGTCGCCAATCCTCTCTTGATCTCGGTGATCTCCCTTCAGGCCGGTCCATCCTCACTTCAGGGGCTCAACCCTCTCAACCCGCCGCTCCCCCAAGCCCGCATGTCGCTCTCTCACGTAGCAGGGGCGATTCTGCCCTGCCTCCATCGCCCGGATCTGCCATCAAGCATGCTCGAACGCTGTCGTACACTCCGCGCCGAACGAACCGCCTGAGCCTGTCTTTTCCAGTCGCCACCACCAGCGTTGAGTCGCCGAGGCCGACACCCACATCTTCGAATACGTCCTCAGTTCCAGGCACGCCGGCAGAGATAATACCGCCGCCTTCTCCCAGTGACCCTAGTGGCTTTCTGGTTGCGCTCGCAGGACAGGAGAGGAGGGTTCTCGAGCTCAAAGAGGAACTACAGAAGGCGGAAGCAGATCTCGAGAAACTGAAGATGCAATGGGCACAACATGAGCGAATGAGGAAGAGGGCAGAGATCAGGCATGTGGAACCCTTACAACCTTTACAGACGGTCGTGACAGACGATGGAAGGACGAGTGAGGAAGCAGACGGTGCGACTCGGCATAGTATAGAGATGGACCGGCGGAAGGCCCTCCTAAACAGCACCAAGGAACCGCGCAGGAAGGTCATTACGGGAGGACACACCCGCACACTTTCTCTACTCTCGCCGGATCGATCGAACTACACGCGGCCGTTCCCGCCTGTGAAGGAATCAGAGGCTGAGAGCAAAGATCTAGCCCGGAGTCCCACCATGCCAGACACCAGCCAAGGCATAACAAAGATAACTACGAATCGCGCAAGGAACTCCTACCAGGGCGGGGTCACCCACAATGCGAGGCAGATTGCTGTCGATGTCAAGGCGGGATTGTGGACGTTTCTGGAAGATCTGAGGCAGGCAACGGTTGGCGATGAGCCGATCACCGGCAAAACAAGTCGATCGAGCGCGGAACCACCCCAGAATGGACTGAATAGACGCGGTAGCAGAAGCAGTCCACTCAGCAATGAGAGGGCCCGGCGTGCACCATCGCCCAGGGGAGTTTCCTCTACAAGGACTTGGGATTCTCTAACGGGCTCAAACTCAGTGCTGTTGGATGCGGGCGGGACATACTACGTAGATACTTCCCCTCGTCACGAGTCAAAACCATCAACCGCAGCGAAAGGAACCTCTATCAGACCGCTCTCTCCGAGCGTTGACGACGACGACTGGTCCAACTGGGACTTGCCCGATCCAAAGTCACCCAGATGGAGTGGCAGTACGGAACTCTCGGAACCAGCCACACCACCCCGATCCAATAACGACAGCCGTAACGTGCAGTGAGTTCCAGGTGCTGCCCTTTCCCATAATTTCAAGGGCTGATCTCCTCTAGGATAGTCGACCAGCCCACAGACGAAGCCAGCACCCCTTCAAGACGTGATGAGATCCAATGGCCCGGGTTCGAGAAGCTCACCCCCGGCAATCTGAAGCGCACCGTCTCAACCATCATGAAAGGATGGGAGAACAGCCTCACCCCTCCAGAAGAGCGGCAAGACCCCCTCGCGAAAGCCGCGCCTGCTACGAAAAGCAACAGCGCAAACGAGCCGCTGTATCTGTCCCGCGCCCCGCTCTTCCCAGCTCCTCCTCATGACAAAGGCGTTTGAAACATCACGTAGTCATAAGGCATCTTCGAAACATCACGTGTTCACATTCTTGAAATGAAACGGGTCCGGGTTAGGTATGGCGTAGATTGTTAATGATGGACGAACGATTTGAATGAACAAAAATGAATGAAAGCATAGGTTGGGTCATATTATATCATGTCATTTCATCTTGGATTCTTCTCTACCTACCTATATATCCCATGGCAAATACAGCTAGCTACCTACCTACATACCTTCACACGTATATATATCCACCCTTCTATATACATACCTTACCTTACATACATACAATCCAATCCTGAGATCCCTACCTTATCTTATCTTACCCACTCCCGCCATCCAACATACCGTTTTTAAGAAAAGGAGGGGGGGGAGCGGGGGGTTAGGATAAGAGTCTACATATCTGTTATATAGGTAGGTAACAAAGGACTTGCTGTAGTGACTCTGTAGATATAAGGAGGATATTGAATTATCTATCAACACCTTTTTTACGAGTTGGTTTTGTAAGGTGAGGATGATGATGGCTTGCTTAAAAGGGGTTTTTTCAAGGGAAGGGGGGGGGATATGAAGGGCACGCACGTATGTCACCTGATGTAATAAAAGAACATAAACACCTATAGCCATGGAAAACAAAACGCCAGCATCTTCGAATCAACATTACATTAATCACAATAAGGCAAGTTCACATCCATATTCACACAATAGGAAGCCAAGTCAAGTAAAGTAAGGTAGGTAGGTATCACGATTATTCTCTAACCCCTTTCTTTCATCACATATGCCGAGAAAGTAGTACCTAACAATCATGCATCCATGCATCCATGCATCATTCTTCGTGCGGGAAATACCTTATGAGCCGTGCTCTTTCATGAGTAACTTAAGTTAAACCTGAACTCCGTCGCTTCTAGTAAGGCAAAACCTCCATCTCCATATGCAAAGCCAAAGCCAAAGCCGAAGCAAAAAAACGCCAGTAAAATTGGTCTCTAGGACCAGAGAGAAAAGAAGAGAAAAAGCCGATGCTGTGCTACTACAGTCGATGCTGTGAAGTTATGCAATCGGAATACACATGGACCGTGTACCATCTGCAGGCTGTTGAGGCACTGTATGGATGGATGTGCGGAAATGTGTTTGTTCGAGGCGATGTCTGCGATGTATGGGCTGTGGTAACCAAGGACTCCAGCCGGATGGTTTCGAGACAAATGCACAAGGTTGAGAAAGATGTCGAACGTGTGAAATGCAAGTCTCCAGAAGCCAATATGTCGATCTGCTCACATCGTAACTTCGTTGCCTCAATCCTTGAAGAAGATATGAGAATTCTGCTTCCCGTGCTTCCCCTGCTTGCCAATAATAGCCTGATCAGCAGCATCCACATGATACTCATTGAGATGCAAGCGTTTACGAGCCTTTGCAGTCTTCTTGTATTTTTGCGGACTCGCAGAAGTTAACCGAGACTCTCTGTCGTATTGTTCCGCGGTGACTGGAGATGAGGGCACAGAAGAGAATTTGACATCAGAAAGAAGTCTTGGGCTGAGAGTAGGAGTGCGGACAGCACGCTTAGACGACTGGTTATTGGGGAGGAGCATTTCATCTTCCTCGACTCTTTTGCTATCCTCCATCGTTCCATTCTGACCATTGGTGTCCGTTCCTTTATGGCCATCAAAATCGGACGATGAAGAATTTCTCGAGTTATCATCATCGTCTAAAGAACTCCTGCCCGGGCTAGCTGGGAAGGGAGTTGGTCTTCGGCCGCGGCCACGGCTCGTGCTAGGAAGTTTCACTTCATCCGGTGTGGGTGATCTTAGTTTCATGTTTTGCTCTCCTGATGAGCTTTCTGCGGAGTGAGATGGACTTTCCCGGACAATTGTAGGTTGCGAATCGTTAATCTCGAGTGTCTCAGGATCAGCAGAAAGTAGCATCTCCTCTGAATCACGCTCAGTTGTTCTGTGGCTACCGAGATCCTCCTTGACACCACCGCATGTCTTGGCTAGATCACGGACCTTGCTGTCGTGACTTCCTTGGGACACGGGCGATCCTTGACTATCATTGATCAGGTCCCGGGATTCTTTGGGAGGCATGCCGTTGCTCTTGTTGGACTCTGGTCTCATCGACTGCTCTGTATTTCTGTCTGTGTGGCCTCCGTGATCATTGCTAGCCGGGTCGATCATTTCTTTAGGGGCAGAGAGCTTCTTTTTATGTCCATCTAATCGCCCTTTAGACGATTGTTCTGGGGAAGACTGCTTCGAAGGCTGCTCTGACGGCACCGACTGGTCTGAAGTGACAGAGGTGCTGGCACTAGTGGATAGCTCACGGGATTGAGATTTGGCTGGCATAGCTGCTCCGGTCTTGCCATCGCTCTTAGATCCCTTTTTGCCTGTGCCCTTCGACTGCAGAAGTCTCTCCGCCTCAGCTATCTGCTCTCTCTGAAGATCAAAAAGTAGTCCACGTATGCGATTTCGCATATCCGAAGCCTTTGGCCACTGAGGGTCAAGATCAACCTGATTTTGGAGAATACCACGGACGAATTCATCAGGCTGCTTCACAAATGTCTCGACATAACTGAGTAAGAACAAACCGCAGTCGCAGAAGTTGTCCTGATGGGGAATATTGGTTGCTGTCATTCCAATGGATCCCGGTGGAGGTATGTCAACCCCGCGCTTCGATTTGATTTCTGCGACCAAGTATTCCTTGAGATTGGTGCAGGTAGGCGAGTGCTTCAGACCAAGAGAGTCTAGAGTGATGATTCTAGGCTCTTCCGGATCATGCTTGCGTAGAGAGATGATAGACTTTCTCTTTCCTGTTTTGGATGGAGTTGACTTTGGTGCTTGGGCTTGCACCAGATCTGAGGTCACAAGCGCTGGCTCTGAAATGGTGGGTTTCTGAATATCGCCTTCGCTGCGATTGCTAGCAGTAACAGCTGTTTCAGCCGGTGTATCGATTGCCTCTTCTGGTCCCTTACTGTCACCCTCCTTGTCCTTCGGTGATGCTTTCTTGATCGGAATTCCGATTTCAAGATCGGTGAGACTGGCCGGAGCAGGGCTCGATGCACACGGAGAGGATAATGAAGACTTGACCTTAGTGCCGCCATTTTCTCCTGCTTGGGAAGGCTCAAGTGCTTCAGGTTCAGAGACGAGGAGTTTAGGAGCGTTGCAAATTATAGCAACATACCAATGATTGTGTTCATTGACTGGAACGACGATGTAGTCATATGAGAGCAGGTCGATCTTGGCAGTCCACCGTTGGACGGCTTCGTAATTGATGCCCCGCTTGCCTTTCGCGGTAGTGGTGAGTCTTTCATAGAAGAAGGTATTAAGGAAGAATATCCGTTTCGCAAGGTTCGGGTTTGCCTGTGAAACGCGACGTTCTAACCAGCGGATATAGAATTCGATCAGGTTATCGTTCAGGAACTGGCCTTCATCAAGCCTCTCAATATCTTGCTTATCAACGGTAGCCTTATCCCTGCCTTCACGGGGATAGACGATCGAGCTCTTCCAGGATTTCTGCCAACCTGGGTTCTGCTCTGTCCATCTTTCGGGACTTGGGGTTCGTTGCATGGGTTCCCGTCGAGATGAGACATCTTTCCCTGCAAGCCTCGCAGACGAACGAGTTTCAGTCGTTGAAGAACCACCATAAAAGTCACTTGCCGCAATTGGGTGATCTTTGGTGAGCTTTGTCGGTTTGTCGGTTTCCTTGACGTTCTTTGTGTCTTCAGTGGCACGAGCTTGCTGGCTTGGTTCTGAATCACCATTGGCCATCTGATCAATAACTCTGGGACCACGGGTTGACTTTTTAGCTTCCTGGCTTCTGTCCGATCTGGCTTGGATCTTTGCCGCAGCTAGTTGGACATCGGCTGGGTCCTCCTGGGCTGGAACAGGCTTTAAACTCGTCTCGGCCCGTTTACGAGCTATTGCAAAAACCTTTTCAAGGTATTCCCTGTTTGACATACTGTCAGCATATAAATCAAAATGGAGCAGTTAACACAGTAGACAAACCCTGGTTTATGTATTGCTTTGATCGTAGGACCCGACAGTCCCTTAGCAAGGGCCTTGCTCTGTTTAGAGTCTCCTAATGTGAGACAGAGTTGGGTTGCTCCGCCGAAGCCGATGTCCCTGGATTTATGAATAACCACATTGGCGCTCTCCTCGCTGAATTCTATGCTGTTAATAGAGACCAGCCCCATGCCCAAAGAGGGTGCATCATCGCCCTCGACCCTAAGTGAATTATTATCATGGTCGTGAAAGAGAAACCATCGTTTTTTGTTATCCCCCAGAAACCATATATGAGTGGCCGAGAAAATTTGTGAGATTTCGTATTTGTCTTCCCCAAACTTTCCTAATTTTTGTTTCTTCGTGCTCGGAAATATACTTGGTTTGATATTCCCATTTTTGAGAGCGGTAATCTCGTCATCTGAACTGTCATCAATAGCGACGGCTTGGCCGGCCTCGCTCTTGGTGGATCGATTCCGCTTTCCAAGTGAGCCCCGTGGAGCATTGTAATGCTCTGCAGAGAGGTCGTCCACGTTATCCTCTTGATGATCCTGATGACTCTTTGAAGTATTTGCCTTGGTTTGACCCAGATCTCTTTGAGAATCACTTTTTGGTTGGTGGGCTTGAGGGAAGTACTTCGATTTCAGACCGTTCTCTGTAGGATGTTTTGTCGAGTCCTGTCCAGCCCGAGTCGTGCCTGGCTTTGATCGAGGGGAGCCGCGGAATGCAGTGTCTTCAGGGCTTCTGATGATCACTTGAGGGGTGGACTTATTGCAGCGTCGAGGCGACTCCATGCCTGTATCAGAAATGGGATCATTAGGGTCCTCTCCGCCCTGAGACTCATCTAACCGCACGACTGTGGCTCTTGAGGGGCCATCTGGCTTTGATAATCGGCCGCTTCTGATATTCGTCGTCTGAGTATCCAAGGAGCTTTCATTTTGTTGCATGGTTTTGCGGATTTTGCGATTCTGGTCGTGCCCCCGTGATGGATTCATCAGTGCTTCGACTTTGTTAAATTCTGGTACGGTTGCCTCATCACCCAAGCTCGTTTTGACCGAATGTCCATGTTGAGAGTGACTGAATCCTGATTTGGCCGTGGAAGACTCTCTGCGGTTCTGGCTGTGTGCTGTTACGCCGTCCAATTCAATTACATCCTTGGGAGACGTATGCCCCATTGATTCTCCCCCGACCCTTCGTCTCTTATTGGGATTGTGATCTGCTTTCCGGGAATAACCATTATGTAAATCGAAGGTCTTATTCTCGCGCTGGCCGTTGTTGGAGGACAGTCGGTTTATCGGTTTGGGGCCACCTGGAACGAGTCCCTTCAGAATTGGCATTAGCAGGGTAAAATAAAGTCTTAGATAGGGAGCAAACCATTTTGCCTGTTCCTTCCGACTTGGCTACCACTGGAGGGGGAACATGAACGGGTCTGAGATAAGCAGATCAGTAAAAGGGATACACGAAGCAACGTAGAAGGAAATACCCGTAATCAGGCAAGCAGTTTTCGGAGGATTTGTAGCGCGCTGCTGCAGCCCTGGATACCGCAATATTAGCAAGTGTTAAAGGCCTGTTTGACAATGCAGTGGGACCTACCATGGGGCTCTGCGCTTCTTCGAAACGTCCTTTTTGTCGTGGGAGTCCCCAGTCTCGCGTGCATTTTCGTGGGCAGACGAGCTGGGTTGCTCTCTGCGTTTCTGTTAGAAAGTCGGGCCCAAAATTGAAATGCAAAAGAAGCTCACTTTGCTGGGTTCGCAGCATCGATATTACTGCTTGGCTGCTCCAATTCCTCCGCAGAAGTTGGCTTGATTCTCTTCGCAGATACAACCCTGCCTTCGTTTTCCTGCAGCAAAAATGATGTTAGCGATAGCGGGACTAGCCGAGGAATCCAGCTCCCACCGCAGCCTTGCGCGACCATGGGGGAGCGGGATGGACGTGGGCAAGGACATAGACCTACATATGAATCCGCAGAATCGTCTATTTCGAGTGGAGTTGCCTCTGTTGCAGCTGTGACAGTATCGCCGGTCAGGTCTTCAACTGCTGTGACGTCCTTATCGAGGCGTCGCCGCTTTCGTGGACTCCGGCTCCGACCAGACATCGCAGACGCTTCATGCTCTATGGTAAAGTGCGCATCCCGCCCTTGAGGTGAGAGAGTCCTTCTTCGTTTGCGACCCCCTTCACTGGCTCCTACGGCTCGAGATCGCCACAGTCGAGAGAGTTCGGGGCGCTGGTTGCTGTCGAGAGAGGGTTGAGGTTCTTTGCAGAGGTCCAAATCCACCACTCCCGTTGCTCGCTTACCATTGGCTCCCGGATTCTGAAGCCTCGCGTCGTCAACTCCAACGGCGAGGTCCAAGGCGCAAATGGTGCCCGCCCTCCTCTCCAGGTCGTTCACTAACTTTTTAGTGAATGTGACCTGAAGAGGGAGGGTTGGCGATCTACTGCCACTGAAGGCGCCGAAAATAATGCCCACCTTCTTCTCCAGGAGCTTCACAATCCTCTCTCCGACGGTAGGAGCTATGGCATCGCGAGATGCCCTCCTACCGTCGAACGCTCCGAAGACAAGCCCCACCTTCTTCTCCAGCTCGTCCACAATCTTGTGAGTGATTGTGACGGCAAACGAGATTGCCGCCATCTTGATCCACAAGTGTGGAGTCTAGGAAGAGCTTAGATCTGGTAGATATGATGAAAGAGCTGGGCAATCTGTACTTACTGGTGTGTTCCAAGAACACGTCTTTGTCCTTCAAGATTGTTAGATCTGGAACGAGAGAACCTTGGAGATAGTGCTGTGTAGGTAATTCTGCTTACCTATAGCGGACTACAGTTGGACCATACAAATGGCCTTTGTTATTTGCAGTTTTTGTAATGAGATGAGATGGCGAGGGTTTGAGAAAAGGTGGGAGGGGAGTTGCGGGACGGGAGGGAAGTTGAGGAAAAATGGAAGAAGAGTTGAGAAGAGATGGGACGCGTCTTCTATCGAGGCAGAGAAATAGCGAGAGAGTTGGTAGTGTGGGCAGACAATAGCTGTGAGGAGACAATAGGTAGATGCACGCACAATGAATAGTATTGGGAACAATAGGTTGTTTCATTCATTCAATATCAGTTGCTGGATGATTCCGCCGCGAATAAGAGGGCTAACCATATACAAGCGGCCGCCGCCTTTACCAATATCAGAAGTAGTGAATCTACCTTTCCCTTGGGCAGCATTGGTTTTGATATATCATGAACCACTTGATCCAAGACAGAATATCCCAGTGAACAGGATGATAGACAGACAGCTCAGGATGGATGTGCACTCGAACACTCTTCCTCAAAGCGCAAACACCCTCGTAGGCCAGAGCTCCACCCTTCACAAAGACCATGAGCAACTTAGCATGACTTCCCCCCTTAGGATTCCAGAGAAGTCGTTCCTGAATCATATGCTCCTTCCTGCCCTCGATCATCCTGGCTGCTTCGGGAGAAGAAGAGTATTGCGAGAAGAGTATTCCGATAAAGGCATGCATTGCAATACTCTTGATACAACTGTACACATAAGAAACTTCGCAATACAGAGCCTCGACGAGGAGTCCCAACCACCATCTAATTCAGCAGTATATACCTGCTTTTCATCTACATGCCCTTCCCATCACATTTCGACCATCTATTTGGCTTCCTCTGGATACAGATCCTCCTTCAGGCTAACGCCCAATTCTTCCCGCAGGGGCTTCAGCTCTTCCAAGTATTGCTCGTACTGGCCACGGTTCTCGACCTTCGCCTTGATACCTGGTACGAAGAATCCATGGTTAACGAGTGGCCTGGTACAAGGGCTTCGGCAATGCGCCCACGGTTCGAGAGCTACATACCTTCGAAGATCCGCACAGCCGTGGGGAAGTCGTTGACTCTTCTTGCGGCCTTCAGCGCAGCAGTCAGGACTGAGGGCGCGGGGACCAAATCGTATGCGAAGGCGTTGTTAAGGTTACGCTGTTGGAAACAAACAACCATGCATCAATTAGCCATCTGCAGGACGGGGATTAGTAATTGGGGGGGAACGAAGTATATGCCGTACCTGAAGCTCGAAGACGTCTTGCACTTGTTCGAACTCCTTCTCATATCTAGATGCCACGGGCGGAAGGTTAGCAATTGCCGATCTCCACTGGTGGGTGGTTCCGGCCGTGCAGGACGGGAATATGCTCAAATGCACTCTGGGGTTGGTGTGGGGAGCAATTGAGGGCGGACGGACCTGGCAGTGAACTCCTCAAAGCTCTCCTCGTGGTGACCGTGTCCGCCTTCCTCGTCGGCCTTGTCGGAAGCCCTTGAGGTCGAGGTGCTGAAGCTGCTGGCAGAGCCGGAGGTGACGATCATCGCTGGGACGGCGTAGAGAGCATTGGAGCTACGTGGCTTGAGGGAGCGCAGGCCATTGGAGCGAAAGAAGGTGGAGGGCTGAGTGCGAGCTACGACGCGCAGCAGAGAAGTTGACGACATCGTGACAGAGGGATTGTGGTGAGGCTGGTGGGAGAGGTTTGGAGCGAGCTTTTGGGGATCTTGCGTTGACGGGAATTGGAAGTCTTACGATTTTGCTTTTCCCGGGCGGCACGTGCAGGAGGGCGGATTGGGTTGGCCACCCCTTTGGCGCTTTGCCCTTCCGGGACGGGATTTGGACGCGGTGTGATTGGTCGACGGAGCAACGGGGGGAATGTGAATATGACGGCACCACCCGAGGGTTGGAGGCCTGAGGCGGAGATGAGAATGTATCGTCGTACCTTACCTATGAACTTTGAAGTGATGAGCAAGAGAATGAGATATCATACAATTGTTATGGATATGATATAAAATGAGATATGAACGAGGATGCAATGTAAGACTGTAAGTTGAGTCTGCCTCTGGAGTGAACCCTCCTTACCTTACATCAGCTGGTTCGTGCCGCAGCCCGAGCAATGGAAGTTGCTGGTCTCCTTCCGTCATGTGAAGTCACATACGGCAGAGCAGAATGGATCGCATAGAATCCAGAATCAAAATAAGATGGAAGAGAACTGGATGAAAGACAACACCACGAAATAATAACAGAGAATCAGGAACAGGAGAGCAGGTGGATTGCACGTGACCTTGAATCACATGCGGCCACTTCTACCCAATTTCGTTTGAGAGCCTCGGAGTCGGAGGAAATATCGGTCCTGTGCCCCGTAGGGTACACGCAGAGGTAAGGTAATTGCAGATGACAGATTACAGTTTACAGACTACAGATTACAGATTGCCTGCGGATTACAGCTTCTATCCCCCCTTTTTACCATGTACAGTATCACAACGTGACAATAGAAGCCATGAAGCTGGCCCCTCCACACACCAGGTACCTTATCCACAGAATGTAAACATATGAACATACCTTATCTAACAATCACAATCATCTTTCCCCCTTTCTTTGCATTCTTCGTGTTCTTCTTCTTCTTCTTTATACCTATTAATGCCGGGTACCTTTTTTAACTTCAACCCTTCCTTCCCGTTTGAACCAAGGACCAAGAACCCTCGGCGGAACCCCCTGCAGAACTTCCCCCCTTTCCCTTCCTTTGCCCCCAATCCATTCGCCTGTGCTGCTTCCTCAGGTACCCACACCCCCCCGTACACAGTAAGGTCGGTAATAACAACGCTGCTACGGTCGAACTTTCATTATTTTACAATTTAATCCTTAATTCTCGCGTCCCCCTTCTCCATCTACCTCCACAACCATCCCGTCCCAATCCCATCCCGTCCCATCATAAAGCTTCTCGTCACTCCTTCGACCTTTATTTGTCCCCCGCTCTTCTTCTTCCTCCTCTTCTTCTTTTTCTCTTCTTCTTAATCCTTCTTGTCGCGGAGTGGTAGCAGCGTCCCTTCTCCGTCTCGTTGTCGTGGAGCACAAACCCCCCCGATTAAAAAACTAATATACATCTTTCCTCGTCGCGAGACACCCACCCCCTTTTCCGCCCTCGCAGCGAACGCGTCTCCTCTTGCAGCCCTGTCGCAGACCCTCGATTGCTGCACAGCTTCGAGACCTCCTCCTCTGGCTCTTCCAAGATGTCGTCCGGTCCAGCAGACTTCCTCCAAACTCTCCAGCTGCCGTCAATCGAGAGGCCCTTTGGCATACAGTTATGGCCTATCTTCGACAAGGCCTTCACGGCCGTCATGGGCTACCATCCCCAGGACTTTGACTTCCAGCCACGAGTTACCCCCATGTCGACGATGAAGGAGAGTGGCTTTGCCATCCTCATCTACTACATAATAATTTTTGGCGGGAGGGAATTGATGCGGAATCGCCCTGCCTACAAGCTCAATGGCCTCTTCATGATCCACAACTTCTACCTGACGGCCATCAGCGGTGCTTTGTTGGCTCTCTTCCTCGAGCAATTGATCCCCACGGTCTATAACCACGGAATCTTCTATGCCATCTGCGATGTCAAGGGCGGCTGGACATCACCCCTGGTCATGCTCTACTACGTACGTGCGGCTGAGGCGGATCCCTTCCTCAAGGCCCTTGGGCGTCGTTGCTGACAGACCATAGCTCAACTACCTCACGAAATACCTTGAATTGCTGGACACTGTATTCTTGGTCTTGAAGAAGAAGCCCCTGAGTATGCTTTGCGCCTCGACCTCGCCCCAGATCAATCTGCTAACTTTCCCGTGAAGCCTTCCTCCACTGCTACCACCACGGTGCGACGGCTCTCCTCTGCTACACCCAACTTATTGGCTTGACATCCGTATCATGGGTTCCGATCACTCTCAACCTGACGGTTCATGTCGTCATGTACTGGTACTACTTCCAGAGCGCTCGCGGCATCCGTATCTGGTGGAAGGAGTGGATCACTCGCCTCCAGATCATCCAGTTTGTCATTGACCTCGGTATGTATTCCCCTCGGTTCATATACCCCTCCAGTTTTCGACCTCTTCTCTAACACCTGCTTTCTTTTTCAGGGTTTGTCTACTTCGCATCCTACACCTACTTCGCCTCAACCTACTTCCCATGGATGCCAAACAACGGCAAATGTGCCGGAGAGGAATTCGCAGCCTTCGCTGGTATCGGCATCCTCAGCTCCTACCTGCTGCTCTTCATCTCCTTCTACTTCGCGACTTACAAGAAAGATGGGAAACGCCCAACCGGTCGCAAAGCCGCACGATCTCTGAAGGATGCTCAACTGCCCGACGTCGCAGCTCTTACCAATGGCAAGATCAACCCAGGGAGAAGTGCACAGGCTACCGCAACCGGGGCCACCCCCAGCCGTCCCGTCACACGATCGCGCAAGGCGTAGAAATTTGCCCCTGGCTCTGCGAATGACGGGATCGAATAGCGGCCGCATCGATGCGATTAGAGAGGCGCACTGGCTGCAAGAGACAACCGGATGAGAGATAGACGACGCTTCTCCTTCTCTGTAAATGTATTGCGACGAGAATGGGCTGGTGGGCACCATTCTAGTCATAGAACACTGTAATGTCGGCATGGATCGCATGAAAAAGCGCTTCCTCTTTTCATATTGTATTAACTGAGCATTAAAGATGGGAGGAGGGAGGGTAGGTTGGTTCGGCGCGTGTCAAGTCGGTGGAAATCATGTGTCGATAGTCTTAATAGGTAATAGACACACTTCCTCTGGCTGCTCTGTTCGCAATGATCTGGTGATGCTGAAGTTGAGGGTTAATATTGAGGAGATGAGGAGATGAGGAGAAGGTCGGAGAGGTTATATCCTGCGGCATGATGTGCTGAGGAACAACCGAGTGGCATCTTGACAATGGGGGGCTCAGTCCTGCAGACCGTCTCCCTGGGATGTTAGAAGTAACACGTTGTGGAGTAACTTGCCATAGGAGTATCTCGTCGGAGCGTCCGTCGCTCAGCTCAGAACCAGGAACGGACTCAGCGATTTGACATAACCATGACTGTGGTCGTATCATCGTAGCCATGTAGAGCGTAGTATATGATCACATCCAAGATTTGGCCAGAAAGCCAGTGCCATGAGAGAGATAGTGTGGCGAGTATTGGGAATACATCTAGATGTATCATAGAGTCTGTACCTGGGAGAAGAATCGAATGCAAAGCGGCCTCGCGAATCAATGTTTCGTGCTAACTGTCCTGAGGCATCTTGGGTGAGGAAACTGTCTTGCGTTGATGATGTATACGGTCTCCCCTCTATCTCCTCTTATCTTTTCTTTTCTTCCTCTCTCTTTTCTCATCTCCCTGTCTCGTCTCGTATCTCTCTCTCTCTTCTAAACACCTACTTTCAATTTCCCGTTCACGATCGGAATGGCGGAAGAGAAGGCAGGCCGGATGGGAAGGAAGAAACTCAAAGGAGAACCAAGCAAGGAGGGACAAGGAGGGACGATCAAACGGATCAAACACTGACGAATGTTCGATCAGCTTGGATGGTGTACGGATTAATCCTTCATCCTGGTCCAAAATCCGAAACACCGTCAGTTCTGCAGCGCACCAAGTTCCAACAGCCAGTCTTCCACATCCAACCGCACCACCACCTGTCAGGGCCATCTTTTGAGCTTCACGCGGCTGAGATTTCAACGGTCCAATCCTGCGTTGTGGAGCAGCTGACCAGGAATGGCGATGCTGCGGTGGCCGTTCTCCTGAGAATCCCTGAGGAATCCTGCTCCGGCTAACCCACCCCTTGTCATATTCCTGCAGCCAATGCCGAGACGTCCTCCCCTCCATCCTCTGCACAGTTGAAATGCTCGATGCCGGGCGAGTCGAGGAACAGACTAGGATTGGCGGGATGCACAAAAGGAAGCTCGGGAGCAGTACAGCCTCGAGCAAGAGCCCATCGAATATCATTCGAGGATCGATCCGGCAGGCTGGTGATGACGATGAGGATGATAGGAAGGTGGGTGAGGATTGGGTGTGAGTGCGATGTCATGCATACCCATCAGCTCGATCACATACCTCTGTACTCCATCCAGAGCACCAAAGGACACAAAAGGATACCTGGCTCCCTCATTCTTTCGTTCTGTTCTTTTTTGCAGTTTTCATTCAGTTTTCTTCGTCCTGGTGTTGGTTTCGCCAACATCTACATATTACCATTGAAGTATCAACTTGAAACGAACCATCCCCTCCCTACCTCTATTCCCTGTCCAGTGAGGACCACATTCCTCCATAACGATATATTATTTCCCCATCTCCACATTACATCTGCTCTTGGAGCTGTCAGTCAGCTGCTGCGGTCGGTCCCTTCAATTGCATTTTGTTGTAAGGGTCCGGGCAGTACCTGGTTCCTGACATACTTCATCGTTGCCTTCCACTCGACGATTCAAAATTTCCCGAGCCATTGTGGGGACTATTACCCAAGGACTCATACTTTGGAAGTCCAAACCTGAGGGATACGGAGGTATCACTATTCCAGAGAAAACAAGGGAACCGCAGCGAAGATGCCACTGATGGCAAATCAAGCCCCTGTGGGGAGTGATCGCCAACCTTCAGAAGTGCGATTCAAGGAACTCAGTACCCTGGAAGAGGAACATGATGCTGGTTACGAGGCTTTTGAGGATTTCGTCGACGAGTTTCTGAGAAGTGATATGGAAGCCTCTATATTAGGTCTGTCTATGGCAAAACAAACAAAACCCCCAGCGCTTCCACAAAGGAGCGACAGACGTCTCTCTAAAGCTCTCGAGATTGCTATGGTTGAACTGAAAAGCTTGGATGGGTCTACAACGCAAAAGGAGGTGCAGCAGGAAACAGAAGGTTCGGACCCGCACGAACGGTATCTGTCGAGCGAGGAAGACGCTTCACTCTCAGACGACTCGGAGTCACTCCTCGAATTTGAATCCTCTACTAGCAGTGAGGCGAATTCTCCCCGTGCTCCACCATCCCGAGCTTCTAGTAAGATATCCCAGGAGGATATGGCGACAGTGGTATCATTCACAGCTGTAGGAAAACCACGGCTAATCGAAATATCCCCCAACTTCTCTGTCTCCAAAACGCAAGAGCCAGTTTCCTTCGCTACCGCCTCCATCGCCCCTATTCCCAAACGACGTCGGCCGGTGCCCATCATGTACCCCTCTCCACTCCGCTATCGATCGGTGTCCTCTACAGGGTCCACACAAGCACAGGCTTCGAACGCTGTTACCCAACCCCAACCTTACGAAACCAATGCCTCGCCACCATCACTACCTCCGCGAAAATCGTCGAGGGCTGCTTCCAACGTCCCATCCAATGTTGCACCCACAAAGCACGAGTTGATGACCTCCAACCCCTTTCCTGTTATTGAAACACAAGAGTTATCCCTCTCAAACCTTGAGAGTAGCTCTGAGAGTACGCCTGTAACACCAAAGACGCCAATTAGTATGGCAGCTGCGGTCTGGAAGACGGGTCTGAATCGAACTTTGAGCAAGGCCCGAAAACATTCGATGCCGAGAATGTCATCAGCATACACGGCGGGCATTGTCGCACCACGAACTGTGTCGAAACCGGGCTTGGCGGATATGATTGAAGAAGAAGAAGAACCAGTCGAGTTGGATCCATGGAAACAACGCCAGAGGTCGGCAACGACACCACAGACGCCACATGAAGGGCCTGTGCGATATGCAGATATCATGGGGAATGCCAGAAAACCAGCTCCTTATATCCCTGGACAGGCGAGAAATTTGGGCTTAGGGATGAGAGGGCTAACGAGGAGAAAGAGTGTTCGGGGGAGGTCAGATAGGTACCTTGGATAGGTTTTATAGACTGGCTAGAAGGGAGTTCTGGATGGGTTCCTCATTCTGTTTGAGTATCGTGGCATGGGATCGGAGGGGGGTATGGCGTTGGGACTAAGATACCATTTTGTCGTTTATATCGTGTCGTGCATCTCCCATGCTGAGATGAAAACCTGGGACTACATGCATAATCATGCCGCATAAGTATAGGAGAATAGAAGAAGAACAATGAACATTGTATTTGAATAGTCTTGAGTTTGAGATAAGAGATTGAGGCTGTTGATGCTTCACTGACCCGTGTGATGGTTGAAAAGGGGAACAGAGGATACTACATAGAGCACGTGACGTATAGATCCCTCAGAGGGTTGAAGAATAGATAGCTTCTCGGCGTAGGATATATTCAATGGGAAGTTCGCTGGAAGGCAAGAAGCTATTTTATACACACTACTATTACCTGCTGAAGATGTTCATTCCCATGTCAAACTTGACCAGGCGCAAAAGGGTGTTCCAAGGCAAACATCGTGTGGTTGAGTCCCGCCTTGTAGCCTCAGGCACACAACACACTATCAGTCCTCGCTTAGGGTTCGCACAACGAATTTGTCGAATTCCCGAACCTGAACTTTTGAACTTTTCTGAATACAAACCCACGACGCCCAACGACACCCAACGGCAACAACGACAAAGTCATCAAGATGGCTTCCCGTCCTACCGTGACCATCCTCTCCGCCGATGGCACCCCCAGCGGCGCGACTCACCCTCTCCCAAAGGTACGATCCACGTCGAATTGAGACTCTCAAGAGACTGGAGTTTCCCGCTGCTGCGCGGACAATTGGAGGGACTTGGAGCTGATTACAATCGAACTAGGTCTTCACCTCTCCCATCCGGCCTGATATCGTCCAGACCGTCCACACCGGAGTCGCGAAGAACAAGCGTCAACCATATGCCGTGAGCGAAAAGGCTGGTCACCAAACCTCCGCTGAGTCCTGGGGTACCGGTTAGTGCACACATTTGCTTTGTCGATTGGAGCCTTATCAAGAGGACTGGGAAGATCTGGGACGTCGGCATCACAGTCGAGATGGACATACAGGATCAAATTCGGTTGGAGGAGATGGCTAATGGTCAATTGTACAGGTCGTGCCGTTGCCCGTATTCCCCGTGTCTCTGGAGGAGGAACCCACCGTGCTGGACAGGCTGCTTTCGGTAACATGTGCAGATCTGGTCGCATGTTCGCCCCAACCAAGGTTTGGAGGTGTGTGGTATTCCACGAGGTTTTTGGAGACGTGAGACTGACAATATCCACAGAAAGTGGCACCAGAAGATCAACCTTGGTCAGAAGTGAGTAACGTCCTGTTCTATCTAGTATACAGCAATTCTAACCCGTCCTCAGGCGATTCGCAACCGTTTCGGCCCTGGCTGCTTCATCCGTCCCTGCTCTTCTCCTGGCCCGTGGCCACCAAGTCTCTACCGTTCCCGAGGTCCCCCTTGTCATCAGCTCCAAGGTCTTCGAGGGCGCCGCCATCACCCGCACAGCTGCCGCTCTCGGTCTCCTGAAGTCAGTTGGTGCATCCCCAGATGTCGAGAAGGTCAAGAAGTCCCGCAAGCTCCGCGCTGGTAAGGGTAAGCTCCGTGGCCGCCGTCACCGCCAACGCCGCGGTCCTTTGATCGTCTACAACCCCGAAGTCGATGGTAAGGAGATCGTTCGCGCATTCCGCAACATTGCCGGTGTCGAGACCTCTTCCGTCTTCGCCCTGAACCTCCTCCAGCTCGCCCCTGGTGGACACCTCGGCCGCTTCATCATCTGGACCTCGTCCGCCTTCGCCGCCCTGGACGAGATCTACGGCTCCACCACCACCCCATCCGCCCTCAAGAAGGACTTCCTCCTCCCCTCCCCCGTCGTCCACCAAGCTGACATCGGCCGTCTGATCAACTCGTCCGAAATCCAGTCCGTCATCCGAGCTGCCAAGGGCGCCGCGAAGACCAAGCGCGCCGGTGTGCAGAAGAAGAACCCTCTCGTCAACAAGCAAGTCCTGCTGAGACTCAACCCCTACGCGGCCGCCTTCTCCAAGGAGAAGCTCGGCACCAAGGGCCTGGACCAGGGCAAACCCGAGCGGGCCACCAAGACCGAGTTCGCGAAGGTTCTGAAGGAGGAATAGAGTGGTGTTGGCTCTAGTTCTTTGTGTGCTTGCTTTCCAAATTTTTCTCTCACAGCGTCGGATGGATGAATGAAGGGCTTTGATGGTAGGCGCTACTATCGAGGGCCTGGGCTTGCTTGACTGGTATCTCCATCGAATAGATAATGAAGACAGTCATACATGCATGATGCGTGCGCTACTAAGACCCATTGTTTGCTTGCCGTGACGCAAAAAATGCTATTCGATGATTCTCTCCATGCTGTAATGTGGGTAAGGTACCTTAGGTTACTGTACATGAATACGAGGATATCATATCCAGCTATCTATCTACGGACTATCTATCTTGTCAGAACCCCTATCCACCCATTCATCCATTCATCCATCCCGTCCCAACTCCCAACTCCCATCCGCAGAAATACTATGCTTATGTCTATGCACATATGCCTATACCCAGCTACCCTTTAACAAAGACTTCCTCCCTATCCAGCTCAACCAACTAAAGCAAATGATTTCCCCACCTCGCCCCAGACCCCGTCGTAAACAGCGCATCCCCCGCAAACTGGCCCCTGAACACCGTGCTATCCCCCGGCGCAGGGCTATTCCCCCTACTCCCCACATTACTCAAGACTCTCGCCATGGGTCTCGTGCTGGGACTCATCGTGCCCATTCTCGGGCTGTGCGGGACGCTGGTGCCTCTGGTGCTTCGGCGGCCGTTCATCAGCGTTCGGAGCTCTTCGGATTTCTTCTCGAGCTCCCTCTCCATCTCGGCTTTTTCCGTCTCGAGCTCGTCGATCCGGGATAGGTGCTGCTTGATCTCTTCTGAGGCTTGGATCTCGTGGATGCGGACGGCGTTCTCGGAGGCTTTGCGCTGGGCTGTGGCGAGCTCGGATTTCAGGTCGTTGATCTCGTTCGCGGCTTCGGCGGCGGCGGAAGAGGCTTGTTGGTAGTTGGTCCGCATGTATTCGAGGTCGTTTTGCATGCTGGCGATACGCTTCTCGAGGCGTTTATTCTCCTCTCGAGCGGTATTCAGCTCGCCTTTCAGGGTGTTCAGTTCGGCAATCTCGGGTATGGCAGACGTGGAGAGAGCTTCGCGCGCAGCTGAAAGTTCAGCATCACCAGTCGCTTTCTCCTCCTTAAGTTTAGTGAGCTCAGCTACACGTGAATCGTACCGCTGTCGCAGTGTCTTTTCCCGAGAGAGGGATTCGTTCATTTCGTGCTCAAACCGGCCGCGCTCGTTGAGTGCTTCTTGATACTTCGGCTGGATGTCTTGAATGCTCTTCTCAAGACCTTGGCATCTGCTCTCGAGCTTCTGATTCTGTTGATATAATTCCGCCTCTGATGCGTCTCTATCTTTTAACTCGATCTCGAGGTCGTTAATCTTTGAAGTTGTTAGAGCTGGGCATTGAAGTGAATACTGCGAGGGTCGTTACCTTCTTGATGAGTGACGACACTAAATTTGGTTCATCGTTTTCTGAAGCCTCTGGCTTTCTAAGGTTCTCCTCTGCCTCTGCTATTTTGAGACTTGGCTTGCTGTTTGCCAGATTTCGGATCGCATCATCGATACGAGAAGGATCTATGTTACCGCTGTGCTCGCCGCCGACTGGAGTGAGCCGTTGACGCTTCGGGGATGCGATATCTTCAACAACCTGTGATAGTTCAGAAAAGTATACAATTAGATAGAGAAAGCACTACCTACCAGTGATCTCTTGAATGAGGGTTGGAAGACTTCAGCTGATGACGATGTATCATATGACTGTGTTGTTGATCCAGAAGGCTGTAATCCTGCTGACTGAGTTTCTGCAGTTGCCTCTAGATCGAGTTCGACTTCCTCCATGTCAGGCATTGGTAATAGAGGCCATAATCCATCTGTCGTCTCCCCAATTGCGAAGGCCGCAACAGCTTTCCCGGCGGCTGGGGGACCGACATAGTCGGGGGGGAGCACTGCAATTTCATGCCGCAATTGTAACAAGGAACTGACCAATGCCGCTCTACGATCCAACGGGTCCATCCGTTTATCGAAGCATAAATCAAGGTGTTCAATTGAACGTATGACGACGAGACGGACCAGAGGCGCCAGGCTGTTAGGGTTCGTCGGGTTAACTCGCAATTTTCTTGAGTCTTGTTCCTTCTCAAAAGTTGAATCAAAAGCGATAACTATGGAAGCAGGCTCAAGCTCGAGATTAAGCTTATAGAAGTCGCTAGGTAACAAGGTAATTTTCATTGGGTCTCGTGCGGTATCATTGATGAAATCAGGCTGGTCTGGACGACGGTAAAAGTATCCTTGATGTTGAAAAAGAGCTTCAAGAATATTTACCATTCTTCCCGGGCGAGCTACGATAGCAACGTGCTGATTGAACGATCGCAGTGCGTCTAAGAAGTCAACCAGGAAAGTGCATTTGGTGCTGATTTTCTCTGCCCATGCCGCTTGTATATGGGGAGGTTCCATTTCCTGTGATGATAAGTCCGACCGAATTAGGTCCTGATGATCACATAGCTTTTTCAAACGATCGATCATAGAATCGATCTCATTAACCAAAGTATCATCTATCTCCACATCGCTGAGAAAAGCCTTTTGTTGACGCCGGAAGTTGGTGATCTCTACATCATAAATATCCCTTGTAATAGCATTAAGGGGGAGTGGCACCGCATACTCATTTTGCCCCAGCGGTAGCATTCGCAAGCCTTTAGGGCTTGGTTGGATCTCCGGAGAACTCCTTGAAGAGGATTCGGCAGGCAGAGGCATTTCTGTAGCCGTCTTTCGCAATGGGAGCGTTTGACTTGCGACAGGGGGTTGTGTGGATGGGGTCGCCGACGCTGCCCTAGCTTCAGCTTGTCTGGCAAGCGCATTGGCAGCTGCAGTTGCCCGAGCCCGCTTGAGCATTTCCGAGACGCTCATCGAGTCATCCATACTTGAATCCGCCATCTTGGAGCCTGACGAGGGTGTAGGCCTTCTGGGAAGATTACTTCCGTAAGTATCTGGGAGCTCTAGAACGCCTGACGATGGCGGTGACGGTCTCGGTGGGAGAGGAGACGAGCTGATGTCTTCTGGTCTCTCAATGCTGGCTATCACTCCTTCTGGAAGTTCCACGGCTGATTGGGGACGCTCTGTAGGATTAGAGCCCGCCCCTGATAAACCTCGTGACAGACTATGCTCCCGGGATATCTGGTCCTGCGTCTGAACTTGCGAAGGACTATTAAGAGACTCTGGTAGTACAGTGGCCGTTTGACTTGGTAAAACCTCTGCCGAAGACAGCGGAGGAGGCGACCTGATTTGTGCTGCTTGCCAAGTTGCCTCGAAACTAGATACTGATGGTTCGGCTGGCGGGAATGGCTGGCTTCGCGGTGGGGCTCGCGAATCGCGTTCTTCAATTGACGAAGATTGTACGTCGCGGTGGCGATCTTGGTGTTCAGATGTATTGGAACTATTTTAAAAACGTGAGCACCATACTCTGGAATCTCAATTACCTGCTTGGAGATCGGTGGAAAGGAGAGGAGGAAAGAATGAGAACTGCCATTCCCCCGGTAATTCACCGATTTAAGCGACAAGGCAACTAGAGCTTCGAACGTACCTTTGAATCACGTGATCACGCGCAGCCTGACTACTGGAGGATTCTTCGAAATTAGGAAAAGGTATCTGCGTCTGAAACTGCAGAGGCGAATCTGTATCAACTTCTGACTGAGATTCCTGATGAGATTCCACTTGCTCTAATCCCCGAGCTGGCTCTGCTGACCGCGTTCCTGGAACTTGAGCAACTGATGAAGCGGACTGGGACGACGTGATTGGGGGTTCTGAGAAAGCAGAACCGGGAATTCCTGGTCTAGCAACTAATCCGACAGATTGAGAGGAACCGTCCGCAGTTCCTTCAGACTTATCAGTCTTTTGCGGCTGAGTAGGTTGGTCTGATTCTCCAGACGTACCAGATTCCTGCCCCCCACTAGATGGTGCTTTTGTGCCTGAAGCAGGCTCGCTCGACGTTACTTCAGAGTCGCTCACTGGTGGATGTGATCTGGAGCGATGATTTACTTGTACAGGATGTCGGTCTCTGATACTACCAGAATCCCCGGAAATATTAGAGAATCCGGACTGCGTTTCCTGGAACGGGTCAAGCTCCGACTGGGTATTAGTTCCGCTGTCTGGTTGTGTCGTTACCCCAGTCTTTGAAACTGCGGTTTGCGAGGGTGACTCTGTAAGCTCCTGAGAATCTGGAATGACAGGTGCGGGCTCGTCCCAGAGAAATGGTCTGCGAGTTGCCGTATGAAGCTTGTGTTGCGATTGCGATGTGGGATAAACTTGGCTTTGAGCGGGCTGGGTTATCTGAGAGGGTTGAGAATTTGTAGCAAGTATTGCGTAGGCGTCTCGGTCAAAAGCTTCACCAAGTCCTGGCACCACTACCGAAACGTTCCCACTTCTATTGCTCAACTGCTCTTCTTCCTCGTAGCTATCCTTGATCTCTTTAACTATACCCTGCGAGTCGACTGTCTCCTGTGACACGGATTGAAATCTTGCGGTCTCTGCTGTACCTGCTCGCCGAGGTTTCGGGGTTTGATTTGGAGCGGTCGAATCCGGAGGATAACTTATTTTCCGCCGTTTTGCAGAGCGTATAGGCTGGCTGTCGCTATCAGATGTAGGAGACTGTTTTTGACTCCTATCTGCGAGCTTGGCTTGTCTCTCCCTTTCCTCGGCTTTTCTCTTTTTCTTCTCAGCTCGTCTGTCCCTTTTCCTGGCTTGTTTCTCTCTTTTCCACTTCTTGTACTCCCAATCCGCGATCGCCTCTTGCTTTACGTTATCATACGGCTCCTGAAAGAAGGAAATCATTAACGACATGTCCTCACTACTGCAAGTTGTGGAGGGGAAATAACTCCATACCCAGGTTGGCGCGTAAGATTCCCCAGTTTCTGCGTTATCCTCCCAATCTATCAGGAAGAAGATCTGCTCATCCACCTTCTTTTCTGCAAGTATATCCTTCACCAAATAGTATTCACTAGATGTTTCCTCCTTGCGCCGTCTTTTTTTCTGGGGGGTTCTTGGGGGCGGTGACTCTGCGAAAGACTTGCGATTCGGTTGCCTCGGCCTGGTGCGACGGGAACGTTCAGAGCTTGTTGGTTCCATTAGTATAAATGTGTCGTGGTTTAGATGCCATTGTCAAAACGAGTTACTGCGAGGGCAAAGAGTAAGTAGAAGGTAAAAGGAGGATGAAGATGGAGAAGGAAGTGGGATACCTCTCAGTTTTCTAGCGAAGGGCGGGTGATTAATTGTTAAGTTGAAGTGAATTTATTATCCTCGTCCTTGTTGATGTTGATGTTGTTGATACAGTGATAGCAAGAGCTGGTATTATTTCATGGTGGAACCAGTTTACCTTAGTCATGGGTCGTTCCGGTTACCGTAGCGGACAAAGGGGTGGTGTAGATCTCAGGACACACATATACACTTTCATTTACTTTCATTTACTTCCTCTTAATTACTTTATCTGCCTCCTCTGCTTTGTTGATCTCCTCTCCTGTTAACCATCTTACTTATTTTTGGTAGTTGGGTTGGAAGTTGGTAGCTTTATAACTGGCTTCCTCTAGCCCTCTGGTTCACTTCCCCTCCCCTTTTCATGCACTGCAAGTATACTACGTAGCAATCCATATTGGCACTGTGAAATAGTCGAATTGATGCTCTATCTACGATACCTTGCATCATGGACTTATGCTGTTTGCGCCCGACTCCCAATATCAGCTTCGCCACCCCAGAACATGCTCACGACGGAAGTTAACCCTCCTTCCCAATGCCTTTATCAACTCCATAACCTTTGTCCGCATTCGCCCTGTTTAGCTTCGTCATAGCTACTGAATCTAGAGCACCGTACCACTCCTTCATAGAAACAATATGATTTTTCTCGCTAGGGCCATACTCCACAGGCGGTCCACGTACTTGCGCCTCATCCTCGCCATTCTTGAAAACAGCCCAGCTGCTAGCCTCATTGGATTCGGAACGGAGGGCAAATCCCCTATTCTTGATCGCAATAACTTGGAAGTTTCGAAGTAAAATACCATCGCCGGCATCAATAACAGGCAAAGCTTCCTTGTAGGGTCGGTATATCTGAACCTCCGTGACAACGCTAGGAGCGATCGTTGGGTCGGTGATGTTGAAGGTTATCTGGTAATGCCGTGGCCCACCTTTGGCCCGTTGCGGTTCTGCCGGAGTCGTCGTCGCTATTGCCAAAACGTCGAGCTTTTTAAGGAGATTATATCGAAGCACTTTCAGGGCAGTAAATTCGCTGAGATCGTTTCGTAGAGCTCGAGTGAGGCGTAACTTGAGATCGGTGACAGGTGTTCTCGGAAGATCATCATGTTGCTTCCGGGGGGAGTCCAAAGCTGATAGTGCCATTTCGATACTCGCATCATGTCCCGTCGGCGTGGTTTGATTATCCAGGATAATTGGCGACCAATCCTCTTTCTGTCTACTCCCAGGCTCTCCTTCAGTGTGAGGATTGTCCGGTGTGCGCGGGCGCACGATCTCTGCTATCTCAGGTGCTGATCCAGACGACTTCCCAATGCGTTGACTTCTCCTGGGACTGAATCGAATGGTCTTCTCAGGATCTTCGATGCGATTGTCGAAACCCGATATAGTTAGCTCATTTTGCTCACCGCGGGGTGGGCTCGGAGTATGCGCTTCAATAACCGCGACATCTGCTACCTGTTCACTCTGTGGGCCCTCGACTTCTCCGTCGATCCTGTTTTTGGACGTCTCCACAGTGATGGTTTCAGTCTCAAGGCTCTCGGTTTCTTTTGTTTCCATAGGCTTGTCTAATACTGTTTTTTGCTCTTCGAGGATGGGGTTGACCTCGTTCTCCAGGTTCGGATCAACGTGCATTGCCGTTGTGGAACCTTCCGACGAATCTGCAGAGGGTGGTAAGCCTGATGAGAAAGACGAATCTCGTTGGGATTCTTTCAACTGTGATAACTGCGTATCATCAGGAGTTGGAAGTTGGACATCGTCTTGCGCCAAGACTTGATCCCGTGGAGTAGCCACGTCTTGATTCGGCTCAAATGTAGAAGTTGTAGCAGGAGGGTTCGTGGTTCCATCATTGGGTAAGACATGGTGAGAGACCTCTGCTCGAGTTTCATCGTTGGCACCATCCAGATTGAATATTCTGGAAAACAGCGACGGCTGCTCTCCAGGGGTTGACTCTCCCCCTGCATTTTCCACGCCTTGGGTAGCTCCATGCTTGGCCGGATTTTGCTCAATTGGGACCGTGGAGTCATCGTCGTGGGGTGGCGTCCGACTCATATTCTCACTATCCGGAACATTGTTATCTTCTTTTTGAGCTTCTGAGACTTTAGCATTATCCTCGGGCAGCTCGTCCTCTTCCATTTGCTCCGGCTCAGATATCTGAGGCGCCTCCGTTGACTTACCAGCCTCAGACTGGTCAAGAAACTCTCCATCCACGGGCGACGCCTTAGAGGGAGCGATTTCGGCCTCCTCGTTACCTACTGTTCTCCCTGTATGTCCGCTTCCATAGCCTGAACTTCTTTCGGATTCTTCGTCTATCTCATCCTCCATCTCAACATGCCCATCATCATCATGATCGACAATGGAAGGGGCATCCTCCTCATCTTCTGCAGAAGATTCTCTTGTGAAGCGTTGTGGGGCGATAGTCTGCAATTCGGACCGCTGTGCATAGGGCACATCATCGGTAGAGTCCATTCCTTCCTCAGCACTACTCTTATCCGATTCGCTTTCTTCATCCTCCTCAGAGGAATGGTCTTCGGCTTCAGGTTGTTGTACAGGGGGCATAGGGGGCTGAGAAGTTGAAATGGTAGGTTTCGGTGTAGTTGCCCCCCCGTCGTCTTCATCGTCGGAGGAGAGCAGATCTATGACCACGGGTGCTGTTTGTACCGGGGGTCTGGACTGAGCTTCGTCAACATCCATTTCTTCGTCATAGCTTTCCTCATCCTCATCCTCATCATCGTATTCTTCTTCGTGATAGCGATCTTGATAGTTATCATCTCCAGAATAGTATTCATCATAGACTTCTTCTGCGCCAACTGAAGCATCTTCATCGTCCATATGTGTTTCATCATAAGTGTATGGACCGCGAGCAGATTCGTCTTGCATTGTAGCTTCTTCTTCCAGTGAACTCTCAACGGAGCTTTCATTGCCCTCCTCATCGACCGAATCTTCATTTGCATCCTGTCCCTCTCCTTCGTCTTCGTCTTCCGTTAGATCCACCACCGCAGACTGTGAACTTTGGGATTGTGGCATGGTAGAAGATTGAGGATGTGGGATTTCATCAACAGCATGTCTCTTCATGTCGTCAGGTTCTGGCAAGTCCGGATAAGCGACAGTTGCAGAACCAAGCGCCCAGGAGCTGTTAGCAGACTGGCCATGTAATCCATCATCCAATTCAGGATAGTGTTGATAGCGAGGCGCCTCAGACTGCGAAAACGTAAAACCGCCGGTCTCATGTTGCTCTGGCTCTTCTTCGTTTTCATCACCATCATCTTCTTCCTCTAAACGCTCAGATTGCTCTTCTCTGGTCTCATTCGCATCTTTATAGGAGGACTCAGAATGACTTAACTGAGCATTTACAGTCATCCAATGGCCATCTTGATTCTCAGAAGGGAATTGGCCCCCGTGACCCGAGTTTTCTCCTTCGTTCATAGCAGTTTCTGGATGTTGGAAGGTTTGGAGTTCGGGAGGGTGTTGTTCACTTTCACCGTGACCGCCCACATAGACAGCCTCGTGCTCATCCCCGGAATGATGAGTTGGCTCTTGTTCATGTAGAGCTCCAAAGCTACCGACGGTTGGCGCCGATTCCCGGATTCCATCACCACTTTGTGTGAAGAGACCGGAATTAGATGTGACGAGTGGCGAGACCAAAGGTAGTGCATCAGAAGAGAAGGATTTGAGTTGAGGTGAAAGGGGTGCCTGAGAAGACTCTATTTCTTGCATTTGGTCCTGCTGTGAAGAACTAACCTTATTCGAGTCAAGGGATGCCTGTATCGCTGGCGGTGACATCGCACCATTACGACTTGGCGACGAACGAGCTTCGTACTGAAGATGTGCTGCATCCTCGGCAATAAGAGCCTCATCACTCCTTGATGTCATGTCTCCATCTGTGACTTGTCTTGAGGAATCGGCCGGTACCTCTGCGGCATCCCCAGCCTGAAGCCCGGTGGTCTGCCTGCCCTCGTCAGCCGTCAACGGTGCGGCGGCAGGTTCTGACGATGTCCGGACAGATTCTTCGTCTGGTTCGGGGCTCGGAGATCGACTGCTATACCTCCACACCGAACTCAATCTGGTCCTCTTTCTTCCCTTTCCAGGTATGGTCCCGTCCTCCTCTGCGAATGGATCATAGCCTGTGTCGAAAAGGGAACCATAGGATGTTCTTGCACGTTTAATAAATGCAGGAGATGACCACTCGTCCCCATTTCTCAAGACCACGTCAGGCTGAGCCGAAGTATGATTGGGATAGAAAGCCGCAGGGGGAGATATCGGCGATTCGGGCGAGGGAATTCTCTCCGAGATAGAAGGCGCTGGCTCTGGCTCTGGTGTGGGATGATCAATATCAATTAACTCGTGTTTCTCGGATCCTTCCTGTCTAAACTGTATCTCTCATATTAGAAGGGGACCCTTCCCAGAATCGCTTGGGTACAGACCTGGAGGAGTAGCCTCTCTGTAAACTTCAACTCGAACTCCACTCCACGACCGGGTGCTAAATCCGCAGTTTCATCAGGTAGCCATTCCACACCATCCAAGCAGAGCACCACCTCATCCCCACTAGCGATACCAGCTTTCGCGACGACTTTCGCACTGGACCCTGCGAACTGGACGCGCACCTGGCCCTTAGAACGGCGCAACCGAAAATCAGGCTCTGCCAGGAGGAAGGCCACGGAGCCTGTGGCGGAGCTGTACGGCCATGAAAGTGTTACTATCGCCCTAACAGATCTCGACGACGGCGCATCGAGCGTGGGAGTGAGCTGTGCAATTGGAATGTGGGAGGTCGATTCTAGCAGCGCCGGTGCGCCAGGCGTGGCTGCGCCGGCCATTGGGAGATTGCGTGGGCTACCTTCTGTGGCAAATTCGACCGACCATAGCCCTCGGGGGGGGTTGCGCGTCGGGTTCGTATCTTCAGAACGGGTTGGAGGTAGATGGACGCGTCGAAGAATGCGAACGCATTTGAAGGTCTAGTTCCGAGTTTCAATGCAGATTGTAGGTCGTAAATGATGGTGAAGGCGGTGGCCGACGGCAGTTTCTCTTCCCCTTGTAATCATCGGCTCGCTTATCGCTGGCCTTCCACGTAGAGTACCCCTATCTACATCTGTCTACCAGATGCTGCACGTTCAGCTACAGAGTAGTCCGTGGTCAATTTGGACAATGAGATAGCATCAACTGTTTTTGGATTGCTAAGTACATGATCTCTCTGTATCTACAACAGAGACCATCGCAATGAAGGATCATTGTGACGAAGTCTCCCCCGAACATTTATGGTGTGCCGTTGCCCGACATATGGTCTGTCGAGCTATGCTGATTGCACTGTGTCGAGTCTCAAAGAGCCTCCATGATATCTCTACTCCTGTACTATACGACCGTGTATGACTAGATTGATGTTCCTTTCCCGGATTCTAGCGTTTCATTGGTTTCAAAAGACTCCTATCTTGAGTTTACTGGACACCTCCATATTGGAAAACGTGTTCCCATCGATCCAGCAGACCGCTGTGACCAGAGATTGAGGTCATGAGAGTATGTCTCTTCAAAAAAATGATCAATTTGACTTCCTCTACGTTTGCGCCCATTTAAAGCATTTCTGGTACTATATGACCGGGGGTCTAGGGCCTCGAGGTTCCACTCTTCCGCGACTTTGCAGACAACCCAGACAGAGACATCGACGAGGCGACACCTCAGAGAATGAAGACGGGCAGCCAGGACAGGAGGAAGATGGAATATGTAGCCCTCCTCCGACTCTTATCAAGACTTGGGCCTCTCATCCTTTCCAGCTCAGATGGGGATTTGATGAAATTCAATTGGTCGACCTCCCCCCCCCCAAAAATCCTTCCCCCCTCTTCAGAAACCTCCGAAAGCTAGGCCTTTACAGATTAGAATGTGATATTTGGGGAGGCAATGCTGACGATATTGCTGGGGACCAACGCAATCTTATCATATCATGTATCAAGTACTGCTGATACATGCCAATTAACATGAAATTGATGTGGAATGTCCTGGAGAACCGTGACCACTTCACATCACGGACACACCCCGGAAGCACATACAGCCCCTTCCTTGGTTCTCCTCCCCAAACACTGACCATGGACCGGGCAAAAGAGGCCCGCAAATGGAAGTGGTCCCCAGCCTTCATGTCGAGAAGTATTACGGAGGACCGTTTTGGGATTATAGAACAGATAAACCTTCCCTACCAGGTATCGACTTGTCGCTTTGAGAGTGACTAGTATATGTCTTTTGTAACAGCACAGCAGTTGTTGTAAAGAAATCGATTACCATCTTAGTGAAATACTAAGAGATACTCACGTGCCAGAAAGATCACGAGGCAGAGCGGCTTTCTTGATATAAGGTCGGCAGGTAATATAAGCTTCTATCACATATCTAGGTCTATGGCCCCGTAACCTGTGGGTATCACAGCAACAATCAGTAAGGAGTTCAACGCTGTCCCACACGCTCCCTCGCTTTCCGTGTGAAGCATCACAGATCAGACTTTGCCAATTTCTCACTTCAGGCTCAACCAGTACCGCGCAGAGCACGACGGCTGAATCATATTACCAGAGTTGAGTTTTCCTCATGCAATTGCAAGGACAGAGAGGTATGTATTTGCTCACATCGCGTGCATAACAGTAGGCAACATACTCAGCAGAAGTATATAGTCTCATATATCATGTATCATGTATCATCATGTCCCCATCTTCAGGTCATCATCGTGTCATGGTAGCCGCACAAGGGGCCCTCGTGACGATGGTTTTATAGTGGATGTACGATCTCGACCACGCATCGGAATCGCCAGCTGAGTAGAGGAGGTCGAGCTGTCGAAGATTTGAGTATCATGGAGGTCTTGCTGTTGAAGAGAGAAGACGCGAAGGGAAAAGATTCTGCAGCATTTATATTAGGCGAGCCAGGTAAGCGAGATGGCCGCCTCAGGCACAAGCCCTTAGCTACGGCGCGGCAAATACCGTTTTTCGCCCCGCCGCTCTAAAAGGGTAAACGTACCTTTACTGTGCTACTTCACGTATTTCTATTCTATCCTTACCAACGAACAGCCGCCGCAAATCCTCCCTCAGATCCCAATACCCCACCATCCTGCGATCTTCCCGACATCTAACGCTCCAGATCTTTTCTACTTACCCGTACATAATAAGCACCTCGATTTGGACCCTGCCGTGACTCTTCCCAGCGCCACTCAGACCACCCGGCTAGAATCAATCCCTTGACCGCGAGCTCTCAAACCTCACCGGCCACCCAGCAGCCCTGCACGCTCGCAGCTTGGGGCGCTCTTATCTGTTGCCCGAAAAGCGTTCCCTCCGCGCGGAATGGATAATTTATGGACTCGCCGTTCGAAGTAAGCTTGGCCTGTCCCCGCGCCAGGCGCGCACCAGGTAAAGGTAGACTGCCTCAGCTAACGAATCGTGCTACAGCTCCGGCAAACTCTCCCTCTCAACGGGGACAGCAGCCACGACGAACGGTGCTGCTCCTGCCAATGACCATCCCACGAGAGGCTATACACTGGGCAGGAGACATGGCGACAGCTCGTCGCACGGCACTAAAACCCCTTTCAATCTTGTATCCCCTTCGACATCCTCCATCTCCTCGCCCTCCGCCGCCGCATCGAGTGCATTCGGTCTGGGATCAGGCGCTTTTGCTTCCTTTGGCTCCTCGAAGACACCCAAGACACCCGGAGGCGCTCTGGACTTCGGAAGTATAGTCGGGATGTCTTCTTCGAAGACCCCGAACGCTGAGAAGCAAAACAAAGACCTGGCCTCCAAACCGTCCAAGTCCTCTCTGGCAGGCTCTAAGAGCTCCACACCTCCCCCAGTACATGCCTTACGGTACAGCTGGGTATTTTGGTTCCGCCCGCCGATCTCGAAATCCAACGGCTTTGTGGAGTATGAAAAAACCCTGCACCAGATTGCCTGTGTCGATAATGTGGAGGACTTCTTTTCTGTATATACACATCTGAAGCGCCCTTCGACGTTACCACTAGTGTCCGACTACCACCTTTTCAAAAAGGGCATCCGTCCAATCTGGGAGGATGACGACAATAAGAAGGGCGGCAAGTGGATCGTGCGATTGAAGAAGGGCGTATTAGATCGGTACTGGGAGGAACTGGTCTTTGCGGTCATAGGAGATCAATTCGCAGAGGCTAGTGAGGACGTCTGTGGGATTGTTCTCAGTGTGCGTAATGGGGAGGATATTTTGAGCATCTGGACCCGCAACGATGGCGGAAGGGTTCTCAAGATCAGGTAGGTTGATGTCCAATGCGGGCAGAGAACATACCATACCAATACTAAGCGTGTTTTAGGGAGACGATGAAACGCATCCTGGCCTTCCCGCCGGACACAAAGGTTGAATGGAAGAGTCACGACGACAGCATTCAGCAACGCACGACCATCGACGACGCTCGGAAGGAGAAGTCTGGCCAACACAATAATCACCCTTCAGGGAATTCTCGCAACGGCAGCAAGGAGGACCACTCCTCTCTCTCCGACAAGAAGCAGGCTTCATGAAACCAAACCTCTTGCTACGGCTAAAGCAATTCTCGTCCACGCGACGTCATTCTTGTACAAGTATTGGGCTGCATTCATTGGTAAAAGCGACATGGTATTGGCTACTATTGTGAGCCTCTTCTCTTCTGGTCTAGCAACGGCGGGTTTTTGCACTGTACCATAGGTTGAAGAGCTTCTATTGTGGGTCTGCGCTATTCTTTACATAGCAGCATGTATAGCAGTCCCGTTATCCTTTCCCAGAGCTATTGATATCGCAGGTTAAAACAATGAATAGCTATTCATGTAGTACTAGAATAGGTACAAAACGCGCCAGAGTACTAGAAGTGATGATCATTGGCTGTCTTTCAAACGCGGTATCTTCCATCTCCTTATTCAGATCTTGCCTTCATTCACACCTCTCAAACTCCCGTGTGGACAACTAAGCCGACAAGTCTAGCTATCCATAGACTCCTGAGGGTACTCGGCGCTGTATGCCTCGGAAAGATATGGGCCATGATATTTTCAAGGTTGGATGCCAGGTGGTATTAACCAGATGTACCTGATTTACTTTCTCATTGTTACAACTCTCCAAGCCGAAGTATCAGCTTCTGTTCTGCGCGAACTCGCTCCAAAATAAAAATACGAACGTAAACTTTTCACGGATGTAGAATATCTATCTGTTGGTGGCTTATCAGAAGGAAAGCTGAGAAATGTCTCGAGACTTGCGAATAAAGGATTCGAGGAACGAATGATCTCTTGTGGTCTAGTACCGGATGGATTGAGCTATTGCAGCCTTCCATTGTTCCATCGTGATGAAGGGAGTCCGAAACTGCCTCTTTATGGTACGGGTGAGGCTTGTCATGGTTATCAATCGAAGGATATCTTGCTTCTATGTCTGTCCAAGTTACCTAACAAGCAAGATTTTCCATTCCGGGTATACAGATCTGATGATTCTCGGGGCTATCCGTACGCCTAGGAAAGAGAGGCCTGACGCACAGAAGAGAGGAATCAAGAAATGTATTGTAGCAGGAGTCTGGAGGCTTAGATAATAATGGAATGTTTACCCGATTACTTATTACAGTATTTAGGTGCCTGTGTATAGCGTCTAATAATAGTCCAGCGGGTTTTACCCAAGCCAACTCTGGGGCGTTGCGGGGCCGATGCGGAGCTCCCTGCACTGATATGTGTGTTATACACCGCAACGATAATGATGATAATGATGATAACGGTGATAATACAGGAGTGATTACTGCCTGACAATACAGAACAAAAGACAACCACCAAGACGAGTGATACGATTCTTGAACAATGAACAACCACCTCCCCCGTCTCAAGGGTCCTGTTGCGTAGGAGGCACAACTAACCCTCAGCCACTAACCGAGAAACAGGCTCAGCGTACCAGCCTTCCCAATAGCCATGCGAAAGCCTGCTGAGCTGGAACTCATTGTTATTATTGTCTTCCTCTCTTCCTTTCTCTCTCTCTCTTCCTCTCTCCTCACCAACCATTCCCTCCTCCTACTACGGAGAGAGTTGTGCTTGCTCTTCTTCCCTTTCATCCTGTTCTTCGCCGTCTTTTCCTTTCTGCTTCTCCCTTCTCCTCCTAAGATCCCTCCGAGCTCTCCCTGCACAAGCTAAGGGACGTCCCCTCGTTTTGCCCAATACCGGTTACACGTCCCTGTAAGTCTTCCCTGTCATTCGCGGGTATGTGCCGCCAACGTGTGCTTGCGCTGACCGGCTGTGGGGAAGCTTCCAAGCTGCTTCTTATAGACCTGCCAGACCTCTGCTCTCCTCCCTCCATCGTCTCTCGCCTTACATCATACTCTCTATACCTCTACGAAAGAAGGCGAAGGCTTTCCGAAACTGCTTCCTTGCCTTGAATTTGCGAATCTTCTTGTCGCCCCCACGCAATTCTACATCTTAAGCCAAGACCTCCGCAGTTGACGCCCGCGCCGCACCACCTCCAATCCCATTCACGCTCCCCAACCACCTGTCTTCTTCAGACCGCCACCGCCGCCGCGCGAGAGGAGACACAATGTCAGGAGGGAAGAGAGATGTTCGGAATCACTATCTCTTCGAGGTAGCCACTGAGGTCGCCAACCGAGGTACGTGGCTTGAGAGCCTTTTGAGCACGCAGAACTGATGCGGCCAAAGTTGGGGGGATCTACTCCGTCCTCAAGTCCAAGGCACCCGTCACTACCGCCGAATATGGGGACCGGTATACCCTCATCGGGCCTCTGAATAGGCAATCGGTAGGTCGCAGATGCTCACGATGCCCCAGGGCCCCCAGGGCCCAATAGCTGATGATGATAGGCCGCTGTCGAGGTCGAAACTCTGACCCCAACCAATCCCCAGCTTGCCGCCACTATCGAGGCTATGGAAGAGCGAGGGATTAGCATGATATACGGTCGCTGGTTGATTGAGGGAGCTCCACGTGTGTTGTTGATTGACACGAAGACCGCATACCGATTCCTGGATGAGTGGAAGGCAGACTTGTGGAACACAGCTGCCATCCCTTCTCCCGCTGGAGATGCCGAGACCAATGAAGCCATTGTCTTTGGCTACCTGGTAGCCTGGTTCCTCGGAGAGGTGGGTAACCTTGGCCGCCCCCCTGGAGATTCCCTTAGCTAATGTGCCCCAGTTTGTCGCCCACGAGAAAGAACGTGCGGTCATCGCACACTTCCACGAGTGGCTATCTGGTGTCGCCCTGCCATTGTGTAAGAAGCGTCGCATCGATGTCACGACGATATTCACTACGCATGCCACCCTTCTCGGGCGGTACCTCTGCGCCGGATCCGTCGATTTCTACAATAATCTACAATACTTTGATGTGGATGCGGAGGCCGGGAATCGGGGGATTTACCACCGGTATTGCATTGAGAGAGCGGCCACACACGCCGCCGATGTCTTTACAACCGTTTCCCATATCACTGCATACGAGAGCGAGCACCTTCTGAAGCGCAAGCCTGATGGTGTTCTACCCAACGGTCTCAATGTCACCAAGTTCTCAGCCATGCACGAGTTCCAAAACCTGCATCAACAGGCGAAGGAAAAGATTCATGACTTTGTACGTGGGCACTTCTACGGACACAATGACTTCGACCCGGGGAACACGCTCTACTTCTTCACGGCCGGACGATACGAATACCGGAATAAGGGTGTCGACATGTTCATCGAGTCGTTGGCACGTCTGAACCATCGTCTCAAGTCTTCTGGCTCTAAGATGACAGTTGTCGCCTTCATCATCATGCCAGCTCAAACTCACTCCTTGACTGTGGAGGCTCTGAAAGGGCAGGCAGTTATCAAATCTTTGCGGGATACCGTTGATGTTATCGAGCGCGGGGTTGGAAAGCGAATCTTCGAGCGAGCTCTCAGGTGGCATGATGGAGACCCAATGCCGGATGACAAGGACCTCATCAGCAGCCAGGATCGAGTTTTGCTCCGGAGGCGGTTGTTCGCCATGAAAAGACATGGTCTGCCCCCGATCGTCACCCACAACATGGCAAACGATGCCGAGGATCCAATTTTGAACCAAATCAGACGGGTCCAGCTATTCAATCACCCCTCTGACCGCGTAAAGATTGTCTTCCACCCCGAATTCTTGAACTCCGCGAACCCTGTCCTTCCCATGGATTACGACGAGTTTGTCCGAGGTACCCATCTGGGCGTCTTCCCATCCTACTACGAGCCGTGGGGGTACACTCCAGCCGAGTGTACCGTGATGGGTGTTCCTAGCATCACAACGAACCTGTCAGGTTTCGGTTGCTATATGGATGAGCTGATTGAGAATTCTACCGACTACGGGATCTACATCGTGGACCGCCGCATGAAGGGCGTCGACGACTCTGTCAACCAACTGACCTCCTTCATGTTCGATTTTGCTGGCAAGTCAAGACGTCAACGGATCAACCAAAGAAACCGCACAGAACGTCTCAGCGATCTCCTTGATTGGAAACGCATGGGTCTGGAATACGTGAAAGCTCGCCAACTCGCCCTGCGAAGAGCCTATCCAGCATCATTCGAGGGCCAGGATGCCGACTATGATTTCATCCCAGGGGTGGAACAGAAGATCTCTCGCCCCTTCTCCGTGCCAGGGTCCCCGAAAGATAGGAGCGGGATGATGACTCCGGGTGACTTCGCGAGCCTGCAAGAAGGTCGTGAAGGTCTGAGCACAGAGGATTACGTGGCATGGAAGTTACCGTGAGTGAAGGAATAATTCGAATAACGAGGATGATACTAATCATCCCTATCATAGTGAGGAAGAGGATCCTGATGAGTACCCGTTCCCTCTGACGCTGAGGACCAAGCGATCCACGGGTCCAACCAGCCCGGCTGGCGGGGTGATCACGAATGGAAGCTGATGAAAGACAGAGTATGGTTTGAGAGCCAAATTTATGAGGGAATTAGAGAAGCCGTAGAGGGAGAAGAAGAGTGGTTCGAATCCTGGAGTGGGGAGACGCAAGAGTAGGAATATGACGAGGGAAGAGATGCAAGAGGCTCGAGAGGGCGGAAACTGATGAAAACCAACTATGTACCAAGGTTTTCTATTTGTCTGTGCTTTGCGTTCATTGTTCTGCGTGGCATACATTTCTCTTACCCTGCATCGAAACTGCCTCCTGCTTGCTTTCCGCTAGTCGATTTTGGTTTGGATCATTGCGTGCATCAGCAGGTTACGGATACCATTCATAGCTGCATCCTTGTAAATCAAATATTTGCTAAGTCCAAAGCAGGAGCTCTACTTCAATTGGGATGGGGGGCCCAATTGCGCAGGACAGACGTCCAAAGTTTGTCTAGTGACATTATACAGCAGTACATGATGGTGAGCAGAATTATCCTTGAGCGGTAAGAGATATCAAGTGGGCTGAAAAGAGACAAAAGAGAGGCCGTTGAATATGTTGCGCTATTCAACTAATTCATACCCAATATACCGATTTGTGGTATATCCAGAACTCAGAGGGAAATCAACACTGTCTTTATCTCGGTCCAGGCGTCCAACGCGTGTGGACCTAATTCTCTGCCTTCCCCGCTACTTTTCCAACCCCCGAAAGGCATATCCATAGCGACCATGGGGCTTGTAGTATTCACAGCCACGGTCCCAGCCTCGAAGCCTTTAGCCACGCGAAGGGCGCGTGAGATATCTTTCGTATACACGCTTGCGTAGAGACCGAACTCCGTGTCGTTGGCCCAGCGGAGGACTTCCTCTTCCGATTCGAAGACGCTGAGGCATTGAACGGGCCCGAAGATCTCCTCCTTTATCGCCCGACTGTTCTCATCCGCGTTGAGGATCACCGTGGGCTGGATGTAATAGCCCACATCACCGTCCCTGTCGCCGCCAGTGAGAATCTGATATCCGGCTTCCTTGGCCTCTTTCAGGTGGCCCATGATGGAATCAAACTGCAACTTATCTACCTGCGGTCCTCGGACCGTGGCAGGAGACAGCGGGTCATTCCCAGCCGTGTTACTACCTTTCAATTCAATCTCCCTAACCAGACGTTTTGAAAACTCATCCGCGATAGACGATTGCACATAGACGCGCGAAGAAGCTATGCACATCTGACCGGAAAGGGTCACGATCGAAGCCGCCGCAGCCGGGATGGCCTTCTCTAGATCCGCATCCTCGAAGATGATCAAGGGGCTCTTCCCGCCCAACTCCAGCGAGACCTTTTTCAGGTTCGAATCCGCGGCTGCCTTCTTGATTGCTCGCCCCGTGCGCACCGACCCCGTGAAGGCGACCTTACGGATTTGCATGTGCGAAGCTATGGCGGCGCCGCACACGGGTCCCATCCCGCTCAGGATATTAACGATCCCCGGGGGGAAGCCGGCTTCTTGGATGAGCCGCGCGAGCAGAAGACCTGTTAGTGGTGCTTTCTCTGACGTCTTGACAACGACGGCGTTCCCGGCGATGAGGCATGGGGCGAGCTTGACCATCAGGGTCGAGATGGGTGCGTTCCATGGGATTATCAGGCCGCAGACACCGAAGGGCTGGCGGAGTGTCAGATTGACAAAGCCGGGGGTATTTAGAGATGATTCTCCTTGTACGTCGGCTGCCTTGCCAGCGTAATATCGAAGAAGTCTCGCTGCGCCGAACCCATCCACTTTCTAAACGTTAGACTGAGCTCATCCTCCTCCTCTTCATCATCGTAAAGCCAGCCTCCCATCCGCAATCCCCCGAACCCCTACCAAACAAACAGAAACAGAAACAGAAAACAGACACTCACGATATTGAGACACCGGCCTCCCCATACTCACAGCCTCCAACCTCGCGAGTTCCGAATTCGCACCCTCCAGCAGCGTAGCCAATTTGAAGAACAGCTGCGCGCGATCCCACGCGCCCTTCGCGGACCAAGCCGGAAACGCCGCCTGCGCTGCCGCGACGGCCAGATCTACATCGACGGCTTCCGCCTCGTAGACCGAAGCCGTGAGCTTCTCGGTGGCGGGGTTGATGACGGGGAATTTCTTGCCGGTTTGTGAGGGGATGAAGGAGCCGTTGATGAAGAGTCGGGTTTCGATGCTGGTGGGGGGCCCTTGGGAAGAGGTGCTGGATGTGGACATTTTTGATATGATGTGATGTGATGTGATGTGATGGATGAGGGATGGGGAATTAAGTTATAAAAGTTAAAAGATTGGAGGATGATAGGAGCTCACAATGAGAGCTTTTGTTAGATGTTTTATACAGCTAGAAGACATCGTGCGGGGTAGCTATATGTGATCAGGATTCTGATCCTATACAATGTAAGCAAGCAAACATACGTATATCCCTATATAAACTCAAATACTACAGCAAGTAACGCACTCTGAGCCTAATGTAGCATTCACACACGATTCTTATCGTTATCTTCTAGGCTCCGGTCGTTCGTGATGTTTCGAGGCGGTGTGATAAGCTGACGTTGTACTGTAAGCACTAGGAAAGCGAACGTACGTAAAGGAGGGTTAATAGATGGGGAAAAGGGGGGGGGGGGGGTATACTAGCGCTCGCTTAACGACAACCCCCTTGAACAGACAGTCTTGCGTACGTACAAAGATCGTCGGGTTTAGAATCTGGGCCAGTTGAAATAGGGAGTCTCTTAATCAGATAAGGTATGCTTGCGGCTCGGTTACAGAGGTGATAGGTGCTTTAACTGGATTATTCCCTTTCTTTGTCTATTTTGTTTTGTGAAGTTTGTGGATGGATAGTGTTGAATTGGATTGGATTGAATTGAATTCCATGATTATCATATGATGAAATGTAAAAGATGCCAGATTTATTACATAGAAATCAGAGTATCCCCTATTCCCTGAAATCCTCTTTTTTTTCCCTATGTGGTTTTTCTTTTCCTTTGACAGGCGACTCATCACCAGGATGCGCACGCTCGCCTACTTGCTTCCCCTGAGACCGGGGAATTAAGAAGGAAGGGGTTCGAAGTTCTCATTCCTCATCAGAATCCCGTAGCTGTCTCCCAACCCATTCAAAAAGCCCTCCATATCGCTTCTCTTTGTCCTCCTGTCCGCTGTCCCCCCGCCTTTCTCGAGCAGGCGGCGGGGGCCCCGAGATATCAAATTGGTACTCCATCACATCGTTAGATGCCCGGCGCTTTTGTTCTTCAGCAGTCTTTGACTCCCCGGCGATCTTCTGGCGCCGCTCCATCAGTTCTTCCCGGACTTTTCGTAACGAGTGGACTCTCTGTAGGCGCTCCTGCATTCGGGATTGTTGTGCCTCGTGCGTCTGCATCTCCGTCCCGAGCTGTGTCTGTACCTCTGCCAGCTGCTGATCGAGGCGGAATATTGAGCAGGTGGGACAATGGCACCAGGCATTCGGATCGTGCGGTTCGGGCATCTCGCCCGCGTCGTTGTCTCGGTCCGCTTGGCACCAGTGGCAATAACATCCCTCTCTTGATTCGTGGGGTGAGAAGTCATGGCGGATTCTGTAGCCGGACTTGGCTGGATGTTCGTCGTTGTTGGTGATGGTGTATCCGAGGTCCTGGTGCTCAGCGACGAGAAGCTCAACGTTGATTGGGTTGAGGAAATCCGCGGCTGCGCTCTGGAAAGCCTGATCAGTGAGTAATTCATTCTCTGCGGAGCACAGCTGTGCGGTCTGGGATGAGAATGAATGGGTGGGCTCCTGGATTGTGACAAAGTGCTGCGAAACGCTTCCAAGGATAATAAGATCAGGTGAGGATGTGCGGGAACTCGAGGGGTTGGATGATTCTACCTCACTCCCTTCAAAGGGGTTGTAAATCCCACCACTTTCTTGCTCCCCAGCACTCCTATATCCACCCCGCATCTCCGTCGTAGTTTTAGACTTTGGCGATATGGAGGATCTTGGTGCACATCCCTCAGATCCGCGACGCCGTTCAGTGAATGGATTTCGAAAACCCTGACCGCTGGAATCGAGATCGAAAATGCGTTGAGCCCGGCGATATTTCCTGAGAAGCGTGAAATATTCAAAGTATTCTTCGGTGCCGGGAACGAGATGGGATGGTGCTCTAGGCAGGCACGGTGTCTCTGGTTCTGGTTCCTTCAGGTTCTCTGGATTGGCTATCCATTCTTTATACCAGGCTTTGATGTCTTCTGCGTTTGGAGTTTCATTGCGTTCACGTTCTCCCTGATTACTTTCGTGTGTTAGAGACTGGAAGTTGTCTCGCTCTTCGAGTAGCATTTCATCATCATCATCATCATCATCCTTGCTGGCTTCTTTTCTTTTTCTTTTCCGTTCAGTTAGGGGTCCAGAAAATCGATATTGGGTGCGCCACTCGGCAAGAGCATTTCTGTTGTCGAGGTTGTCATCTAACAAGTCATCCGAGTAGTCGTCCGTGCTGCAAAAGCTCGTGCTATAATCGCTATCGCTGTCGTATTCAAGGAGAGAGATGGTAGGATGCTCGGCTGCGGAACTATCCTGCATGCTAGAGGACATCTTGGGTTTTAAGGGACAAGGCCGATCTTACGCGCGTGAATTGATGTTTGGTCTTTTCTTGTGCTGTAGAGCTGCTCGAGAGATATTCTTAAGTAAAGATAAGAGAGATATTAGTACGAGAAGCTGAAGATTTAAGTAAAGTAACTGCGCAAGCGACAGGTGAAGGAAATAAATGTGTATCAGTGACTGGGCACTGTCGAGGACTTGAAAGTTGAGGTCTAAAACAATGGAACAAGGTAAGGTAAGGAAGAGTGAAAGAAAAGGATGAAGTTGGACAATGGCGAGAGTATTGTTCCTCGACATTCTTTCTTATCGAGATACCCAAAACTTCTTTGTATGTTTCGTTAGACCACCTCACTCTGCGAGAATCACGCTGATATAATCTCAAAAATAATCTTCAGATATGTAGACGTGAACTACGCGAAATGAAACATGCGGCCTTGATCAACCGATAAAGATATCTTTCTTGATGCTGATACTCGAGCACTGTGCAGGAATATGAGACCAACGCATGTTCAGACAAGAGCAATAGTTGAGCACAATGTCTGACTGTAGAGATGGAACAAAGAGCGCCTAGCAAGTATCGACCAGGACAATGAGAATTTATCCAAAACGAATAAGGTTTTTTGAGAAGTATTCAGAGTATTCAATTAATGGTTTCGGATTGTAAAGAATAGTTGACGACCAGAACCAAAATCGACCCTTCTGGAATCCCTTACCTTGGATTAACTGGCCATGACACTTTCCATCCACGGGTATACCGACGAATTTGCCATCGGATATCCCATGTGTAGTGCGTTGCTGAAGAATCTAATAGGTTATCAGAGAAGGAAGTCCTCTTCAAATATATGAATAGAGCGTACCTCGCCTCTTTTGGAGTCCCGTATTCGAAAAGCAGCATCGAGTCCTCAACTGGCATGAGGCCATCCTCAGTTCCCTGTGACAGCTATTAGCACCAGTCGACACATTTCCGCCTGTCGTTGCTTACATTGATAAGCAGAAGCCTTGTTGATGGCTTCTCCATAATGCCAGTCTCTAGCAGAGAGAATTTCTTCTGCGCACCGGCTATGAATTCCTCAGCTGTGGCATAACCATGTTTCATGGCCATCGCGGGCCAAAGGCTAGCATGGAATTAGCACTCGATAACGGGATTTGGTAGATTCTTGACCGAAGCTTACGAAAACGGATATTCATGGCCATCAGCCTTCTCCATCCAATCCCTACCAAAGAAGAGGTGGGTTGCGGCGCCCTGTGCGACAGCACCCTTCAGGCTCTCTTTATGCGTGTGTGCAATCCTCACAGCATAATAGCCACCGCAACTCAGTCCCCACACCATCACACGCTTCATATCAAAAGTGCCTTGATTTCCCATCCAATCTAGCACACTCGTCCAGAGGCGGTCCGGGCTATTTGGGTCACTGGGATCAGCTGGGCAATCGGCCGTTCCAGGAATTTCTGCAATAACACAAGCCCATCCGCGGGCGATGAATTCATCGCTTCGCTGGGTGTTATCTGGCCGGTAACCATCCAGACCTGTGATTAAGAGCACGACAGGAAATTTTCCGCCGTCTTGGGCCCCTTTCTCAGGAAGACGCACGTAGACAGGGATTGTGCCTCGATCAGCACCCTCCCGGGAAGTATGTGGGATCATCACTTCTCTCACAGGAGCGGGCCACTTGCTCGCAGCTTTCATGTATACATCCTTCTGTGCCTGCCATGCCTTCCACTTCGTCGCCGAGCTTACTTCCGGGAAGCTGGTGATGTATGGGAAGCGAGAGATACGATACAAGCATGCGGCTCGAAGATACAATTCTGACGCTCGCGTTAGATCATTGGCAGAGGCAGCTTCGTCTCCTTGGCGCGTCAAGCTTTCTGCCATCGGGAAGAATGCTTCTGTGTAAGCATCGCCGTATCCATCGTTTATATTATTCTTCGAGCTTGTTAGAATGATTGGGTGCTTCCGTGATTCCACTACCTTAGGGCTGAAGCCTTACTGAGATCAGATGTTCAAATACGGGTTCAAAATCCTCGAATTTACCATCGTGGAAAGGATAGACACTTTTCGTACACTAAAATCTCCAATCAGGGCTGTTACATGTAGTGTAACTGTGATACAATCTCATCGAGCAACGGTACTTACGGGAAATTTCCATTTCGTGTCCCACAGCGCCTTGATTCCATCGTGGTGCGGCATCCTCTGCTCGAACTTGTCGCCAAGAATCCATCTTTTGGCGCTGGCCGTCGTTGTTATAGACATTTTGATATTTCTCGAGAACTCGCCGTTAGATTGTCACAGCTTCCTTGGATCAGAATAGAATAGGAGAATAAAACACTTTGGGTTGAAGAGCAGCCAGACATTTATTCGCCGCAGCTCTTATCCAATACAAAATCCTGGGATTGGTAAGAATAACCATCGGACTCTTGTCTTGCATTCGGCTGTCGGACGTCCGTGAAGTCGCCCACTCGGGATGTAATATAAGGTAAGTGTAGATCTCAAATGCCGCTTCTACCGATAGAAGCATTAGGTAGAATGAAAGTATTGTGCAATGCAAGCAGAAGCCAAAAGAGGAGGGGTCAAGAGGAAGCTGTCAGCGGAGCCATCTATCCGTCATACTGTACCCCTGGATCTGGATCATCCGCGTCACGACTTTGTCTCTAGACTCTAGAGACTCGCCGTTCAGGCCAGTAATAACACGACACCATCCTCAGTGTTCTCGGCATGCATTATCGAGTGGCTGGAGTAGAGCGACGTTAAGGGGAGTGAAGTGAAGCATTCGCCCCGGAGTTCAAGACTCTACCCGCCAGGATTCGCGACTCCGCACATAATGCGCGGCCGGGTCATCGAGTATATGGCTTGTATAATCCTGCGCGCCTTGGCGAGGAATGGCTGTAATTGATCCGGTGGCTGAAAATATTGTGAAGTGACAGAGACGAGAAGTCGTCGTAGATTTTGATTTTGCTTTTGACATTCCTTAATTCGATTCTTCCTCTCTGAAGCCTGTAGTCTTCCTGTCCCTTAAGGTAGCTGCCAACCCGCCTAGGCCCTAAGCGAATACTTAGCCTGCCATCTACAGGTAGGCAAAAAAAGATACGGAAGAGGGTAGAAAATAATGCCAGAAAAGAAAGAAGGAAAGTAGGAGAAAGAAACACGCCGTAAAAAAATAAAAAATGAAAAGAAATGCAAGTTACTTGCATCTGCCCATTCGCGGAATCGAACCGCGGATCTTCTCATTTTCGAGTATTTACGAGTGAGACGCTGTACCACTAAGCCAAACGGGCCAGTTCGTGTCAACAAAACTCTCGTTGTTGATTTTACCTTACACAGGGAAAGGAAAACGGGGAAACCGAGATCCAGAAATGAGATTCTATTGGCTGGGTAGCAAACAATGCCAAGAGTGGATATAGGGGGGGTAGATAATAGGGGGGAGGCTGGGCAGCGTGGAGATCCTTTGAGACATTGTAATAGGGGCGGCTCCTTTGCTTTTTTTCTAGCCAAGTTCTTGGGTTCTTCCAAGATTTCATTCAGCAATGCGCCGTGGACTTTTCTGTGAGGGATAATTCGTAATTCTACTCTACTCGGTACTTCGTAGACTCTCGTAGCCCCTCCCAAAGACAATGATCGATGGATTCGACTGATCACTAATAAAAACCCAAAAATCATTAAACGCTTTGGATAATGACCTGGTTGCTTTTCCTACACCGCAAAGTTCAAGTACTTAGTCGACACCTTAAACTCGACCTAAGGTAGGTACTATGTGGCTTCTGCGGAGAGTTTACGCTTTCTGTCGAGATCTGGCCTTCGAAATAGCCCATTCATGCTAAGAATAGACATCTTCACCTCTCTTTGTGTTGTCTCCTAATGTATCATTTCTCCATTCCAAAGACTCTGTTCCGACCTGCCAATGTGTCGAGCAATCATAAATCCTCTGTGCCCCTTTGAAACTGCTTCATGGCGTGTGACAAGGGAGCTTTGTTCGACCTGAGCCATAAGTTAGACAAACCCACGACGACAACAACGACAGATATGACTGTGTAATGATTGTTATAACACTGCATCTTCCCTGGTCAACCCCACTGGCTTTTGAAGCTTACCATGCGCCGCCCCTGAATCTTTAATATAAAAGAGAAGCAAAGCAGTTGGACGGCGAGTGCAGGGTCAGCACGCTGCTCAAAGGATCAGATCGACATCGCTCCAAGTTCACCTTCGCCCGCACTCTTCAAGAGTGACCGCCATCACCCACCTGGCAGATTCCAGCATCAATCATGAAGTGGTTCAGGAAGAAGAAGGCCCACGGCGTTGAGCAAGCTCCCGACCAGATTCGGAACTTCCCGCAGCAATACGGTGCTCCGCCTGTATCGGGGCAGTTGATAGCAAAGCTCCCCGCACCTTTACTTGAGCGCATCTTCAGCTTCGTATGCCCGCACGCGCGCGATGAGACCTACGAGACCTGTGAACAGTCGGCTGTGGAGGATACGTGCATGCTATGCGATCTCCGCGATCTAGCTCACTGCGCGCAAGTGTCGCGAAGATGGAGGAAGCTGGCTTCGAACGTCTTGTAGGTATATCGAGTCCGCAGATTGGATATGAGCTGATGCGGCGCCTGCAGGTATCACAGCATACGGATCGATACTGTCCACTACTGCGAACGCGAAGAGATTCTCGCCGAAAAGCGTAAACATAGATCGTTCATGAACCGCAATGCCGAACCCGAAGACACCGCTCAGGCGCGACTGCGATTGCTCTGTAGGACACTTCGCGACGATGGGACTGGGCTTTCCTCGAAGCTGCAGATTCTCAAAACATCTTACATGACAAGGGAGGGTTCCAAGCCCGATCTCGCTCGGATTGTTGCGGTAACGCCAAATCTTCGATATGTCGACCTGCCGGAGGGTGTTTTCATGGATGATGCTTCTTGCAACACCCTGAAGCAGGAAATCCAAGGACGATGCCCGGATTTAAGAAAGATGGTATACATGGGTGGATCGGAGAGAAGTCTGGAGCTGTTGGCAAGAGGAACACTATGGCCGAATCTTGAGGTTTTGGAGCTGTCACAACTCGATATGGATCCTACCATCTTACGACATGCTCTAGGCTCATTACACCATCTGAAAGCTCTGAAAATCTCGAATATCAAGTCTTTCGATGATCAGATATTCCAGCATAACGACTACCTACCTCCTTGGCCCGCTCTCGCCGAGTTGACGCTTTCCCATGTCGCGGCTGAGGGTCTGGTAGAATATCTCTCTCGTCCAGATACCCAGGATACTCTCAAGAGCCTCTCCCTCACAGCCACCGGTATCCGCCCTACAACATTGCAGCATATTCTGGCCACTGCTTCGAGACTTACATATCTATCGATCAATGAATCGGTTGCCGTCTCCTTCCCAGCTGGCGTGCAACCTCTCTCCTCCACGTCTCTTCGTACACTGCACTACGAAATCACAACCGCTTCTTCTGCCGGCTCCTATTCCAATCCATCCGCGAGCTACTACGCGTACCTCACCTCTTCTCTGCTTTCCAATGGCCTGCCAGCCCTTCGTAAGCTCTACGTCCGCGTAAGTCTCAATCCTCTGTCTATACAGAGACATTAGTCTGACATTCCTTACAGGATCCCGGATTCCCCGAGTCTCTCCTCGATCTCTCACCCCCAAGACCCGCATTCGCATTCGACCCCGACAATGTACCCTCCCCTAAACTCTCACCGAGATCCACTATTTCTTCCCCTCTTCTCTCGCCTTCCTCTGCTTACTCACCCAATCCACAACGCTTCAGCTCCAATAACCCCTTTGCCAAGATGGCAAACCGACCTGGATTGAAACAAGAACTCGAAGTCTACAGCAAAGGCTTAGACGAGATGGAGTGGAATTTTTCCAGCGTCCAACCCGGCGAACGAGGTAGGAGGGGTAGTGCGACGGCGCCGCGACCGGTGAGCAGCTATGGTCTCGGGGACGGGTCGAGGGGAAGCTGGGCCGGGGGCTCAAGGAAGAGCGTCATTGTTGGGAACGGATTTGGTGGGTTCTTAGCTATTCCCGCGGATGATGAAGGTAGACCGAGGAGTTCGGCGGGGGAAGGCAAGAAGAGAGGCAGCCAGTACGACATATGGCGCTGATGAATATTATGTTTTGTACTCGCTCGGGGTCTCTGGGCTCGGGATCTCTGGACTCGATGGTTTGCTGGGATTGGGAGCGGGAACTTGGCATTTTGCGGGTGGGAGTTTAGCTATTGCGTTGCGAGGTTTATAGCATATAACGACTTGACTCGTTCGTTTGGGATCATCCATGTGATTTCAGTCCTACGTGTGTATATGTGTAGCTGCAGCTGCTGTGTCTTTATAGGCATCTCGCAATAAGGGGCATCTTTCAGAATATATTCATACAGGGGCACACAAAAAGGAAAAATCCTCTTCCTTATCCCCATCCCCATCCCCCCAAAAGAGGGATCCATACCACCCAAAAGCACAAAAAAAAAGGCAAAAAAAGCAAAAAGCAAGTGAACAGAGTGGGACTCGAACCCACGCCACTTTCGTGACCAGGAAACTGTATGCTAAGGAGACCTTAACCTGGCGCCATAACCAGCTCGGCCATCTGTCCTATGCGTTGTTATTGTTGTCGATTTTCCGCTTATTTTATTCTTTAGTCACCCCTCGGATCTGCATCATCTTACAAACCTTTACCTCTTACTCACCTTAGTCAGTACCTGGGCGTACCTGTTTGTTATTTATTCCTTCGCGCACCCATTATTACTCTTATGTGACCCATGCGTATACGGGATATTTTACATGTGTCTAGGAGGGGCGAATAGAAGAGAGGGATGGATATTTCTGTTGCACATCGCAGGGCTCATGGCGACTTCCGCGGGGACGAGAGAGTGGGCGGTTCACGTGATGTGAAGTCACGCTTCCGAGGCAGTTTTGTTGCACATCGCAATGCTGGCATTACTCCTTTATGGGCTACTCACTTGGCGAAATCTCTCGGAAGGGCGGGTTTGATGGGCGATTGGTCCCTTGAAAGTAGGCTGAAGGGAAGTTTGAGGCTTTGGGTCTTAAGTATTTAATATAGATGTCATTCTTGCACTTCTATTATTTTCTACTCCGTATAGCTGCCGACCTTTACCTTACCTTACTCTTCATTGATGGTGGTCCTCCTCCATCTACCTGCCTCACCACAATTCAATCGCGACCTTAGGCATCAACTCGCATCCTCAAGACGCCTCAATCCCTAATCTGATCTAAAATCGACCAAAACTTAACCCCTCCGATCCTTCTAAATAATACAGAAACAAGACCTCTACTTTTGCCCTTTCGCCCGCACTATTCAAATTCTTTATCGGTGCGGTATTGCTTGAGTTATTAAGTGTTGAAAAAAGTGTCTTATTTGAAGCCTCGCGACGTGCAACAAAACGGCGGGTACAGTAGTAGCGTAATCTCTAATGATCTAATCTGATCTGAAATCGACCGCAACTTTTCCCTTCCGATCTCCCTAAATTATATATAAAGTTAGACCTCTACTTCTGCCCTTTCACCCGCACTGTTTAATTTCTTTATCGGTGCAGATTGCTTGAGTTATTAAGTGCTGAAAAAAAGGGTATTCTTTGAGGCCTCGCGATGTGCAACAAAGCGACGGGTACAGTAGTAGCGTAATCTCTAATGATCTAATCTGATCTGAAATCGACCACAACTTTTTCCTTCTGATCTCCCTAAATTATATATAAAGTTAGACCTCTACTTCTGCCCTTTCACCCGCACTGTTTAAATTCTTTATCGGTGCAGTATTGCTTGAGTTATTAAGTGCTGAAAAAAAGGGTATTGTTTGAGGGCTCGCGATGTGCAACAAAGCGGCGGGTACGGTAGTAGCGCGATCGGATACAGTAGTAGCGCGATCGGATACAGCAGTAGCGCAATCGGATACAGCAGTAGCGTTATCGCCTTAGGCATGCCTGCAGGCTTCAGGCCCCAGACTCTAAATTTAGCGTGAAATCAACCAAATTTTACCTCCTCTGATCTGGACAAATCGTTCAGATCTTGTAACTCTAACTCCAAGCTGCTGGACCTGCTATTTTAAATTTTAATCGGAGCGTTGTGGCGTGAGTTATAAAGTGTTGAAAAAAAGGGTATTCTTTGAGGCCTCGCGATGTGCAACAAAGCAGCGGGTATAGTAGTAGCGTTATGGCCTTAGGCATCTATGCAGGCTGCAGGCCTCGGACACTAAAGTTTAGCGTGAAACCCCGCCAAAATTTTACCTCCTCTGATTTGGACAATCTGTTCAGATCTTGTAACTCTAGCTCTAAGTTGCCAGCATTGCTATTCCAAATTCTAATCAGAGCGTTGTGGCGCAAGATATTAAGCGTTGAAGAAAAAGTAAAGCGTTCTGTTGCACATCGCGAATCTCGAATTCGCGAGATATGGGTTAGCGTCGGTGGTGGCTTGATTAGTTTCGTATCCTCAGGCATCTTTAAGCCTCAGGCCTCAAACTCTAATTTTAGCGTGGAATCTCCGAAAACTTAATACCTCCGATGTTAATAAAAAGTTATGGAAGTTATACTTCAAGCTCTAAGCTCTCAAACCTACTCTTTATAATTTCTGTAGGTTGGTTGTGGCGTGAGATATTCCGTGTTGAAGAAAAAGAGAAACGTTTTGTTGCACGTCGCGAATCTTGAAATGCGTGGGATGTGGTTTAGCGTCTTTACCCCGGATTACGCTAGGCTGAACATAGAATGGTTTGATGCGGGTGGCTGAGCTAAGGTACCTACCACCACGTTTTGCGGCTTTGAAGCTAGGTAGAAACACCTTCATTCACGTGAGATGTATTCTATATTCTCGGGAATAACTCCGACCTTGCAACCCATTCTACATACTTGAAGTACATACCGAAATTTCTAAACATCTCTATCACCAAAGCGAGCTGACAAATCCGTACTTCGTAGGTACTTTGCATCTCATCTTTTGTGATATCATAACCTAGTTGGATCGAATCCCTAAAAAGGTCACAGCAACGTCCCCGTTGTACCACATATTCTAGGCAATAGGTAATTTCTAAGAGAAGAAGGCAATAAGCCTTGTAATTGATATTTGTTATCCCCTCAGCACATTCGTAAGGTAGCCAACCCCCCCCCCCCCAAAAAAGAAAAAATCAACATCCATATCATCAAACTCATAATCCTCCTCCATCAATCCCCATCAACCCACCCATCAATTGACAACATCCGTCCCCTCTCGTTAGCCTTCCCTTATCAATATACCCCAGATTCCACTAGTCTCAAAAGTGGATGGCGGTTGGACGCTACTGTAGTCTCACTCTCACTCTTACTGTCTCAGACGCAGACGCAGAATCGGAGTTTTGTCTCGGAGCTTCCTGTACGGAGTAGGGTGTAGCTGAACAAACTTGTAGTATGCGATATGTGAATATGCGAGTAGACTCGGAATCTAGATGGGATTGGGGATCTCAGGAGCGGATGGATGATGGATGATAAAAGGGGGGGGGAGGTCGAGGATATGGATATACCAAGTAATCAGTCATCGTCAGTAGATGATGAGGATCCTTACACGCTTAGCTTTTGCAATAGCGATAGTCTTGCTGTCGAGGGAGTTGCGGATCTGTGCGTGAAGTTTATATATAATTCTATCAAAAGGTAAACAAACTTGAGGGTATCACATGAAAACATAACATCATGACGGTACCTAACCATCTCCCATCTCCCATCCCCTTAAAGCATCAACTTTTTCTCTGACAAAGACCCCACTAGGATTTCCCAGATATCAGTCCACCCTTTATAAATGCACCACCTCCAGCTGAAGTACCCGGCCTTCTCACGCTAGCATCCCTTCTAAATAACGTCGTCTGCGGAAGATCCAATCCGAAGTCCGGGGTCGTCGCAGCCTCCACAAGCGGTACTCCGGAAGGCGGGACTACACCACGGCCCTTCCCTGATTTATCCCATTGTGGCGCTTCTTTGAATTGGGGCGTGAAATCAAGCAGAGGTTTATGCCCGCCTAATCCGCCGGTGCCTGGTTCCACGGGTTCTGGTCGTGCTTTGCGCGTAGATTGCGAGCGTTGGGGAATACCACCATTGAGAAGAGATGGGCCATCAACGAACGGCCCAGAGGGTTGTGCTTGAGCTTCACGTTCTTTTTGTGCTTTGAGGCGTTGGGAGTAGGATCTTCCAAGAAGGCTCGTAGCGGCGAATTCCTCTTCTGCTTCAGGAGGTAACCGATAAGAAACTGGAGGTGGATGCCGTTTTTCGTCTAGCTTTGCGGCTGAAGGAGAGATTAAGATGCTATTTCGGAGATGGAAGGGGATTTGACGTGGGCGATTCTCTTCTTCCGAATCGTATTCGTCGCCTTCGCTACCAAAACGGTTTCTATTCCTCATAGGTTTGGAAGAACCGATGACGTACTCGTTATCGTCGACTGAGCGCCTGCCCTTGTGACCCGGCCCCGTTTTCGTACCCGTTTGGGTGTCGGTCAGGTCCTCACTTTTCTTTCCCTTCTTTTTCCCGTCGCCCATCTTGTGCACCAGATACCAGCTTCGCCAGCGTTGAACTGTATCGTACAATCTCTGTGCCGTGGACTCGTCGTCGGTGCTAAAGAAGTGAACGAAATTCTCTGTATTCATGAACATAGTGGTCTTCTGCTGGCTTTTCACGGCATAGCAAAATTCCTTTGGAGGCTTAAGCTTGCCTAACTGCGTGGCAGTTGGAGAGTATATGTCAAAATCAGACAAGTGACACAAGCTCACAACATCTTTGTCTGTCATTTTGGACTCGGATTTCTTGGACATGATTACTTGCCCAGAAGAAAGGATCGTGATGTATCTTTTGTTCCACCTGTTCGGCCTCTGGGAATGGTGCATATGTACTGTCACACCGGCAGGTGCTTTCAGTGGGACAGACTCGAGATCGATGTCGAACTTTGGAGCGTCGGACTTTTGAAGAACGAGAGCGTTTTGGGTGTCACGATCCCACGAGTTCATGATATCTCTGATACGCTCATAGCGCCGTACTCGACGCTCTAGGCCAAGCTGGGTATACGATTCGAACATAACGGTCGAAGAAGGAGCAATACTATGGCTCAGAATCTTGGCAGCAGAGAGAATGATATCAAAAGGTGTAGTATCGGGAGTTACGGGAAGATTGATCGAGGATTGTCTGTAGCGGACCAATACTCTCTGTAAACATGTTAGCACTGTAGATATTTAGTGACTCTAAGACTCGTACTCGTTCCCCAGAATTGACAGCAGATATTGGTGCATCTGTGCCGGGCAGATAGGTTGACTCTCCCTGCTCACTCCCTTGACGAGGAAGTTCATTGCTCTTTGGTGGAGTATCATTGCTTGCACGCGAACGTGTTGTTGACAACGAGGGTGTTCCAACAGAAGAAGCCGCTGGCGGACTGGTCTTCGTTTTGGCGCGCTTTCTCGAGAAGAAGTTAAGCCTTTCTATGACGGGGGTCGAGACTTTCTGTGCTGCAGGTGCTTGCACGGCAGCGTCCAATGTTGCCTCGAGTCGTTCCAGGTCCTTCCGCTTCTGTTCCGCCAACTTCTCCTCGGTCTCTCTCAGGATCCTCTGTTCTTCCTCCTCCTGCTGCTGGCGAGCCCTCCGTTCCTGTTCTTCCTGCTCTTGGGCCTCCCTAGCCTCCCGCTGCAGACGCTCGCTCTCGGTCTCCTGGTAGTTCTGCGGGATTTGTCTCCCAACACTGGCGCTTCTCGCGTCGTACCTTTGCTTCGCGGGCACAGGCTCCGTGGCTCTTCTGACAGGTTGGCTGAACGGGTTGTACGGATTATTCGACCTGTAGGGATTGTTGTTCGGGTTGATCGGATGGTACGGATTGTACGGATTGTTCGACTGGTACGGAGGCGGACTTGCGGCGGCAACCGGGGGACTCGTATGTGCTGGTGGGCTTGCGAGTTGATCGTGTCTGGGACCGGTCTTGGGATGTCGATACCGTGACATGCTCCTCTTAGCAATGTGATCATTGTTCTCCGGCACCACCGGTGCAGTTGCAGGTTCCGGTGAAGATTGAAGTACAGGAGGAGACTCCTTCGCAGCCCGCCTCACGCTTCTGTACCGGGAGTACTTGGGCGGGGTCACCGTCGCAACATCCTTCTCGGCCTCGTTGTCCTGGGACATTGTGGAGGATCAGAACGCTCCACAAAGATTGTATTGTTGTCTTGTGCTACTGGCGTTGCGATTGGCATGCAAGAGCATGATACCGTGAAGAGATGTATTTTTGATGGATCTGGCGGACGCGGCGAAGCAGTGCAGAGTAGTGCAGAGGAGGTTCAACGAGGAAATTTACGGGAACTCGGTGTTTCTCAATAGCGCGATCCCTTAAATTAGCAATGCCTGCCGCCGCTGATCTCATGCAGATCTCCCGGAGGGAAAAGTTTAAAAAACGATTGAATTGAGAAATGAAAATCAAAATAAATTAAAAGAATGAGAAAGAGAAGAAGTGCTGCGGAATCTCTATGTCAATGCTTGAAGATCATGGATCGAGAAGACGTCAGATTCTATGAAGATGCTACATATGGACCGTGCACCCCTCATTCCCGGGGTAAAAGGCTCATGATGTTGGATGAAGCTATAACTCGGGCTATTGTGGCTATTGTCAATAACCATCTAGACTAGAACGCGTCAATCACGCGTAATTTGGGCATTTGTCTGACTTCAATGATTGCGCGATTGCAAGTGTATATATCTCATCTCAAAAGTCTCAGTCTCTGCAACATATAGCAGAATCCCGATATTCCTGAGAGCTGGATGACTCGAGTCAGGTCACGACGCGTCGATGAGAGCCTTGACTGTCTGGGATTGGAGGTGGATGATTGAGAAGCCGGTGCTTGGACTGTACAGACTGTCCGTCCGCAGTATGCATTTGCCAATGTCCCAGCCACTGCAGCATCGCACCATCCGTGCCTCCATCTCTACATTATTTCCTATATGCCCTCATTTGACGCCTCCACCAGCCCGTGAAATCCATGGTAGCAACATTGATGCCCAGATCCTTCAGTGCCTTTGTCGAGAGGTGGCAATCATACGGTCTCTGAACACTGGCGTTAGGGTCATTCCCCTCCGTGTTCGCTATCATGCCATCCAGCGGCAAGCCCATAATCTCCGCAAAGAGCTGGCACATCTCATATTTCGTGTATTTGTCTTCGGATGAGAACTGCAGGATCTTGGGGAGGGTCGATTTGTCTTCGGTCTCGAGATATTTGGCAGCCACGTCTGTGGCATAACTCTGTTAGAGGAAGGATGCGAAAAATGGCTTGGGAGAACATACCATGGCAGACTCTCCCTACGTCCTCAGTATTGGTAGGATATCGAATGGCCCAGTGGTCCATCTTGATAGCCGCATCCTTTTCTTGGGCCTTCCAGACCGCGTCCATCAGCACATTGACAGCGCTTTCCGAGGGGTTCTCAGCCTCGCCATATAGAACCGGCACTCTCAACACGACCCCCCAACCGGGCTTGCCCGCCTTCTCATATTCCGCCAATACAGCTTTCTCGCCCTCATACTTGGTTTGGCCGTAGAGATTCGGTGGCTTGGGGGTGCTCGTCGCCTCGTACGGCGCGTCGCCTTCGGTGCCGGGGAACACGTAGTCAGTGGATATATAGATCAGAAAGATCGACTTCGCAGCGCAGATCTTTGCGAGGGAGGCAGAGGCCGCGACGTTGAGAGCTCGTGTGCCTTCGGGATCGCGATCGCATTTATCTGGGAAGCGGTTGGCCGCACCTGGAAGACGTCAGCCTGTTCTCATCTGTCTGGCAGAGAGAGCTCGCTCACAATGGACCACAACCTGCGGCCTTTAGACCGTCAATGCTGTTTACAGTACATACAGTTTACACGTAGAGAATGAACTTACTGGACCTCCTCGAATGTCTTTGTGATGTCTGCTTCGGAGCCAAGGTCGAGCTTCCGGGTTGCGGGAGGGTTTGCGCGCGCAAACCCGGTGCCTACGACGGCCCAGTCTTGTCTCTCGAAGGCTTTGACGACCTGTCTTCCTAGCAGGCCTGTCGCGCCGGTGATGAGAGCCGTTTTTGCCATGGTTGTGGTGGTGAGAAGCCTTGGGGCTTTCAGAGATCGTGGTGTTGTCGATCGGGAGCTATGTCATCAACCAGCAGAGAGCTTGTTGACGCGTCGGTCCGCCAAGTTGTCATATTTACATTCACACGTTCACGCTCAAGGCAGGATATTACAGTGTAGCTACAATACATCAGGTAGTATCAGAAACTTCGAGATATAGAGTGCATTGCCAGTCATATAGCCATCCGTCTACGCATCCCCGCATCCCAGGTATTTCTTCTTCACGACAGTCCACAAGGGGCTGTTCGCAATGAAAAAATAAGAAAAGGGGTCTCTCTCGAGATGGTTTTGTTTCCAAAGATTCCCAAGCAGGCCGCAGCCCACTTGGAGTGGTCATGGTTATAGTTTTCAACTAGCAAAAACGCAATCTCGGACGAATCCTCACTGATATGCGTAAAACCCATGCACTAAGATGGAGAGAAAAGAAGGGAAGTTCAGAGGGGGCGGCTGAGCCTAAATACTTTCCCACCCGCGCTAGTTGGCCGCGCCTCGCTTATACCCGGCCTGAAAAGTTTGCATCGAGTGCAAACAGGATGACTCATCACCCCTATTCGGAGTCCGGACTCTCGCTTCGATGGCTCTGGAGTCTGTACGGGTCTTTTGTGGCAGAACTGCCAGACTGCTACGGTGTAATAAGGTGTTCTATGTAAAGGTAAGATATCTTGGATGTCCGCTCTGATGTGCACGCCGCATGTACTGTACAGCACATTCCCTGACAAGATGTGCTGACTGAGGTATCCATCCCCCTTGTCGTCGGTATTTCTGTTGGCACGTGATCTTTTCGCTTCTATCCAATCCCAACGCGCCTGGCTTCTCTTTCATTGTTCCCCCCTTCACCGAGCCTCCTTCTCGAGGCAGTGAATCCCTCAAGCATAAACATGAGAAACGAGAAGATTCCAGATGCATATTCACCTAAAGGAGACGCGAGACATTTCAAGTTCAAGTGAATGCCAGTCTCGCCAACAAAGGTGAGCCTCGCTCCCGCTCTACCTTGTAGGGACCTGGATATCTTCGCCTAGTTATTCTTCCTTTGTTCATTCGAAGCACCAACTTTCTACTACAAGAACCCCTGATAGTTATCGACCCGTCTTCCTCGATCAACTCCACCACCTCATCATGCCTTCATCCCTGATCTATTCGAACCACGACCCGTCGCCCTCGGTCACCTGCCCCATCTGCCTCGACCCTGTCACCGCAGAGGCGGTGCGCCTCAGCTGCCACCTGCAGTTACATTGCTCAGAGTGTATCGGCTACTGGCTTGGCAGCCTGGTCGCCGCCGCAAAGAGAGTCACTTGTCCAAAGTGTCGAGAGGCCGTTACCGTGGAGAACTTGAGAGCCCCCGAGCAGAACGTTGAATGGCAGGATCCTGACGGCGATGAGTATGATTATGACTATGATGACTATGATGACTATGACGATACAGAGGTGGAAGAGGAGAATCGGGATTCTGAGGAAGATCAAGATGAAGACGGATATCAGTCTAGTGATATCGAAGACGGCCTCAACTATTACGGGGCAGACCAAGACGAGAATGAAGATCTGATTTCTGGGGAGATGGGAGAGGACATCGATGCTTACGAAGAAGATGAAGGTGGGATTTTCGAACGAGATCCGGACGAAGACGAAGACCAGATGTCTGACGAGATGAAAGGTACTGAGAGTGAGGTAGGGAGAAGATGTTGGCTTAGCATGCAGAAGCTGATTCTTTGTAGGAGCCCAAGGAGGGTCTGCAGGTTACCGTTAGAGAGGTTGGTGGCGATGCTTCCATCTCCCACAAGAGGGGCTGGGATGAGGCTAGGTCGCATAGCAATACGGTCCAGCAAGATCACCACCTCCCTCCAGAGCATGTAAACTGGTACCTACCCACCTGCCCCTAGAATATCGAGAGCTAACTATCCCTTGATATCACAGGAACCGCCCAACAAGAAAAGGAGCATATCCCCACCCATAGGGGTTTCAATACCTAGACAGAATTCTCAAACAATGAAAGATGGGGCCCAATAACTACTATACTCAAACTCGCTTTGCGTATTGGGACTTGTTTTAGCAACCCCACTCTGGGGTATCAATTGTACTGTACTTTAGCGGTTTATTGCAGAGCGATCTGTCTGGACGCTTGAGATGACCAAATTTGAATGCAGAAGGATCCGGGCATTGCGGAAGCATCTAAGCAGTACGGAAGGATGTGAGATAGGGGTAACGAACTAAGATTCACCCACCGCTTTATTCCTTCGCCAACATGTTCAGAGATAATCAGTAGACAATGGAAACGGCATTTAATGCCAGGAATCCAGCTTCTCTTTCAACGCCCTCACCTCCTGCCCACTCGCAACTTCCCCACCATCCACGATAGCACTAGAATGAAACCAGCTAGCACCCGTCTCCCTCAGAACCTCCACATTATCACTCCTCACTCCACCACCAACAATCACATCGATCCTACCATTAGCCCTCTCTACCAGCCTTGCCAGCCTCTGCCTCCCCTCTACGGCATTCGGCGCCCCACCACTGGTAAGCACAGCCTTAAACCCACACTTAATCAACACCTCCAACTGCAACTCTATCTCGTCCGCCTCACCTTCAAGCTCATCAAACGCGCGGTGGAAAGTACAAGGCTTCCCAGCAGCTTCGCTAACCAGCCACGCGTTCAAAGTAAGATCGATTTTGTGGTCATCAGTCAAGACCCCGAACACAAAACCCGCCGCGCCGGCCTCAGCAAACGAGCGGATATCAGACCTCATGATCGAGCACTCCACA